CACGGCTACCTCCGGAACACTCAACTTCAGCACCCCCATAGCGAGAACCCTCTCCAGCACCGGTGCCACCCCTGAGCCCACCGGGACAAGCCACGACAGGAACCCCAGGACTAGCACCCTCCTCAACGCCAGCACCCCCAGAGGCCACAACCGGCTGCTGCTGCTGTGACGATGGCGGCGGTTGCGGCAGGGGCGGCTGCTGCGGCGGCGACGGCGATAGCAGAGGATGAGACACCGAGGGAGAGATGGGCGGCAAGACCGGCGCCGCAGGGCCACCAGAGTCAGCAGACTCCTCGACCGGGACAAGCGGCGAGAGGGGAGTGACGTGAGACACACCAGACGGAGTAGGACGGGTGGGAGGGGAGCAGGGGCTACCGGGGGAGTGGGTACCAGAAACAGGGGAGGGGATACCGGGAGACCTCAGTGAGGAAAGCGGTTGTAAAAGGAGACAGACTCCTCGAAGATGGTGTCACGGGAGTGAAAGAAGCGGTGAGACGGCGGGTGGTAATAGTGCCAGTCAGAGGAGTCTAGGGGGAAACTGAGGAAGACACATGGGACAGTGCGGGCAGTGAGCTTGTACGTGCCAGAGGCACGAACGTGAGCGAGGCAGCCCCAGACAGGGAAAGCGGACGCGTCATCAGGGAACCCGGTCCAAAGAAGGGTCGGCAAAACTTGCCGCCACTGGGAGCACGGCCAAAGGTTAAGCTGGTGAGCTGCGTAGCGAACGGCGAATGGCCACAGAAAATGGGGTGCACCAGCATGAATCGTGTTGGTACGAGCTACCTCCATGACCAAACCGGTGTGTCGCTCAGCGACCCCATTCTGCTGTGAGGAGTCCGGTAGGGTGTACGACTGGGTGATGCCTCCGCACGACAGAACTGTCCAAGCCGACCAGAGGCGAACTCACCGCCACAATCGGAGTGGAGACACAACACATGGAGACCGCGGTGGAGGCGTGCAGCTACGACCCACGGAATAAGAACATCAGGCACGTCAGCCTTCCGCTCTAGAGGAAACACCATGGTGTAGCGCGTGAAGTCGTCGATGAGCACAAGGAAGTAGCGTTCGCGACGCGGTCCTGGGACGGGGGCTGGGCCCTAGACGTCCAGGTGCAGGGTCTGGAGGGGTGCGGTGGCAGAAAAGGCGAGGAGGAGTGAGGAGCACAGCAGAGCCGGCCCTCGACACAGGGCGTGCACGGTGGCGCAGGCGAGGGAGGGAGGGTAGGAAACGACGCAGTGAGGCCTAGGATGAGACCGTGCTGGGACATGTGACGCAGACGCGGGAGCGCGGGGTGACCTAGGTGGTGGTGCCACAGAAGCGACGGGTGAGTGAACGACCGACACGAGCACGTAGCGGCGACCGGGGTAGACGCAGGACGCAAGGGAGATGGTCCACCGGGGGGGAAGCAGTGTCCAGCGTTAAGAGGCCAGACACTGGGTCCCGGGGGAACGTATCAAGGGGGGAACCTGAGGTGGCCTCGGTACAGACCACATACTGCTCGTGGCCCCAGAACGTAGTGGTGACGCCGAGGTCCTGAAGACTGCCAGCACCAACTAAGTTCTGGGAGGATGAGGGGATGTGCAGGCCTCCAAGGGAACCCGCGGGAGCCGCTGGACAAGGAAGGGTAGTGTAGCTGCGAGCAACTATAGGACTAGAGGAGGGGTCAGCAAGGGCGACAGTGGCAAGCGCGGCAAGCGGCGTAAGCGCAGCGTGGTCACGGAAGAAGCAGGCAGACGCAACGGAGTCCGGTGTGAAGGACAGCGAAGCAGAAGCGGCAGCAAAAGAAGGAGCGAGTGTGGAGCCTAGGCTAGACAAAGCAAGCAGTCCTACGCTTGACGCAGCAGGGGAGTCTATACTACATACTGTACAGGTGCTATGCCTAGGCTAGCAAACACAGGGTAATAAGGTCTAGACACATTAGAAGTGTCAGCATACAGAGAATGCAGGACAGAACTAATGTGATCCATGTTTAAGTCCAACACAGGCACACCGAAACGCAGCAGACTGGGCCAGTCGGGGAGGTCTGGGGACGGGCCGAAGCGGCGACCGAAGAGGTCGTCGGGTGCGGGCGGCAGCACACAGTTCCACGAAGGGGCCCGGTCTGGAGCTGGAACTGGCAGCCCTCACCACCGAAGCCGCCGGTAGATGCCGAGCTGCGAGGACCGCCGCCTCGACCACCATCTTCAGGGGCTCTCGGCCATCCTGGCGGGAGGTGGGCCCACGGCAGCTGCTGCGACTGTTGCGGCTGCTGCGGCTCCTGAGCACCCGCCCCAGCCCCCTCGTCAGAACCACTGTCACCACCACCACCAAGCCCTCCCTTGGGGCCGCGACGGCCCCAACGCTGGCGCTGCTGCTGCGGTCTCAGGAGCAGGAGCAGCCATGGCGACCGCAGCGGAGACGTCCACATACATGCATTGGGAGGGAGCACAACCCTGAAAGATAGGGACTGCCGCAACACCGCTCGACTGGGCGATAGTGCGCTGGCGATTCTCCATCTCAGCGAGGGCAGCTACAAAGGCAGTCAAGGTGAGGTCACCTGGGTGCTGGCTAAGGAAGTGGTCGCGGGCAGTGGCTAGGCGGTCAGGGAGGCGCATGGGAATAAGGTACAGTGTAGCGCAGAATGGTGGGGGGAAGGCAGCGAGCTGGGCAGTAGTGCTAGCGGCGCGGTAGCTAGTCTCTAGTGCATGAAGGTGAGTGGCAAGATCAGCAACAGTGGGGAAAGCAAAGAGATCTGGGAAGAGCATGGGGAGGATCATGCGGCCAGCTGAGGCAGAGGCAGGCGTGGAGTGGGGGTCAACTACAGCATCTAAGAAATCCTTGGCGTTCGCGACATTTGTGAAACGCGGATGCTCAGAAAGGGGAAGGGCATGACTAATGGCAAGTTGCGCGACAGCATCGCGAGAGTCTTAGACAGCGCGAGCTAGTGCAGCAGCAGCAAAGGCCTCAATCTCAGCAGTGCTGGGGGCAGCAGGGGGGGGAACACGGGCGGGGGAGCGGGGAAGCAAGCCATCAACATGCATAGCCAGGGTGTGCCCATCCTGGCGGTGACCTGTCAGGTGCCGGCGGAGATCGACAAGGCAGACGGCGAAGTCGATCGCATGTCCCCCTGCATCCAGACGAAGCATGGCGTCCGCCACCGCTCAACCACAGCGGCACGGGGACACAGCAGCACGGCGGCACAGGGACACAGCGGCGCGGCGGCACAGGGACTCAGCGGCACGGCGACACAGGGACTCAGCGGCACGGTGGCACAGGGACTCAGCGGCACGACGGCAGGACTCTCCGAAATTGATCGGAAAGGAAAGGCCAAGGAGGGTGCGCGAGGAGTCAAGGCGCACACGGGGCCGGGGTGTGGAGAGGAGCCGGCAGAACGCGTGCGCAGGAGAGGGGCCGGCTAGGTAGTAAGGGCCGGCTCGGCACGAGGGACCGGCTGGCGCGAGAGGCCGGCTAGGCGCGAGGGGGGCCGGCTAGGCGCGAGGGGAGCCGGCTAGGCGCGAGGGGCCGATGAGGCGTGAGGGGCCAGCTAGGGCGCGAAGGGGACGGCGGAGCGCACGGGGCGGGCGACAACGCGAGGGGCCAGTTAGGGCGCGAGGGGCCAGTTAGGGCGTGAGGGGCCAGCTAGGGCACGAAGGGCGGGCCGGCTGGACACGAAGAGGCCAGCTGGGCTCAAGGGGCGGGCGACGACGTGAGGGGCCAGCTAGGGCGCGAGGGGCTAGCGAGGTCGCTAGGGGCCAGCGAGGTCGCGAGGGGCCAGCGAGGGCGCTAGGGGCCAGCGAGGGTTCTAGGGGCCAGCGAAGGCGCGAGGGGCCAGCGAGGTCGCGAGGGGCCAGCGAGGGCGCTAGGGGCCAGCGAAGGCGCGAGGGGCCGGCTGACCGCAAGGTGCGGGCGACAACGCGCGGGGCCAGCTAGGGCGTGAGGGGCGGGCCGGCTGGGCGCGAGGGGCCAGCAAGGGTGCGAGAGAGAGGGGGGCCAACAAGGCGCGAGGGGCTGGTGACAGCACGAGGGGCGGGCCGGCTGGTAGCGAAGGGGCCGACGAGCACGCTAGGGGCCGGCTACGGCGCGAGGGGATAACGGGCGCGCTAGGGGCCGGCGAGGTGCGATAGGCTAGGTCGCGGGGCGGAAGCGGGTGGGGGGGACCTAACCTACGCATGATGCCATGTTAGAATACTAGAAAAATTGAACACATGAGAGAACAAGCAAGATATAGGGAAAGTACATCGGCGCTCAGTATTAGGGGCCTCGATAATATGTACGGTCAGTGACACAATATAAACAATCAAAATTAGCGAGTTCGCAACATGATTCATCAGTCGTGGAACTTTTTTCCTACAGTTTCTGACTAACCGTGGAACCCGACTGATGAAACATGTTACGAACTCGCTAATTCTGGTTGTTTATAGTGTCACTGACCGTACATATTATCGATACCCCTAATCCTGAGCCCCGATGTACTTTCCCCAAGATATAGGGTTGGGGTTGTACTCGCTAAGAACAAACACCTATCTAGCCTTTAACTTCTTACATACTAACATATGTATAAGTTGACAGTTGGTCCCCAATACGACGCTGGAAAAACAGGCCTCACTATACTAGTCATGCTGATCGATCAGAGTTCACTTCTAAAAAAAGGCTGAAATTTCAGGTCCGTGTTAAAAAAAAAAAACCCGTCTCATCAGGGTCACCCCCAAAAAAATCCCTGATTTTACCCTGAATCAGGATAAAAAGCCTGCAATCTGAGGCCCTGGTATCAGATGTAGCCCAACAAAAATTCATTTTCGCCAAATGGCAGAAATTGTATGGTGGAAATGACAGGTTGGAGAGAGGCTTGGTTGCTTGTTTTGGGCCCGAACCTCTATGAAAGTTCCAAATCAGCTCCAAAAGCAAATGCTTGGTCCCACTAATTTGACTGCAGGAGCAACTGGTCCCGAATGGGCGGGAGAGAGCGTGGCGTCGAGTCCATTCATTCTGTACAATCCGGTTTGTGGGATTAGGTTTGGTTGGGGATTGCGCGGCAAGCTGATTCAACTTTCAACACCGCGTCCTCCAGAAAACGATTCGTAGGCACGCGTAGCTACATCGTCCGCTAAGAATTCCTTTAGTGTATGTCTTGACAATTCACCACCTTCTGTACGCCTCGACCAATACACTTCAAATTGCCGTAGTATTAATTTTTTGAATTCTTGGCGTCTATGTTGGCATTGGCTGCCATGCCACGCAGAGCAATCCTAGTGGCAGTAGCCCACTGGAAAACAGAGGAGGAGCAAGCAGCAGCGGGCTTTGCATGGCGCATTTGGCAGGTGGCTGAAGGGGTAGTAGCTTGACACATCCTGGCAGAATTCATCTTGAACACGCCGTTCTTAACGCCGCTGCCTTCCGATGTTCGGTGTTCACTGGTAGCAGATGCAGATGCTTCTATGCTGGAAGGCACTCTCCCCTCACTGGGTGCGGCAGCACTGCAAGTAGCTTGAGAGTTCTCAAAGTCACCTGAAAAGGTGGTTGTTGCCACATCTCCCTGCACACAGGCGGTGCTGACACCTGCAGAATGGCCCGGTGAGCGAGGTGGGGTGAGACCAACTGGAGCAACAGCTGACACTGGGGAAGGGCCCACCCGGGCAGCAGGTGACATTGGGGGAGGGCCCACCCAGGCGGCAGGTGAAGCTGGGGGAGGGCCCACACGGGCAACAGGTGACACTGGGGGAGGGCTCACCCGGGCAGCAGGTGAAGCTGGGGGAGGGGGCACCCGCGTTTCTTCCAGCAGCCGGGTAGGGAAGCTGTGGGACCGTCGCCTGGGGCGGCAAGAGCCGTGGTGATTGTAGCCATAGCAGCTGTGACGATACCGAGGGGTTGACTGATCCCCATAGTAGTCATGATTGTGGCCGTTGCAGCTGTGACAACACTGGGGCTTTAACTGATCCGCATGATGGTCATGTGAAATGGAGCAATCACCCACCGCCATGGGGTAAGGGGAGGGGGAAGGGGATGCAGAGTAAGCAGTGGGGGAGGGGGAGGAGGAGAGAGAGGCTCTTCTTCTCGGTCGCGCCCCGGCCGTGGCTCGGTTCCACATGGCCAGCCGAACCTCCAGGTTCGCAAACCGCTGCTGCGGACTGGTTCGGCCGAGGCTCGGCGGCGTCGGAGGTTCCAAAGGTTGGCCGAAGCTGCTGCCGTCGTTGTTGAGGTTCGGCGTCGGTAGGGGGACGAGGCTCGGTTCGCTGCTACTGCTATTGCCGACCAGGTCCGGAAACAGTAGAGCACGAGTAGCATCAGCAGTCTCACTGAGACTGGCAGCCTTTGCTCGGAGCGCCCCGAATTTCCGGCTTGATGGAACACAGCTAGTAGTGCTATCAGCGGCGGCGTTGCTGCTGGCATTCCTGCTGTCGGTGGGAGGAATGCTCAGCATCATCGCCTTAGCAGGGATGTCCAGAACGGTACTTGAACTTGAAGCAGGCCCCCCAGCCGCACCCACAGCCTCAGCTTTGGTCCAGAGCGCCCCAAATCTCCCGGGCCGGCGTGATGCCACGTGGCAGCTGTCACTGGCAGCGCTGCTGACGGCTCTGCTGACGGCGCTGCTGACGACGCTGCTGACGGCGCTGCTGACGGCGCTGCTGACGGCGCTGCCATCGGCGCGAGACGCGCCCAGCATCGCCTTAGCAGGGATATCCAGAACGATGCCACTAGAAAGGCAACAGGCCGCCGCTGTATTCCCAAGGTCGGGAAAATCCCGAGTGGCGCACATGACGAGTCCGACTCGGATTCGGCAGGAAGGACAGCCGCACCCAGGCTGGCACTGGCACTGAGTGCGAAGCATTCCCGAGAGCTCCTCTCAGCGTACTACGAGATTGCACTGTACTATTAGTAATACTAGTACTGCGAGACAGCGAGAAGTGCCGTCTGAGAGGCGATGGACGCTTCTAGGAGATGGAAGGAAAACTGTCGAACGGCGAAGGCATACAGGAGTCTCTTGTAGGTCAGGTTGACGGTACTAGGCCGCGTGTGGGCCCGGATTCTGGGGGAAGTGTGAGATAGACCCTGGGCTGGAAGATCAATGGCCGGTATTACTAGGGAAGCGGCGGGGATGGGAGCGGGGGCTGGGGACGCGCGCGCCCGCGCTTCACAGTCCTGATGATGGGGAATGGGTTGAACGGAAAGGGGGGAGAAGCTCGAAACAAGACAAAGAAGCGGGGTGGGTTCGAGGCGGCTCGAACCGAGAAATTCGGGACGACGACGACACTCGGGGGGGACGGGTGGGAAGGGGAAGGGGAAGGGGAAGGGGAAGGGGAAGGGGAAGGGGAAGGGGAAGGGGAAGGGGAAGGGGAAGGGGAAGGGGAAGGGGAAGGGGAAGGGGAGGTCAAATCACGAGTCACGACACGACACAACGAAGCGGGGAGAGAAGAAGCGAGTCAGAGTCATGAGTGTACAGTACTACGAGGGAGGGAGGAGTCGTGTTAGCGGATACTAGGAGAGGGAAGGGGTGGGGAAGGGGGGAGGGGGGATGATTGGTGGAGGGGAGAGAGTGAGAGAGGAGTCATGGCGAACAGATTGCAGTAGCCGATGTAGAGACTGATGGAGGAGATGAGCGACGATGATTGCGATGTCCACATGTACTAAGCGTCGACCTGAGAACGCGACCGAACAGGCGATCCAGTACTTGTTTGTCATCTTTTGAAATAACAAATGAAACTGTACGATAATAACAGGACCGCTTCGCATCACTACAGTCCTAGGCAAGCAGCAATCTTCGGTGGTCAATCTCGTCGCATTGCGCGGGGTCGCTAACTATATAACGCCTCGCTACCCACTGGGTCAAAACGAGGTTACCCAGAGGCGCAGCGGAATGCGTTTACATTCTCTAGGGTAATTTCCGTCCGCATACGTTACAAACTACGACGCGTGCAAACAAGACCGTCAATTAAGATCGAATCCAAGAAAGCAACGGCTTTCCGTGCGCTGGCAGCACCATCCCTGCATAATCACGGATACGGTGTACTGTGCACTTTGCTGTTCACTGTACATGTACACAGCACGCGGATTAGATGTAAGGCAAAAGATGGTCAAAGCAGACCAGAAAGCTTACACCAACTTTCCAGACTACCAGATCATGCACACGTGACATCCTAGAAAACATCGAAGGTGGATTGGATGTGGAACGATGGTCTGGCCACGGAAAAGGATGAGGAGCAAGCTGACAGAATCAGGCTGCAGAATGCTGCAGATCTGCAGCAGCATGCAATTCGAGGTGTGCTGTAACAGAATGGTGGTAGAGCTGAAAGTGAGCCATCCTCAGGGATCAGGACAAGCTTCGGGCTCCAGAAATGCTGTTCTGCTTCAAGCATGTACTGCTTGAAGCACGTGAAGCGAAGCTTGAAGCACAAGGGCATTCCTGAAAATTGAAGCTAGAAAGTCTGAAGGGCGCGATGCTTTTCGTTCAGAAGAAGCCAGAAATTTGAGGGGTCTTGCACGATGGAATCTGTTTCAGTGGTTTTCGCTACGGTGCAGCGCGATGGGCGTTCGAGCAATTGCGTTTTCCGCGATAAGCACTGGCCCTGAAATGTTTTAAGGGCTCACCTTGACAACGCCACATCCTGGGCGGCTGGGGGCATACTAACGGGCAGGACTGGTTACACTTGGCCGACGTCACGATTGCGCGCGAACTCCTCGCGACAGATGGACGCGCGTACGTGGCCTCGTTTGGTCCATTCGTTATGGATTCGCCTCAGCCTTCCTCACTTCGCCAGTGGGCCCGTGGGCGTGCAGAACTTGCTCAACTGGTCGCATCGCATCGCAACACTTCCTGCTTGTGCAGCCTGGATGGATATTGCGATGGAACCTGCTTCATCACCGCGTCTCTCAGAAAATGATTCGTATGACCCGTACAGAAACAAAACCGGTTTTCATCCACTAGCTCTTACTTCCTCACCAACTATGCAACTACTCCTATGATGTTGAGAGGAGGATATGCTACCTATCCTGCAGGGTCCAGCTTTCGGGAACGTTTCCATAGGGAAAGTTTTTTCCTACCATCTCATTCCTCAACTCTTCCTTTCTAACCCCTTCCACCTCCCTTAATACCAGCATTCCTCCTCCTACCCTTTCCCCTCTCAACTTCCCCCCCTCATCCTCCCCCTCTCAACCCTCCTCCTCCTCCTCCCCACCGTCCCCCTCCTCTCCCTCCACCAAACCTTCTATCAAGGCATCCACATTCTCTCCCAGCTCCACCAACCTCCCCCTCAGCGCCTCCACCTTCTTCTCCTCCTGCCCCAAACACACCAACAGATCATTCAGCTCCGTCTCACTCTCCCTCTGAGCTTCCTCCCGAGCCTCCTGCCGAGCCGCTTCCACCCGCTCCTCCACCTCAGCTTCGGATAGCCCCGAACCTGCACCTGCCCCACCTCCCAAGCCTGCAGCTGCGGCAGCAGCTTCAGCCGAAGCCAGGCTGGTTTGGAGGGTTTTGACTGTGGATTGGAGCGCTTTCCCCTCCCCCTCTAGTCTGAGGTTCTCCTGCTCTAGGCTGTGGTACGCCATGGATAGTGCCTGCAGGTCTGCTTCCTTGCCTGCTGCCACCTGCCGCACCTGGAGGCGGGAGGGAGGAGGAAGGGACACAGCGGTGGCACGACAGGTCAAAAGTAGTGTGTGATAGGAATCACCCTTCAACTTGCAAACACTGTCATACCCGCACCAGTTGTACCTACACTGGTTGTACCAACACAGACTGTTACTGCACCACCATACCTGCAGCAGTTCGCCCATAAGAGTTTCCTGCTCCCCTCTAAGTGCTGCCACTGTCGCTTCTGCCTCCGCCAGCTGGCGCCGGGCAGCTTCCAGCTCAGCATGAGTTGGCGCTGAGCCAGCGGAGCCGCCGCCCGCGCCCTCTGCTGACGCGGCAGCCTGTGATTGGTCGCTGGAGCCACCGCCCGAAGGGGGAGACTGCGGTGCAGAGAGATGCATGGCGTCCTTTGCTAGAGCCACGTTGCGGCTTCGAAGGTGCTGTGGATGGGAGGGGAAAGGGTTAACGAGGCGGGGGTCAGGGGAACGGGGGAGAAGGGGGAGGAGGATGGAAGGCGGAAGGGGGTGATTGGGGAGAGGTGCATCCCTGCTTCACCTAGAAGGAGGGTCGCTATCTCCACAACTCTCCCCCTAAATGAATTCTGGTCCAAACACCGACTGCAAAAACTCACTCACACTCCCACCAGCATCCCTGTTTGGCCTTTCCTTGCATACACAAGCGTACCTGCAACTCCTGGTGCTGCGACTGCACCATCGCCCGCAGCCCCCCCACAAACTCCCCCTCACTCTCCCCCTCCTGCCAGAAAAAGCGGCTTACTTTTGCCTTCAACACCCATTCCGTGTGTAATGAGTCAATTTTTGAGTCGACTCAAAAAGCGGCTTACTTTTGCCTTCAACACCCATTCCTGTCACCCACAAGCTGCCTGCAGCTCCTGGTGCTGCTTCAAGCACACCTGTTTGGCCTTTCCTTGCATACACAAGCGTACCTGCAACTCCTGGTGCTGCGACTGCACCATCGCCCGCAGCCTCCCCGCATACTCCCCCTCACTCTCCCCCTCCTGCCGATTCACATCCACACCCCCTCCCCCCCCTTCCCCCTCCCCTCCCCCCCCTCTCGGCATCGAGAACAGCTGCACCACTCTCTTCCTCACCGCCTCTTCTAACTCTAACACCGACTGCACGAATTCCCGGTCATAGAACGAAGCAATGGGAGGCTCAAACTCCATGCCAAGGCCGCTGGAAACAGAGGAGGAGGGAGCAGGGGGCGCGCGGCTCAGCGCTGCCTTCATCCCAGCAGCAGCAGCAGCTTGCCCGCCTTCCTCTGTTATCTCGCTGCTGCCGCTGCCATTCACTTCTGATCCACCCACTCCCGAACCCCCTGCTGTCGCCTCTGCAGCAGCCGTGGCTCGAGTGAGCGGCTTCGGGGGGCGCTGGACAGCGCCCCCTGCTAGGAAGTACGAGTCTCGTTTTAAATCCTCGATTCTTGCGAAGAAAGCCGCGAGCCCTATGCGTTGCGTGATGATGTCGACCACCGTTGCTGCGTCCGTGGCCCCACTGTTGTCGTTGAAAACCACGCACGCTCCTAGGACCAGGGCTGCTAGCCCCCCCACATGTACCGCTAGCCCTCCTGCTGCTCCTCCTCCTCCCTCGTCCATCCCTCTCCCGTCCCCCTCTCCTCCCCCCCCTCCTCCTCGTCTCCTTTCGCCTGTCCCATCGTACCCGTCGCTGTACCCCTCCCCATATCCCCCGCCGGTCCCTTCATGATCCTCCCCGTCCTCTCCCGGCCCGCCAGCTGGCATCGCGGCAGCGGCTGCTGCTGAGCTGGCGGCACTGACGAGGCCGACGATGAAGGGCAGGTGACCTGGCGGCGCGAGGAACGCGGAGACAGCTGGCGGGCAGTCGGAGAGCCACGTCAGCAGCAGGCGCAGCAGCACGGGTTGCAGCCAGACGGCCGACGGCGAGGAGGAAGAGGGGGAGGAGGAGGAGGAGAAGGAGGAGAAAGAGGAGGCAAAGGAGGCGTAGAGAGAGTGAGAAGCAGACTGGTGCGAGTGTGAGTGAGAGGAGGAGGGGGGAGGGGGAGGGGCGGCGGCGGCAGCAAGATAGCGCATGATTCTCGGCATGAGGAGCTCGGGAGGGGCGAGGGCGGAGGTGGGGATCTGCAGGGGGATGCGGAGGACCCGCTCCTTGGCGGCTGAGTTGTCCTTGAGCAGGTGGGATAGCACACTGGCGGCACGGCAGCTTGCTTCCAATGCTTGCTCGCTCTGCCCTCCAATTAGGGCTCGCACCAGGATTCTGGTTAAGGGGAGAGAGAGGGGGGGGGGAAGAGAAGGCAGAGGGCAGAGGTGGGGATCTGCAGGGGGATGCGGAGAGTAGAGGTGTGAAGAGTAGAGGGGAGAAGAGTAGAGGGGAGAAGAGTGGGGGGGAGAAGAGTAGAGGTGAGAAGAGGAGAGGGGAGAAGAGTAGGGGGGAGAAGAGTAGAGGGGAGAAGAGAAGAGGGGAGAAGAGAAGAGGGGAGAAGAGAAGAGGGGAGAAGAGTAGAGGGGAGAAGAGTGGGGGGGAGAAGAGTAGAGGGGAGAAGAGTAGAGGGGAGAAGAGTAGAGGGGAGAAGAGTAGAGGGGAGAAGAGAAGAGGGGAGAAGAGTAGAGGGGAGAAGAGTGGGGGGAGAAGAGTAGAGGTGAGAAGAGGAGAGGGGAGAAGAGTAGGGGGGAGAAGAGTAGAGGGGAGAAGAGAAGAGGGGAGAAGAGAAGAGGGGAGAAGAGTAGGGGGGAGAAGAGTAGGGGGGAGAAGAGTAGAGGGGAGAAGCGTAGAGGGGAGAAGAGTAGAGGTGAGAAGAGTAGAGGGGAGAAGAGTAGAGGGGAGAAGAGTAGAGGGGAGAAGAGTAGAGGGGAGAAGAGAAGAGGGGAGAAGAGTAGAGGGGAGAAGAGTAGGGGGGAGAAGAGTAGAGGTGAGAAGAGTAGAGGGGAGAAGAGTAGAGGGGAGAAGAGTAGAGGGGAGAAGAGTAGAGGGGAGAAGAGTAGAGGGGAGAAGAGTAGAGGGGAGAAGAGTAGAGGGGAGAAGAGTAGAGGGGAGAAGAGTAGAGGGGAGAAGAGTAGAGGGGAGAAGAGTAGAGGGGAGAAGAGTAGAGGGGAGAAGAGTAGAGGGGAGAAGAGTAGAGGGGAGAAGAGTAGAGGGGAGAAGAGTAGAGGGGAGAGTAGATGGCTCAGGATTTGCCTATCTCAACTTGCTTCTGACGTCACCAGACTTACCTTCGACTCGGCATGCTCCAGACTTACCCTCGACATGCTCGAGACTTACGCTTGATAAACCCCACACTTACCCTTGACATGCCTCAAACTTACCCTCCGAAAGTGAGGTTCGCCGCATCGTCCGCCGCATCAGGCCCTGCTCCTCCTCCCCCTCGCTTTCCCTTGCCTGAAACGCCTTGAGGCAGAGGCGTGATGGTGGATGCCAGCATCGTCTGCCCCTCGCTGTTGCCCTGCAGGAAGAGGAGCGGGGTCAGCAAGTCTTGAGTTCCCCAACCCTCCAACCAACCCCACTTCTTCTCACCTCACAGAAGCATGTGATAGCTGCGCTCTCCCTGCAGATATGTGGATTCTGCCAATAGCTATCAGATTATGCGGTGTGATTATCCCCAGTCCAGTCCGCACCGGAGCTCTCCCGCTCTCCCTGGTGGAAACCGCTCGCAAAGCAAGCAGCCCAATGCACGCCTGCTCCACACCTGCTCCTTCCCCCCTATCCTCAACCCTCCAACTTCTCTCATACATACCTCGCAGAAGCATCTAATCGCATAGTCCGCAGCAGAGCTCTCCCTGGTGGTAACCGCTCGCAGCGCCACCCGTAACACGCAGTGTAACGCCGGCTCCATGTCATCAGCCACCCCTCTAAGCAAATCCTCCACCTCCTCCTCCTCCCCCCACCCCTCATTCCCCCCTCCCCCTCCTCCCCCTCTCCTTCCCCCCTTCGGCGCAAACCCCGCGTCCCTATACAGGTAAGTCGTCGGGTCCGACCTACTAAGTAGCTTACTCCCAAGCTCCTCGCGATTCGCCGCGTGCCCTAGCACCAGGCCGCCCAGGGCTTTAAGCGCCTGCGTGCGGATGGCAGTGGAATTAACCAGAGGGTCGAAGGCGAGTGCAAGCAAAGCGTCCATGAGCTTAGCATGGCCGAGCATGGTCTGGTTGGCGATTAAGTTGGTGTCGTCTTTGGGGGTTGCTGCATGGGGGCTTCGAGCGAGCAGCAGAGCAACGGTCTCTAGCCCACATAGCAGGTTTGCTGCCTTCTGTCGGGTCAGCGGCTCTGTCCTTTCCACACTGGTACTGTCACTGCCGCCACCGCTGCTGCTGGTGTTTCCACTGGTGTCGTTGCCGCTGCTGCTGCTGCCACTGCCGGCAGCAGCGGTGGCGTATTTCCGCAGGGAGAGGAGCAGCGAGGGGATGCGGGCGAGGCCGAGGGTCTCCCGGAGGAAGATTTGATTGGATGCGTTGCTGCGGAGGAGGTTGTTGATCAGCTCCATGCAGTCCTGCACCACTATGCCGCCGTCCGCCCCGCCCTCGTCGCGAATGATGTTGAATGCGCGCTCAAAGGCGCCCTCAAACACCACTATCTTCTGAATCTCCTGTTATTTGGGGGGGGGGGGAGGGACTGGCTGAGGGGGTAAGGGAACGGAAAGGGGGGGCTGAAGTCAGCCCAAAGGCGCCCTCAAACACCACTATCTTCTGAATCTCCTGCTTGGGTTTAGGGTTTGGGGTTCAAGGTGGAGCCAAGCACGAAACACCATTCAAAGGCGCCCTCAAGCACCACTATCTTCTGAATCTCCTGGTCGGGGTTAAGGTGCAATGGTAGATGTGGGGAAGTGAGGGCTGGAGGAAGGAAACCAAAACCGCCCAAACGCGCTCTCAAACACCTCTATCTTCTGAATTGAAGTGAGGATTGGAACAAACACTGCTCAAAGGGGCCCTCAAGCACCACTATCTTCTGAATCTCCTGCTAGGGGTTGAGGTTTCGGGTTGGTGTTAGAATGAGCGTTGAGGGAGTGGAACAATATCGCTCAAAGGCGCCCTCAAACACCACTACAGCTTCTGGTTCTCATGCTCGGGTTTTTGGGTTTGAAATTCAGGGTTCTATGTTTCCGGGTTTAAGGTTGAGGTTGGCGCCGGGGTTGAAAGGGCGAAACACGCACTGTGCGAGGCTGAAATTGCGCTCCAGGGCTTCGTTATAAGCCCTCCTTAACAAACAGAACACACTTGATCGAGCAGTACGCTTAGTGCACTGTACACAGGGCACAATAATGTGCACTGTACACAACACAGGGCACAATAATGTGCACTGTACACAACACAAGGCACAATAATGTGCTCTGTACACAACACAGGGCACAATAATGTGCACTGTACACAACACAGGGCACAATAATGTGCACTGGACACAACACAGGGCGCAATAATGTGCACGTACCTCAGCAGACCGAGTGAGGTTGATCATGAGAACCAGTGCTTCGTTGCGGATCACCTGGTCAAGCCATATGCAATGCCATATGCCACGTGGCATGCCACAAGATGCCACACCATGCCCATCATCCCATGCCATGCGAATAACAAGCCACAATCAGGCTCACATAATGTCCGAAACCATACATAAAAAAGACGGGCAAGAAACTGCAGAAAGTGAAGGCACGTGGTTGAGGGGTGCGGGGGTTTGGGGGGTAGGATTGTTGTGGGGCAAACATCCCACAGGCGGCAAACGAGTGTCCTGCCTGCCTCCCACACTGCCCTCCTCGCCCCTCTCTTGTCTGCTGCCATCCCATCCATCTATCTCCTCACCTCCCTCTCATTCAGTGCCATCATGTCCATCAACCAACCCACGCCCTGTGGTACCACGCTAAATAATCCCATGGCCATAACCCATAATATCAATACTATGCATGCACCATAACCCATGGCCTTCGCCTCACCTCTCGCTCATTCAGTGCCATCATGTCAATCAACCAACCCACGCCCTGGGGTTATCACTAGAAACGCCTCCTGAGGCCTGCCAGCATGCCTCTTTGCCTCCCTCCCTACCCTGCTCCCCCTCTACACCCATCTCACCCATCGCCCCACCCATCTCACCCATCGCCCCACCCATCTCACCCATCGCCCCACCCATCTCACCCATCGCCCCACCCATCTCACCCATCGCCCCACCCATCTCACCCATCGCCTCACCCATCTCACCCATCGCCTCACCTCTCGCTCATTCAGTGCCATCATGTCCATCAGCCGGCCCACGCCCTGTGGTATCACTAGAATCGCCTCCTGAAGCCTGCAGACGAGCAAGATCACCCAAGATGCCATCACACCATTGTCATACACACCCGTGCAATGTGCCACGCAGCATCCGGCATCCCATGGACCCATGCCACATGCCATCCCATCCACCCATGCCATCCCATGCACCCATGCCATCCCATGCACCCATGCCATCCCATGCACCGGCGCCATGGCTCATGTCCCATCCCGCATGCCACCACGCATGCATGCCGCACACCAGACGAGCAAAAGTTGGTTCCATGGTCATTTCCCATCCGTCATCCCATCCACTTTTAAACGAGGATGAGGCCTTACGAAGTGAGAGAGTGTAACATGGGGGTTAACAGGCTTCACGTTTCACAGTTTCTTTTTTTGGGGGGGGGAGGGGGGCTTTATGCAACGTGCGTACCTTTGGGAGAGCTGGCAATACACGTACCCTATAAAGGCAAATAAATTAACCCAGGTCTGCCTCACCTGTGGGGGCAGTTGGAGAGGAGAATGGTAAGCAGCTGCACAGTATGGTAGCGAATGTAGAAATCTTCCTCCTCCTGTCATTGGTGCCAGACAGGGATAGGAACGAAGGGGTGGGGGGCGGGGGGCGGGGAAGAGGGGTAGGACGAGGAATTCGGAAAGGAGGATGGTGAGCAGGTGCACGGTGTGGTAGCAAATGTAGAAATCCTCCTCCTCCTGTTAGGATGGTCGGTGTAAGGAGGAGGAGAAGGGAATGGGAGAGGAAGAGAAGGGCGGTGAGCAGCTGCCTGGTGTGGTAGCGAATGTAGAAATCCTCCTAATTAGGAGGATCACCCCTACGGACACGCGCTGGTGGCCTGAAAACCCCCCATGGTGCCCTGCCGGCTGCTTTGTTTGTGATGCACTGCACTGTACCCACAGTCACAGGCGTAGTCTCGCGCGCACACACACGATCCTACTCACCAGCAGCCCCAGGGGGCCTGTACCCCATCAACTCACCAGCGCCCCCTGTGCCCCATCAACTCACCAGCGCCCCCTGTGCCCCGTCAACTCACCAGCGCCCCCTGTGCCCCGTCAACTCACCAGCAGCCCCAGCCACGGCGCAATGCTGTTGGGTTCTCAAGCAAAGAGTTCCAAGCTTATCCCTCCTGGAACACCCTCTGCTGGCCTGACCCCCACCCCATGCTGCCCTCCCCGCTGCCCTTGCGCCCCCTTACCCTACACACACCCCTATAAAGTCACCAAGCCTCACGTCGCGACTCACCAGCAGCCCCAGAAGCAGCGCAATGCTGTTGGGCTCCCACGCAAAGAGTTCCAAGTCGATCACTCCTGGGTACACCCGCTGCTGGCCTAACGGCCCGTCGCCCCCCCATACTCGTTATTACTGTACGCTGCTCACACTCTTTCCTCTGGCCCATCACGACTCACCAGCAGCCCCAGCAGCAGCGCGATGCTGTTGGGCTCGCGAGCGAAGAGCTCCGAGTTTATCACCCCTGGGGACACCCGCTGGTGGCCTGTGCTTCTGTGATACGTGTCCGCTGCTGCCGCTGCCAGCCCTGCCACCAGCACCTCCAGAGCTCCCCGCACCTGGTTGGGAGAATCAGGAGGAAGGGATGGGGTTTGATGTTACGGAACAAGAGGAAGAGCGGTCTTGTGCTCTGTATCCGCTGCTGCCGCCGGCAGCCCCGCCACCAGTAGCTTCAGAGCTACCCGCACCTAGTTGTTAGGATAAGGAGGGAGGGGACAAGGGTTAAGCGGGAAAACCGTTTCTGTCTCTGCTGCTGCCACTGCCAGCCTTGCCAACAGCACCTCCAGTCTCCAGATCACACTTGGTCTCCAGATCAAACTAGGTCTCCAGATCACACTAGGTCTCCAGATCAAACTACGTCTCCAGATCAAACTAGGTCTCCAGATCAAACTAGGTCTCCAGATCAAACTAGGTCTCCAGATCAAACTAGGTCTCCAGATCAAACTAGGTCTCCAGATCAAACTTGGTCTCCAGATCAAACTAGGTCTCCAGATCAAACTAGGTCTCCAGATCAAACTAGGTCTCCAGATCAAACTAGGTCTCCGGATCAAACTAGGTCTCCAGATCAAACTAGGTCTCCAGATCAAACTAGGTCTCCAGATCAAACTAGGTCTCCAGATCAAACTAGGTCTCCAGATCAAACTAGGTCTCCAGATCAAACTAGGTCTCCAGATCAAACTAGGTCTCCAGATCAAACTAGGTCTCCAGATCAAACTAGGTCTCCAGATCAAACTTGGTCTCCAGATCAAACTAGGTCTCCAGATCAAACTAGGTCTCCAGATCAAACTAGGTCTCCAGATCAAACTAGGTCTCCAGATCAAACTAGGTCTCCAGATCAAACTAGGTCTCCGGATCAAACTAGGTCTCCAGATCAAACTAGGTCTCCAGATCAAACTAGGTCTCCAGATCAAACTAGGTCTCCAGATCAAACTTGGTCTCCAGATCAAACTAGGTCTCCAGATCAAACTAGGTCTCCAGATCAAACTAGGTCTCCAGATCAAACTAGGTCTCCAGATCAAACTAGGTCTCCAGATTTCTAGAGACTTGTGAGAGCAAGAGATGACATGTGTGGCGTGGTTTGCTCACGTTTATTTTGAGTCGGCTCAAAATATATGCGGGTGTATTTTGAGTCGACTCGAAATACACCTGGGAAGCGAGAGACTTGTGAGAGCAAGAGATGATGTGTGTGGCGTGGTTCGCTCACGTTCTCGCTCTTGCTCGCTCTCATCATCCTTCCCTCCCAGCTCACTCTTACTCTGCCCTCTTACCTCCTTTCTCACTCACTCCCTCACTCATTCATTCCCTCACTCACTTCCTCACTCACCACGTCCACGTCTTCTTAGTCCTCTCTTACCACGGATAGGAGCACAGAGATGCCTGCCATGTGACTCAAGTCGTGCATTGTTCGCCCACCCACACCCTCACTCACTCGCCCACCCACACCCTCACTCACTCGCCCACCCACACCCTCACTCACTCGCCCACCCACACCCTCACTCACTCGCCCACCCACACCCTCACTCACTCGCCCACCCACACCCTCACTCACTCGCCCACCCACACCCTCACTCACTCGCCCACCCACACCCTCACTCACTCGCCCACCCACACCCTCACTCACTCGCCCACCCACACCCTCACTCACTCACCCACCCACACCCTCACTCACTCGCCCACCCACACCCTCACTCACTCGCCCACCCACCCACTCACTCACTCGCCCACCCACCCACTCACTCACTCGCTCCCTCACCAAGTCCACATCTTCTCGGTCCTCTCTTAGCGCGGATAGAAACACAGGGATACCTGCAAATCGTGCATTGTTCCCTCACCCACTCCCTCACAAAATCTCACTCACTCACTCACTCCTCACTCACCAGGTCCACGTCCTCTCGGTCCTCCCTTAACACGGATAGGAGCACAGGGATACCTGCCACGTCACCCACACGCACGCACGCGCACAGAAAGACACGGGCTTAAGCAAGGGGTAGAAGCGGTTGCTGGGAGTGCAATAGTTGAAGTACGCACGCATTTGTAACGCAGTCAGAAGGTGATGTTGGTAGCTGAACGGGGTCGTCTTCTACTATGCAATAGTTGAAGGACGTACGCATTTATTCATGAGAGCTTTCACGTTGTTGCATGGCAGACAATGGCATGGCAGATCGTTGCATGGCACGCATGGTGCACCTACCCCACACCTTACTGTGAGGCGCATCTCATCGCATCTCATGCCATTTATCGCTGCAAAACTCACTTTGCACGACAACTTTTCTCACCTTATGAGACTGTGTGCGACAGGGCTGTCTCTGCGACAGTCTATAACCTCTGTGCGACGTCTGTGCGACTCACCCATGGCTCCCAGCGCCTGCTGTGCGACAGGGCTGTCCGTGACGACGTCCCGCAGATCCGCCATGGCGGACTGGCGATCCTCGGCGAGCACGCCATTGCTGATGCGATCCAGCAGCCGCTCCACTCCGCTGTTAACGCGTACAAAGTGTAGGGTTGCATACAGCAGCGAGGGACAGCAAGGGGGAAGGTAAGACAAGGAAGCAGGGAGCGAATCACGCATTATTTTTTAGGCGCCTTTTGAGTCGACTCAAAAGTCACCTCCTTACAATGTCACACAATGATTTCTTAGGCGCCTCAAAACTCGAATCGCGCACTAAAGGTAGCAGAGATCGCAAGGCAAGTATGGAACAAGAGGCGGAGCACAACCTACGGATAAATATAAAAATAAAAATGGCAATCTAATCATGCGTGAGGACCGTTCGTGCAGCTGCTTTGAGCAGTCCCGCAAGTATTGCCAATCACCCTTCTCATTCTCAGATATTGTCGCTCATTTTCCATCATCGTCGCAGGTCGTCGCAAGTCGTCGCTTACCCGTCGTCCTCTTGGTCGTCGCCGCTTCCGAACACGAGCCCTCCCACCCCCTGCGCGACGGCGTTCAGATTCAGCCGTCCGAGCTTAAACGCCATGGCTGCTCCACAAATTCAAATACTTCTCCACGGATTCGATTACTGCGACGGACTTAACTATTAAGGTCACTGGATCTGATACCTCCCAAAGACTACGAGTGGAAAGATTACTCTCCTATGCTACAGTAGCCTAGCTGGAGAATCGCTAGAGAAAGGTGGCTGATTTGTCACGGGATAGCAGTGCGGAACCGACGAGTGTAACGTCACCAGAGACCCGAGCTTCTGACCAACTCGAAAGTCACCAGATTCAGAATTTCGTCACCCCTCAGGCTAGTAAACACGGCTGTTGCTTTGACGAATATCGAATAGCGAATGACCAACGTCGCTGGCAGAGGAATGGTCGAGATGCTTATCGAGGCGCCTCAAAACGTCTCAAAGATGCCTATTCAGGATTCGCGTTGCGTCAGAGGAAGGGCCGAGATGCTTACCGAGACGTCTCAGAGATGCTTATTCAGGATTCGCGTAAACTGACGAAGCCATGGCTTGGCACGAGCAACTGCAATTAGCTAGTCTCTCGACAAGGCCGTCATCGCGAAAGCACAATGACGATCTGGTACGTCCTGCTGAAGTCGCATAGACCGCTTTACGACTCACCGCAGGAAGTTTTTCTGCGGATAATTCAGCTGAGGAAGAAATATCGGGAATGAGGTAATCTGAGAACCCCGCAATACGCGGAGCAGTGCAGCAGTGTTAGGGCGTGTATCAGGTGCAAGGAAAACGATGTCACCCGAACCGACGTCGTAGCGCGGTACAGTGGGTTTTCTCATGTTCGAGAAGCTTTCTGTGCATACACCCCTTAGCTAGCTTTGCAGACACCTTGGGATTCGTTTGTATGAACGGAGGAAGGCGTTTCCGCAACAACGGGTTTGTTTGAACACGTTCGTGATTTCGCTCTTCCACTGTAGCTCCCCTTATATCCCCCGGTGATATTCGTCAACATAGTTAGGGAAAATTCCTACGCACAGGGATCAGCAGGATTCAAGATCAGACTCATGAGGAACCAATTTGAACTACACTAAAACGTGATTCTAATATTTGCACCGCACAGGACCGGTTTATATGAATACGCCCTTATATGCAAACCACAAGAAGAAGCTTCACTATGCAAAAAGTGGAGCATTGCATGAAATGTGGACCAATACTGATACTTCCACACTTGCAACGAAGGGATTGTCCTCACTTTGAATCTCAGGACCTCCCTCCAAGCAGCATCAAGGTTCTAGTGTGTGTTACAGCAGCAGTACCTTGAGGTGTTGCTCTGTTCTGCTCCCTGCCCAACCATGCTGCTCCCTGGAAGGCAAGCACGGAGAGAGCCCCTCCCTTCTCTCGTCTCATCTCATTCCCTCCTCTCCGCTCCCCTCCTTTCCCTTCTTCCAACCATCTCCTCTCATCTCTTACCTACCGACCCTCCACACGAACCCTAAAAGGGCATAAGGCCGTTGAAACAACCCTAAATTCCACGACATAGCAGCAAACTGGAAAAGTCTGACACTGAAGAGATACCCTCGACAAGTACACCCCTTCCACCCCCATTCTACACAATCAAATCACCCTTCAAACGGCTCAAAATACTTCCTATCCAGCAAAAAAGCACCATGGCCGAACCGAATAGCCCATGAGTCCTTAGGCCGCCGGTCTATAATCCTCCCAGCGTCGCCCACTCTGATCAGCCCATCGTTCCGCCTAAGCATCGGCATAGGTTCGGCAGACTTCACGAACGGAGGCTCAGCAACAATTACTACGGCGGTTCCGCTCTGAAGCACCACGTTGCTATCGCCGCTTTTTCCGCCGCTTTCCGCGCCGTTAGATCCGCTATCGGATGCACCGTCAGCAGCGGCAAGAGCTAGGACCCGCGTGCAGACGTGGCTCGTGGATCTTGACGTGCCGCATTGTGATTGGCTGGCGATGCGGAATAAGCTGAGTGGCGATGCACCTGCCTGATGATGACCGGATGCGTAAGAAATCGACGGTGGAGATTGCCTCGACGACGTGAACGGCGACGATGTCGGGAGCTGCGGAGATGCCACTAGTCCTGAAAGAGCAAGAGAAGCCGCCATGGGATCTAAGATTGTCCGGGGAAACGGCTCCTACAAGGATTAGACGTGAAGTAAGGGAAGTGGCAGGCTAGGTGCAGGAAAGTAAGCGAAACCTATGTATGGGTCTACCACCAGTACGCTGAGCAGGCTAGGTGCGGGAAAGTAGTCAGACAGGCTGGGGTGAGAATGTGGCAGTTCGCAGTCACATACTTCCGCGTGCGAAGTTCAAATCGATACCCTTTGCTCCGATTTCTCTTTACACCGCACACACTAAATTATTATATAAGAAACAAGGTCCTTTCAGCAGTGTACATTCCTGTGTTGCCAAATTGCAGGCGCATGCTTGATTGGCCAAGACGCGTCGCGTCTGCTTCGTCGGTTCGGACAATCACCTGCGCTTTGCTCGAGCCGAAAGGCCTTGTTCCGCTTGCCCTTGCGCCTTGCCGAAGCTACGAACCACGTGGCCATACCGAATATGATTGGAAGTCAAAGCCAAAGCCGGCGATACATTACCCTTATGTCAACCAAGCCACTTGCTTTTGCAGCAATCTGCCAGCAAATGTTATTTCCGAACCGACATGGTAGGCTCACAGCGAGCCGCTTCGTGCGCCCACAGGCTTTCCTCTTTCACCTCCCCCCCCAGCCAAGCCATTTTGATGCGTTGAGGGAAGGGGGGCCGAATTGCTCTCGTCGGGGCGAAGTCGCAGTGGAGGGGCGTAATTCAACCACGCCTCGCTCGCAACTCGACAGGTGCAGCACCATATGCCAGCTTCGGTCTCCTTCCTTCTCTGTTGCAGATCCTTACAACAGTTTCACCCCATCCATTTCAGGGAGATTCATCAGCACCCACGTCCTTAGTTCACAAATTCATTCGCTCTTGCCCCAGTTGATTAGCTCTTCGTCTCTACCTACATTCATATTGCGGCACACACGCACGGCCTGAACATCAGCAGCACCCCCCCAAGGAGCAAACGCTCCACCGACACCAACATCACGCTTCACGCCAGTGAATCGCGTCGCGTTTACCCATCCGCTCCCCTACAACCTGCCTTATTCTAGTTCGCCTTCTTTCGTTAGAGCACGAGCGCATGTCAAAAGCGGAGGCCATGGCCACACGCGTTCCCACGACACACTTCCTTGCCGTTCTCCTCGTCGTCCTGCTACTGCAACCCTCGTATTCTCTCGCCCAAGGCAAGTCCCTCTACGCCATCGAGTTTGTTAGCAACGTCCGGAAAGTCCCTCTGCGACACACCTCCTTGCCGTTCGTCTTATCGCCGTCCTGCTACTGCAGGCCCCGTGCGCCCCCGCCGAAGGCAAGTCCCACAACCCAATCTCTAACCTCGTGCGCCCCCGCACCATATTTTGGCTCAAAACTCACCGCAACCTCTACATCTCTTACGAAAGGAATGCGGAATTTTACTTGCTCTATTTCCTGAGACGTCTCCCAATGCGCCTGTTTTTATACGGTGGTCCTCGCAGAGTCGATAAAAGGCGTCGCACTCGTCAGGGGCGCGTCAGGGAAGGTGGCGCCGCAGAATGCAGCAACGTGAGGCGCCCCGTGCCCTTGCGTTCGATCCTTCCCGCCATTATGCAACTTTTCTCACGCTCTCATTACCACTTTTATCCGTCGCTCCCCGTCGCAGTTTCGTTTGCAGTTTCTTCTGCAGTTTCGTTTGCAGTTTCGTTTTGCAGTTTCTTCTGCAGTTTCGTTTGCAGCTTCTTCTGCAGTTTCGTTTGCAGCTTCTTCTGCAGTTTCGTTTGCATCTTCTTCTGCAGTTTCGTCTGTTGTTTCCTTTCTGCCCATGTGGTGCCATCCATCCATTGCATGTTCATCGTTGCATGTGGATTAATCGTTGTCCTTTCATCAGCCTTTCCTCTGGTGCAAAATCATGACACGTTGTGCACCATTGTCCCCTGTACTCTACTCTTGTCCCTTTCCTTCTCGCCTATTGCGCTTTCTCGCCTATTGCGCTTTCTCGCCTATTGCGCTTTCTCGCCTATTGCGCTTTCTCGCCTATTGCGCTTTCTCGCCTATTGCGCTTTCTCGCCTATTGCGCTTTCTCGCCTATTGCGCTTTCTCGCCTGTTGCGCTTTCTCGCCTATTGCGCTTTCTCGCCTATTGCGCTTTCCCCGTAGCCTTGCTTGTAATCCGAGTCTCACTTTCCTCGTTGCGCACCTCGTTTTCGTTCCCCAGCTGACTTCCCTCACTCTTCCCTGCCTCTTTTGCAACCAGAGCGACTGCCACGCCGCCATACACGGACACCTTCGACCCTGCAGCGGTTGAGGCGGCGGCGGTGGAGGCGGCGGCGAAGCGGTCGCGCGCCCCTCTGCGATACAGTCGCAAGGAGGTGATCTCGTCGTTCAACAAGGCGGCGCACCTCGTGCGACAATCCGCGCAGATCTTCCCTCAGACGTCCCCGTGAGTGTTGTGTACCCCCTAGTAGCTGCGTCGCTCTTCATTGTAGCAAACGCCGTCGTCGTCGCGCGCGCCTCTGCGATACAGTCGCGAGGAGGTGATCGCGCCGTTCAGCAAGGCGGCGCACCTCGTGCGACTCTGCGCGCAGAACGTCTCCCAGACCTCCCCATGCGTGTTTTGTACCCGTTAGTAGCTTCATCGCCTTTCCAGATAACACACGCCGTCGTTCAACAGGGCCGCGGACGTCGTGCGTTCTCCGCGCACAGTTCCCCCAGACGTCCCCGTGAGTCTCGTACCTGCCTCCCCGCTCCCCCTCTTCCCTCCCCAACCCCCCTTCCCCCCAGGCATTTCACGCGCCTGTTCACAGCAATGCAAGCCTTCCGCAACGCAGTGGCGCTGGTGGAGATGGGCTAGCGCAAGTACAACCTCGCAGAACCCCAAATGCTTCCCGCTTCCTTGCCCTCCTTTCTCCCAAAATGCCTCCCCCCTTTCCTTCCCTTGTCTCTCCTTCCCCAGGCACTTTTCCCGCCTGTTCACAGCAATGCAGGCGTTCCGTAATGCAGTGGCCTTAGTGGAGATGGGCAAGCGCAAGTACAACCTCGCAGAGCCCCAAATGCTCAACGGGATCCGCCTGCTGCAGCTGGAGCTCCCCCAGTTAGAGTCTGCCCCGCTGGTTCGGGAGCTGGGTCGGCAGATCACCTGGCCCGAGGGCCAGGCTCGGAACTTCGGGGTTTCTGCGCTGAGAGTGGCGCAGAATGGGCTGAATTCGTTCTTGGTGCAGAAGTCGAGGAAGCGGCAGCAGGAGCTGCGCCAGCAGCAGCTGCAGCGCGTGCAGAAGGAGCAGGGGCAGCAGGGGGCGCAGGGGCAAGAGGGTGGTCGGTAGTGGTAACAATACTCGTCGGCAATCACTGTGATTGCATGCGAAGCAGCATCAGGAGCTGCGGCAGCAGCTGCTGCAGCGTGTGCAGAAGGAACAGGGGCAGCAGGGGCAAGGGGGTGGTCGGTAGGGGTAGCAGCACTCTATGTACTGTAACATTGTGTATATGTGGGTTAACATTCTAGGGGAAAGATTTCCTTTATCGGCCTTTTTGGGGTGGGTGCGCCTTATGGGGGCAGGGGAGAGATGGCAAACGGCAAGGCAGCAGCAGGAGACATGCAGAAGGACCAGAAGCAGCATTCGAGGGGTTCTTTATAGTGGATAGGAATCAGAAGGACGTTGAGTTGACTGGTGTTCACCAACTGGGAAGAAATAGTGTCTCATGTCCAAGAATATTAGCTTATGCCAATGGCATAGGTAGTCCACATTTCGGGAGGCATATTCTCATGACCAATAATAAGATATGGACCTAATTGAACGCCAACACTTGGAACCTAGGTTCCTTACCAATGATGTCCTTTGCACCAGGCCTTATTCAACGAGTTTTAGCTACTCTCCAGCTTATAGCGAATAAAGATGAATTGCAGGCGTGCAACGTCAGATCGCCCTTCCAGTTGGTGTTTTGTGCGGCAGTATTTAGGCCACGTCGCAATATTCCACCTGTAACCTAAAATAGCCACGTGGATTCTGGACCAAAATATAGCATCCTCGGGTTCGTCGACAAGGGCCTGTCGCGAACCAAACCTTGCTGATGAGTGAAATTCGAGCTCAAAACATTTTTTCCGGCCCGTTCAGGAGCGGCTTGGGCTTTCGCCCTGTCCGTGCCTCCCCTTGGGAACTGCCCCTGAAACGAAAAGAACACACACATTTACGACTGGCGAGCCCTGCCACACTCACATCCTACCCCCCCTCCCCTGGCTGCCATGTCCTCCCAAGTCCAGACTCCCTCCCGACAGTGTAAAGTTTTGTACCGTACAGTACCACACTCGCTCTGATCCTTTCTCCCTCATCCACTCCCCTTTCCCTGGAGAACTCGTCTTTTCGCCTCCCTGCCAGCATGGTCAGTTGACTGTTGGGTGTAGGAATGGCTGCAGTGCTGTGTGGTTCCTGCTCTAAGGTCTAATTGCCTGCAGCACTTACACTACTCCCAGCGGGTTGTCGTGATCGACTCTTCGCTTTGACGCCTCGCGCTTTCGCAGGTTCGATCTTTTGCAAAGCGTGTTGCATACGCTCGGTTCCGCGATCGTTCGGGTAAGCTCGTCGGTATGGCGAGCAGCGCGGCTTGCGCTGGGCCTCTTATTCGCCTTCACGCGCCGAGCGGAGCGTTAGATCAGCCGATCTCGAGACGCTCACTGGGTAACGAAAGGCCAGCGCACTCGTTAGCCGCATCAGCTCCCCAAATTCACAAACACGCAGCTTCCTATAATAGAAGTGCTTATAACGGGAGTGCCAGTGGCGGGAGTGCGAATGGCGGGAGTGCCAAGTGTAGGTCTTCTCCTTTCAGAACCCCTCTGATCCCGTCCGCGCAGTCAGTGTCAGTAGGTTCTAGGAGGCTATTGGCGACAGTCGAGCCGCTTACCTCTAGGTTCGAGCCGCTTAGGCCACGGACCGTTAGGTCGAGGCGCACACAGCAGGTTGTCAGAGCCGCCGTAGACACGTCACCTCCATCTACCAGCTTCCGTGGCACCAGTAGCCGTCAGCCACGTGGCATCCCTACAGGCACGAATGGTGCCGCGATTTCCGGAAACGGATCGGCCACGCGATTCGCGTCGAAGCCAGCTCAGCAGCAACCTCTAAAGCGGTCGTTGGAGCGGCCGCGCGACAGAGTGTTCGAGGAGGATCCGGCGGAAGAAGCCGCCGCTGCGCGCCGAGCGGTCGGCGCGCCCCTGTACGATGCGCAAGGGCTGGCGAAATTCTACTCGAAGCGACCGCTAGAGGTGCGGGGAGGGGATAAGAGGGGGAAAGGGGGGGTAAGGGGGAAGGGGGAAAGGGGTTGGGGGGTGGGGGGTGGGGTAAGGGGGAAGGGGGAAAGGGGGAAAGGGGGTGTTGGGGGGGGGGAGGGGGGGGGGGGGGGTGGATGTGGGTGGTGGAATTGGGAGGAAGCGGAGGGAAGGCAAGGCATGAGCGCCTGCCCGTGCACGACGCGCAGGGGCTGGCCGCTGGCGGAATTCACGTGAATCGACCGGTAGAGGTGGGAGATCGAAGGGGGAATGGGGAAAGGGAAACCCAAGGCTTGTACCTGAGGCGACCGGTAGCGGTGGATAAGAGGGGGGAGGAGAGGGGGCCCAAGGGGGATGGTGGACGGGGGAATGTGGGCTGTGGAGTGTGGGCGGTGGAATTGGGAGGAAGCGGGTGGAAGGCAAGGCATGAGCCTGTCTCTGTACGACAAGGCCTGGATAAAGTCGTCCGCTACAGCGTAAGGGCTGGATAAAGTCGTCCGCTACAGCGTAAGGGCTGGATAAAGTCGTCCGCTACAGTGTAACGGCTGGATTAAGTCGTCCGCTACAGCGTAAGGGCTGTATAAAGTCTACTCGAAGCGGCCGCTAGAGGTGCGGTCAAGGGAACCGTTATGTGCCTCCTCACCACAGCGCTAGGCTCGGTCGAATCTCAGTCCTCCACCCTTCCCCCCTCGCCCCTCCCTCCATACCCACCCCCCCTCGCCCCTCCCTCCATACCCACCTCCCCTCGCCCCTCTGTCTGAACCCAGTCCTCCCCAATAGGTGCTGGGCCGAGCCCTGCGTTTCACCACAGCGCTGGGCTCGGTAGCTTCTCAACCCGTCACTCTGCCCCCTACTTCCCCCCCCCCCGCCCACACTCCCATCCCTCCCCCCGTCCGATCCTCCCCGATAGGTGGTGGGCCGAGCCCTGCGTTTCACCACAGCGCTGGGCTCGGTAGCTTCTCAACCCGTCACCCTGCCCCCTACTTTCTTCCCCTCCCACCACTCTTCCCCCCACCATCCCCTTCCTTTTCTCCACCCCCCCCCTTCTCCTCCCCCCCCTTCCTCTCCCTTCCTCCCCCCATCCGACCCTCCCCAACAGGTGGTGGGCCGAGCCTTGCGCGTCACCACAGCGCTAGGCTCAGTAGCCTTCTCCGTCCTGGTGGATCGGCAGCGCGGCCAATTAGACGCCAACATGCCGCGCCGAGCCTCGCAGCTTCGGCGCGCGCTGACGAGCCTGGGCCCTACGTTCGTGAAGCTAGGTCAGGCGCTCTCCACGCGCCCGGACCTGTGCCCCCCGGCGTATCTAGACGAGCTGGCGCTGCTGCAGGACGCGCTGCCGACTTTCCCCGACGCAGAGGCGTTTGCGTGCATCGAGGGGGAGCTGGGGCGCCCCATGGAGACCCTGTTCGAAGCCATCAGCCCCTCGCCCATCGCTGCTGCCAGTCTGGGCCAGGTGAGAGTTCCCCCCCTTCCTCCTCGCTCCAGGCGCTCTCGGCCCGCCCGAACCGGACCTGTGCTCCCATGCGCAGAGGCGTTTGCGTGCATTGAGGGGGAGCCTGGACGACCCATGGAGACCCTGTTTGAGGCCATCAGCCCGTCGCCCATCGCTGCTGCTAGTCTGGGCCACGTGAGCAACCCCGCTGCCGCTGTTTGAGGCCATCAGCCCATCTCTTAGCGTGTTTACATGATGTGCTGCCGCTGCTGCCGCCGCCGCTGCTGCTGCTGCCGCCGCCGCTGCTGCTGCCGCTGCCGCTGCTACCGCCGCCGCCGCCGCTGCTGCTGCTGCTGCTGCTGCCGCTGCCGCCGCCGCCGCCTGCTGCTGCTGCTGCTGCTGCTGCCGCCGCCGCCACCGCCACCGCCGCCTGTGCATGCATTGAGGGGGAGCTTTCTCTTTCGCTCGTCATGGGCCCAAGACGTTTTTCAAACGTCCCTTTTCCCTCCGTCCCCCAACCTGCAGGTCTACTTACGCACCAGGCTTGGCTAATGGGGTCGGCCACGCCAGTAGTAGTGCAGGTGCAGTGCAGGCACTCTCCGCTTCCCTTTCTGCTTTGTCCGGATCATGTGTCTTCCAGCCACCGCTCTGCTCCCTGCATGCAGGTCTACAAGGCACGGCTGATCGGGTCCGGCACGGCAGTGGCAGTGAAGGCGCAGCAATTGGGGGTCCATAATCATCCTTCCCCCCTCCACCTCCCCCATCCTCCCCCCCCTTCCTCCCCCTCCCCCTTCCTCCCCTCTCCTCCCCCCCCGTCTTTCCCCTCTCCCCCCAACCGTCAGGTGTACAAGGCGCGGCTGGCAGGGTCCGGCACGCCAGTGGCGGTGAAGGTGCAGCGGCCGGGGATCACAACAGCTATAGGGCTCGACTTCCTGCTGATCAGGGGGCTGTGCTCGCTGGTGGACAAATACGTCGACTCGCTCACCACCAGTGTACGTGCAGTGCAGAGCGGTGCAGTGAGGTACAGTGAGGTACAGTGAGGTGCAGTGCAATAGCAGTGAAGGTGCAGTGGCCATGGATCACGACGGCCCAAGGACTCGACTTTCAGCTGATCAAGGCGCTGTGCTCGCTGGTGGACAAATACGTCGACTCGCTCACCACCAGTGTGAGTTGTGGCTGATGTATACTGCGCTGGATATATCGCATGTGCATGTGCGAAGTATGTTGACTCGCTCACTACCAATGGTGGTTAAGTAGGTTAATTTTGAGTCGTCTCAAAACTATCCGACTTAACCACCTTTTTAGTCGTCTCGAAACTATCCGACTTAATCACCTTTTGAGTCGTCTCAAAACTATCCGACTTAAACCACCTTTTGAGACGTATCAAAACTATCCGACTTAACCACCTTTTGAGACGTCTCAAAACTATCCGACTTAACCACCTTTTGAGATGTCTCAAAACCCGAGTTCATTAGGATTGTTGGGACGGATTGATCAAGAATCTGCCCCTCTGCTGCCGCCCTTCCTCCTGCCCTCTCCTCCCACCCCACTCTCTTTCCGCCCCTGTCCTGTCTTCCCCAACTGCAGTGCAGTCACTCGCTCTCTTGGACGAGTTTGCCGATCGAGTGGATCAGGAGGAGTGGCGGTGCTGCTGTGACATCGGACTTTCTTTCTCTCCCTCCTTGCCGCCTTGCTCCCCCTCCCTCTCTTCCCAACCCCCATCTTCCCCAACCGCAGTCAGTCGCTCTCTTGGACGAGTTTGCAGACCGAGTGTATCAGGAGGTATGTAGTTGAGAAAAAGGGGCCGGAGGTGGGGAGGTCCAGGGAAGGGTGGATGAGTAGGGGAGGATAAGATCGGATGAATTTGCAGAGGGAGCGTATCAGGGGGTGAGTGCAAGGAGGGGGAGAAGATGGGGGGAGAAGATGGGGGGAGAAGATGGGGGGAGAAGGGGGCAACATGGGGGATAAGGGGGAAAGGTTTGGGGAGAGGGGGAGAGACAGTGACAAGTTTTGCAGACAGTGTCTTGCTTTCCTTCCACCCCTCTCCCCCCCACTTCCCCCCTCCCCCCTCCCCTCACCTTCTCCTCTCTCCCCCGCCACCTTCTCCTTCCACCCGCACCCCCCCGCTTAACCCGTTTCCTCTCAGCCCAACAGGTGGCAAGAGGCCTGCATCGCCCTTGCAAGGCGCTTCAATTGCCACCCGCTATCCCCTCCGCCCCCTCCTCCTCCCCTCTCCCTTCCCTCCACCTTCCCCCCTTCACCTTTCCCCCTTCACCTTTCCCCCTTCACCTTTCCCCCTTCACCTTGCGCCCCCATCAGCTCAACTACGTGCAAGAGGCTCGCAACGCGCGCCGTTTCCGGCAGCTGTATGGCGACCAGAGCGGGGTGTATGTGCCGCAGGTGAGGGGGGGGAAGAGTTGCATGTGGGTGCGTGTGGTAGAGGGTTGCATGTGGTAGAGGGTTGCATGTGGTAGAGGGTTGCATGTGGTAGAGGGTTGCATGTGGTAGAGGGTTGCATGTGGTAGTAGAGTGTGTGTATGACTCGCTTAGGCAGCTGTATGGCGACCAGAGGGGGGTGTATGTGGCGCAGGTGAGGGTGAGGGGGCTGAAAGACGGTAAATGTCAGACTAGTGATGAGGGAGGGAGAGGGGTGCATGTGCGACACACAGGGTGAGGGGTGCATGTGCGACAGACAGGGTGAGAGTGAGTGCGCTTTTCACATTGTGTGGCGCAACACCTACTGCCGGGTGCTGACCCTGGAGTGGGTGCATGGGTGTGAAGCCGGGCGAGGCAGCGAGCTTCTTAGTGCTAATATACTGACGCTGTGTTATGAGCCATCCACCCTTCCCCCCTTGCAGATCGTTTGGCGCACACCTCCTGCAGGGTCCTCTGCATGGACTGGGTGGACGGGGTGATGAAGCTCAGCAATGCAGTGAGCATGTGCGAGTGCAAGTGCTAATCCATATGTTTGCAACCCCCCTTCCATTCCCTCCTGCAGATCGTGTGGCGCAGCGCAACACATCCTGCAGGGTGCTGTGCATGGAGTGGGTGGATGGGGTGAAGCTCAGGCGATCGGTCTGTGCTTACTTGCCCATAAGCTGCTCTGCATACACCTACCCAACCACCTTGCCCCAACCAGATCGTGTGGCGCAACACATCCTGCCGGGTGCTGTGCATGGAGTGGGTGGACGGGGTGAAGCTCAGCGATGCAGCGAGCATGCGGCAGAACAACTTGGATGTCATCGACCTGGTGGACATCGGCATTCAGTGTTCCTTGAGGCAGCTGCTAGAGTGAGTTGACTCAAATTGGCTAGCTTTGACTAGCGTTGACTGCCATTGACTTTGGGGTGAAGCTCAGCAATGCAGCGAGCATGAGGCAGAACAATTTGGACGTGATCGACCTTATTGGCATGGGCATACGGCGACCGGTGAGTTGACTGGCGTTGACTGTTGTTGACTTTCACTCCAGGTTCGGCTACTTGCATGCTGACCCCCATCCAGGCAACCGTCTTGCCATGCCAGATGGCCGTCTGGCTGGCCCGCACCCCCCTCTCCCTTCATTCCTTTCAACCCCCGTGATTTTCTATTCCCCTTGTTGCTCTCAACCCCTCTCCACCGCTCTCCACGTCTCCAGGTTCGGCTATTTCCATGCAGACCCCCATCCGGGCAACCTGCTGGCCATGCCAGACGGCCGTCTGGCTTTCCTTGACTTTGGTGCGTGCCTGGAGCATTTGCTTCCTTTCTACTTTTTGTTCCCATTAGCTGAAAGAAAGAACCTTCTTGAGAGATAGAGTACCGTATTGCAGGCAAACTCCTCAATGCCTCACCAGATGCCCGTCTGGCCGTCCTAGGGGATGACTTGGAGTAGACTAAAAAGTCGACTAGCCTTCCTGGACTTTGGTGCATGGTAGAGGGAAGATTTTTTTCCCCTAGGGGATTTCCTAGCTAGCGAGCCCTCCTAGCCATGCCTCATGGCCGCTTGGCCTTCCTGGACTTCGGCGCCCACCGTACCTCCCTCATTGCTGCCCCATTCTTGCTGTCCCCTCCATTGCCGAGAGATATGATTTTCCCTCCATGCTTCCATGTTCCCCTAACTTCCCCCTCTCTACACGTCAACCTCACTGTACCTCGTTCCACCGCATTGCACCTCACTGTGCCTCTCCGCACCTCCCTACGGCAGGCATGATAAGTGAGACGCCGTCCCAGCCCGCTTCTCCATCATAGGCCCCACTGTCTTCTTCCAAACCTCACTGCACCGCATTGAACCACATTGCACTGCATCTCACCGCCTCTGTGCACCCCTTACCTCGCAGGCATGATGAGTGAAACGCCGCCCCGTGCCCGCTTCGCCATCATCGGCCACGTGGTGCACCTGGTGAACCGCGATTATGAGGCCATGGCACGCGATTACTATGGTAAGGAGAGGAGACGCTTATAAGGTGGCGTGCTGATAAGGGAGATGCTTGTAAGGGGCACGTATATTGGCCTGTTTTACCCATCATAGGCCATGTGGTGCACCTGGTGAATCGGGACTATGAGGCCATAGCCAGGGACTACTATGGTGAGAATGGCACTTTTTTATAACCGAGATGCTTATAAAGGGACATGCTTATGAGGGATATGCTTGTAAGGGGTATGTGCTCTGTTTCTGTGTCGCCATCATCGGCCATGTGGTGCACCTGGTGAACCGGGAGGGATGATGAGGCCATGGCACTTTTTTATAACCGAGATGCTTATAAAGGGACATGCTTATGAGGGATATGCTTGTAAGGGGTATGTGCTCTGTTTCTGTGTCGCCATCATCGGCCATGTGGTGCACCTGGTGAACCGGGAGGGACCATGAGCCCATGGCACGCGATTACTATGGTGAGAAGGGGTGATGCTTGTAAGGGAGTCGCCTATAAGGGAGATGGCTATAAGGGAGATGGCTATAAGGGAGATGCCTGTAAGGGAGATGCTTATAAGGGAGATGATTGTAAGGAACACGTGTTCTCCTTCGTTTTGCCATCATAGGCCACGTGGCCCCGCACGTGCCCTCCCCACCCTAAGCCCTGCCCTCCTCTGTATGCCCCCTCACCCTTTCCCCCCCACCTCTCCGTACCTCACTCACACCACACCCCACCCCTCTCCTCCCAGAGCTCGATTTCTTGGACCCCTCAGTGGACGTGGCGCCCATAGTGCCGGCTTTAAGAGGCTTCTTTGATGATGTGCTGCAGGTGGGCTGCTAGGGTGGCGTGTGTAGGGGGGGTGACTTGTAGGGGGGTGTGGTGCCAGGGTGTGTGTAGGGGCAGGGGGGGAGTGGTTGGTAGGATGCTGGCAGGCGCCCATAGTGCCGGCTTTAAGAGGCTTCTTTGATGATGTGCTGCAGGTAGGGGGCGGGGATGGGGTGTTGATTGCGAACTCGTGTTGCACTATGGGCCAAGTATGAGTGCCATCATGCCATGCCATGTATGTATGACCATCAACATCATCCATGTCCACCTCATCTTACCATCTGGCGACTGTGAGCATAGTGTAGCTCAACTTCAAGACCATCGTGGATGGGCTGCTGATTGCTGGCTGCTGATGTGGCATGCTGCTCACTGTTTGCCTTATACAACCGTTTGCCTCTCTCTGTCCATCCTTTATTCCCCACCAGGCCACAATCAGCGAGCTCAACTTGAAGACCATCGTGGATGGGCTGCTGATTGCTGGCTGCTGATGTGGCATGCTGCTCACTGTTTGCCTTATACAACCGTTTGCCTCTCTCCGTCCATCCTTTATTCCCCACCAGGCCACAATCAGCGAGCTCAACTTGAAGACCATCGTGGATGGGCTGCTGATTGCTGGCTGCTGATGTGGCATGCTGCTCACTGTTTGTCTTATACAACCGTTTGCCTCTCTCCGTCCATACTTTATTCCCCACCAGGCCACAATCAGCGAGCTCAACTTGAAGACCATCGTGGATGGGCTGCTGATTGCTGGCTGCTGGTGTACCTTCGACCTCATATCGATGCCTCTCTCCATCCCACCTCATGATACCACACTAGGCCACTGTGAGCGAGCTCAACTTCAAGACCATCGTGGATGGGCTGGGAGCAGTGCTGTACCAATACCCCTTCAATGGCGAGTACTTCTCCTTGTATTCCCCTTCATTGTCCCTCCCACCACCACCAACTGCTTCCCGCCCCACTCTACCGCTTCCATGCCACTTCCACCCCATCATGCTCTCGTGCCTACACCACCCATCCTCCCACCCTCCCAATTCTTCCTCTCCTTCATACCCCCATCCATCCAGTCCCGGCCTACTGTGCCCTCGTACTTTTGAGGCACCTCAAAAGCCATTTATCCAGTCCCAGCCTACTATGCCCTCGTTCTTCGCCTCCCTCATTCCCATCGCTCCCCTCCCCTTCTCCCCTCTTCGTTTCCCACTCTCTCCCCTCCCCCCCACTCTCTCCCCCCCACTCTCTCCCCCCCACTCCCCCCCATCCATTCCCTCCCTTCTGCGCCGACATCCTGCGCTCCAATGATTGCCTCTTGCCCCTCCCTTCCTTCCAGTCATACCCCCTTCTCTCTCTCCCTGCCCCTCCCTCCAGTCCCGGCCTACTACGCGCTCATCCTTCGCTCCCTCACTGTGCTCGAGGGCCTTGCTCTCTACTCCGACCCCAACTTCAAGGTAAACCCCTTTCTCTGCTTAGGGTATCTCTGATGTAAGCCTAACAGCGCTCCTTGGGCTTCCCTCACTGCGTTCGATGGCCTTGCTCTCTACTCCGACCCCACCTTCTCAAGGTAAACCTGATTAGCCGAGAGGTTATCAATTTGAAAGTAACACTGTAACACGTCCTTCCTTGCTACGTCCTTTGCTCTGCTCGAGAGCCTGGCTCTCTGTTTCCCAGCTGTGACTGCCACCACTTCTCCCGTCCCTTCTCCCACTCACACTCCCACTCACACTCCCACTCACACTCCCACTCACACTCCCACTCACACTCCCACTCACACTCCCACTCACACTCCCACTCACGCTCGCACACACTCCCACTCACGCTCCCCCTACCCTACTCCTAACAGGTCCTGGCAGCGGCCTACCCCTACATGGCCAAGCGCCTCCTCACAGACCCGAACCCCTACCTGCGAGACGCCTTGATTGAGCTGCTCTTCAAAGACGGTGTCTTCCGCTGGTCTCGCCTGGAGAACCTCCTCACCCAGGGCCAGCGCGACCGGGACTACAAGACCACCGACGCCCTCCAGCCCCTCATGGCTCTCATCCTAGGGCCCGATGGGAAGCCTCTAAGAGCGCTGGTGGTGGCTGAAGGGGTGAGGGTGGCTGAGGCGCTGCTGGTCGCCGGGGCCGTGGATGGGGCGCTGGAGGTGTTACCGGACGCGGTTACCACCGCGCTGCTCCCGCGGCCACTGATGCCGCTGCGAGAGGCGTTGGAGGCGGCGCGAGGGGGGAATGGGAGCTTGAGTGTGAGGGAGGTGGGAGGGAGTGGGGGAGGGGGTGGGGGAGGGAGTGGGAGGGGAGGGGGGGCGAGGGGGGAGGCGAGGGCGAGGAGTATGGAGGAGATGGTGGCGTTGAGGGCTCAGGTGCTGCGGTGCTGGGCTCTGCTGAGAAGCTCAGATGACTTTGACCCCGCGACTCTGCTGCCACTGGTGGATGTAAGTGTACAATCGGTAGGCTGGTATAAGTGGGAGGGAGGGGCGAGGCGAGGGCGAGGAGTATGGAGGAGATGGTAGCACTGGGGGCGCAGGTGCTGCGGTGCTGGGCTCTGCTGAAGAGTTCAGATGACGTGGACCCCGCGACTCTGTTGCCACTTGTTGATGTGAGTGGGTGATGGTAGGATAGCGTGCGGTGCATGTATTGTGGCGGTAGCTTTGAGGGCGGAGGGGCTCGGACCTGTATGCCTGAACTCCTTGCTCCCTTCTTCCCCATCCCGCTTTCCCCTGTCCTGCCCCTTGCAGGTGCTGCAACAAGAGGAGGTGGGGGGGACGGGCTCTGGCTTGTATGCCTGAACTCGGTATTCCCTGTATTGTGCCTCCCGTCCCGTCCTGCCTTCCCCTGTGTTGTGTCTCTCAGATTCTGCAACAAGAGGAGGTGAGGGAGATGGGATCTGACTTCGCCACTGGCTTGCTGCAGAGACTCGCCGCCCGCTCGCTACAGCTGCTGCTACAGCCCCCCCCTGCCGCCCAGGCCCCCCAGCCTGCACCAGTGTAAAGCTCTGTCGCGCCACTGTAACAGGCGCTGTTACGTAGGGTCTTTAGAAAGACTCAGAAGTCAGCTTTCTAGAGCTGCTGTTGCCTATAAATCCGCACCTCTTCTCCCAGCCCACACCGCCTGCTCCATCCAGTTCAGCAGGCACTGTAGAGGCGTTGTGTCTGGTTTCTTCTGGAGCTAATTATTTGAATTTGGGCTCCTTAAAACTGGTTATCGAATGCCAAAAACATCATACCATCATCCCTCCTGTTTGTGTCTACATGATTGCATGACCTGATGTAAGCTACCAGTGGACACTTGGTTCAATTCGGCTCCTCTGGAACGCGACCTGCTCTTCCTGTCAGAAACCGAGAGGCGAGTCATGATCACGACTAAAAGCAAGTCACCCTTATCGGTGGGGAAAGGGTGAGCAGCATAACCGCCCACGGATCTTGGGTGACCTGTCACTTGATGACTTGGGACCGTGGAGGATTTTGGATCAAGTGTAGATTCTGGGTGCTAGATGGTCTGAGTAATTTCAGAGCGGTTTGGCGCAACACAGCGGTGTGCTGTCCTCCTTCAGGGCGGGTTTTCCTGCCCAAGCAAGCAAGTGCACCAGCTGGCTGTTGGGGCATTCGTGCAATCCCATATACATTTCGGAGCAAATGGGCTCGGAACTGGATAATCCCGCATTTCACGGGGTCTGGCCAAATCTGTCTCGAGCGTCTTGTTCCGATACAATTTACACATAACAATCTTGATACACCGAAATGATCGACGAAGTTGAGGCTTGTGTGAGGGGATGGGGCTGGTTCTTGAATCTGCTAGGAGGTATTGTCGAAGAATGCCAGCATGCTACAGATTCTCACGTGTTGGGTTCCGAAAGAATTGCGCACAGTGGCTTCAGGGTGCCAGTCATCTCCCAGAATGCAGGAACCACAGTACAAGCACTCTTTGAATTTCAGAAATAAGAAAAACTACCCTTCAAACTTACTCACATTATCGGTGGCATATTTCGAGGGGTGTCTCCAGCTGTGTCAGCAATACAGGGTGTCATCTGTAGATGCTCTCTTGTTCAATGCAAGCTACTGTATCCTCCTCAGGGTGCCTCCACCGCATGTCACAAAACCTGACCCGAGGATGTTTACGGCATCGATTGGTACACATCATCAGGTGCGCTGACATGGATAAATCTTATCCGTGAAAGCTCTCCTGTCAGCTATCCTGACACGGGGTTGAGCCCTCCCTTTCTGGCCAGGAGTCTGGCATATCTTGCTTGGGGACTTTCCAACTGTACTGGATCTCGTGCAGTTTTACAGTAGGGGTCTGGAATGCTCTAAGCTGCATAGCAGCTGTTGCAACGAGCCCGTGAGGAAAATGGCTGAACACCCCCATGCGCTCAATGTGTAAGTCACGTTTTATGCGAGAGCCATGGATCAATTTGAACTTACGTTCTTCCTAACAATGTCAACTCACGCAAGCAACTCGCCGCTCGAGTGCAATGGCGACAGCAATTGCCGTGTGAAAAAACGTGATACCAAAGAAGAATAAATCGCATTTTCTACATTACTACTCGCGCGGTCCGTGTCTCCGACGATTCTTGATGTGCTGTCTACATCGCAAGTCCTTCATTCGTGACTGGAGGAATGAGTGAATTACATTTCTTCAGATTGAAATCTGCAGCCTATCAGATCGCATCGTCACGTCCAACATCCCCTCACAATTCATCCCTGCTCCTCGTTGGTCCTTTCCTTGCTGGTCCCTTCTTCCTCGTTGATCGGTCCGAACGAGTCGTTGATCCCTGTCCCTACCCTTTCTGCCAAACATTCGTCACTTATTCGTCTTGATAAGATGCGACTTCAATAGCTGTCATCGCCGCTTTCCTGCTGTCTCCTTTGCTGCCAGTGCAACGTGCACCATCCAGCATTTCGCGGATTGGTCCTAGCCAGGCCGTGCTTTCCCCTCAATGGCGACTTCCGTTCACGCAGCACTTGCGACTCGCGCTAATGGCTGAAAAGCATCCCATCTCAGCCCGAGAAAACTGGTAAAACAAAATATACGCGCAATCCAAGGCGATCGTGATAGCTCGGTATATTCGTTTACAGCCACCCCGTCATTCCAGCAACGCTATCACCGTTCCAGCAAACCGGATCCGACCGTCCGTATCACCGATCCAGCGGACGGTGACTGTATGACTGTCCTTATCGCCGTCCGTGCGTCGCACGCTGACTCTGCTCGGTCCCAGCCTTTCGACGCGCGATATTTCGAGCCGTTTCAGCCTCTCGTCTTCCTGCTCCCCTCCCCCCTTATCCTTCTCGCACTCGCCGATTTGACTGATAAGTCGTGCTTCTTTTTCCACGGAAGCCATTTTCATATATCCCTTCATCAGGGCCTGAGATCTAACGCTGAGAAGTCTTGCGTTTCTGCCTCGCCGCTACTTCCGTTTCAGTCCACTGCCATGGCTGCCGCGTGTCCCAGCTTGACATCGAGTTCTACCCACCATACGGCGCCGGCCACCACCACCACCAATCTGAAGTGATAGTAGAGCCGTCTACGCCTGTTATTTCAGCTTCGTCTACTCCTGTTATAGCAACATCGTCTGCACCTGAGGCGACGACCCAGCGGCAGAACACCAGTGGTCGAGTGAGGGGTCCGAACACACCTGTACCCACGTCAGCAGCCACGCCAGCAGCCAAGTCAGCGGCCTTCTTACCTCGGAGTCCCAGTGACAGCGGTCGAGTGAGGGATCCGAACCGGCGGCTGATGATGTGGAACCGAGCGACACGGGGAGGAGGCTCGGTAGCCGCTGCCACAGCAGGCACTGCAGCGACTTCCTCACCTCCAAGCCCCAGCGGAGGACCCAGTGGGAGTCCCATTGAGAGTCCCAGTGGGAGTCTCAACGGTGGTCCCAGTGGGAATCCCAGTGGGAGTCTCAGTGGGAGTCCCTGGGACAGTGGTCGAGTGAGGGATCCGAACCGGCGTCTCATGATGTGGAACCGAGCAACAAGGGCAGGAGGAGACGCCACGGCAGCATCAGGAGCAGCAGGAGCAGGAGCAGCGGGGACCTACCACAGTCCCACTATGAGCAGAAGCAGCAGCAGCGGAAGCTATAGAATCGGTGGTGTGGCAACCACCTTACCCCCGGCAGTTTCTGCCATTGGCAACGTTTCCTACGACGAAGACTGTTACTACTGCCAAGCAGTCCCCACTGCTACTACTGGGACGAATAATGGCGTGGCTACTATCGCCTGGATCACGCGATGCTTCTGCCGCAGGACGTCTCAACTGGCCGCTGCAACGATGGCAGGGGAAAGCAAGAATGTTGGCGGCACTGCTACTTCTACTGCCAGCACCACCCGAGAATGTGTGTCAGCAGCAGCAGCTCAGGGGTCCAGCTCAGGGGCGCATTTTGATTGCCTTCATGTGACTCAAGAATGCATGACTCAGGAAGGCGTGATTCAAGAAGGCGTGACTCAAGAGGGCGTGATTCAAGAAGGTGTGTCTCAAGAGGGCGTGACTCGAGAGGGTGTGTGTAAAGAGGGCGTGACTCACAATGCACCCACTAGGGGTTGCTCCTTCGGCCCCTTCCAAGTGGCCCAAAGCTACACCCAAGAATGTAACAACAGCACCCGAGACAGCACCTATGGCAGCAGCGACAACAACTCAACGTCTGCCCTGAACGCAAGCACAAGTGTGGGAGAGAATACGAATGCAAATCCCACCACCGTTCCCATGCAAATGCTTGCCGGGTTCCAGGAGAGTAATCCACATGTTCAGCTTCAGAGGTATCAGCCTGCTGGTGCAGCAGAGACGTGTGTGTGTGTGTCCCCTGCTATCCGTCCTCATCCTCCAGCTCCCTTCCCACGATCCATGTCCGAGAGCGTCCCACGACATGCCTCCTTTGAGTGTGCAGCTTGCTCCGCTGATATCACCCGCACCGTCTCCTCCTCAGCATCCACCTGTTCAGGGCGCTTCTTATCCCCCTCTTCAGGCTCCCTGTCAGCCCCGTCTTCTGCCTCCACTCCTGTTGCATCCCTTTCCGCCTCCTCGTCAGCCTCCTCCTTCGGGTCCTTTTCTGCCTGCGCTATCGGGCCAGCCTCTCCCACCCTTGGGCGGCTAGAGGAGGGAGCTGAGGCGGGCGTGTTTGCTTGGGCGGCGCGTCAGCGGATTGCAGCGCATGCAAAGCAGCAGTCGGTGCTTTCACTGCAATCAGACATAGCCTCACACATGTTCGTGAGGAGGCAAACCGTGCTTGCGGCGAAGGGAGGGCTGGTGGAAGGATTGTCGACCTCCTGAAAACGGCAGGGAATCAGAGATACTGTATACCTCTTTACAAGTACCACATGCCCCGGGGCTAGGTACCAGTCAATAGGTACAACCTTTCTAGTTATACAATGCTGGCTTTTATATGGTAGGTACCTGGTATGCCTTCAGGGGAAAGGGCCAAAGCTCTTGTGCTGTTGTGCCCTTTTCCAGCAAGTTAAGGCTCGCTCAAGTTCCCATGAATGAAAGAATATCATTAAAACAAGATCCCAACAACGAAAGGGAACCTACGATGTGGTAAGTATTGAGTCCATACGGACTGTCGTTTCGTTATTAGCTGACGCAGCAGGAGGCTGCTGCTGCTGCGGAGCGCATTCACGCACTGCTCGATCTGTACAGCACTGGCAGACACAAGTTTACCCGGGAAAATCGCTGCTGCAGACACATCAACCCCTTCATAAACAGCTCCTGCTTGCTCGCCGCCTTGGCGTGGTATTCCGCGCGTTCCGCATACGCCGTATTGATCGTTCTTCTGAGGAGGGCCGAGCCGCCATGGGCGATCACCACGCTTTGCCGGAATCGTTCCGGTACCGCGTCGTCCTCTTCCGTTTCCTCCTCCATCGCATCTCCCTCCATCCCTTGCCTCTCGCCGTCCTCACCCTCCTCTCCCTCCTCTCCCTCTTCCACATCCCCCTCATCATGCAACGTTATGTAATCTCCTTCCTCCTCCTCCTCCTCTTCCTCCCCCTCAATCAGCATAGGCTCCTCTCCCGTTTCCACCACCTCTTCCTCTTCCTCCTCTTCCCACTCCTCCTCCACCTCCTCTTCCTCCTCCTCTTCTACCGAAGCTGCCACCTGCAGCAGCTGCAGGTTCGGCATCCGAAGCAGCACCGCGTGCAGCAGCAGCAGAGCCTCGGGCCGCTGGTCCTGAACCTTCACCTTCAGCTCCTCGAGCTGCGGCCACCGCGCTGACGTGGCAGCGCCGGCAGCTTGGAGAGCTCCCGAGGCTACAGCCCAGGACACGACCAGCTGCCACGGCAGCGCGCCGAAGCTGAGCGCCTTCAGGTTCGGACACATGGCTGCGAGCCAGGTTAGGGAGAAGATGCTCGAGGTAAGCGCACCCAAACCAGCCGAGAAGAAGTCCAGGGATAGGGAGGTGAGCTCCGAGCCGCTTGCTTGCACCAGCGTCTGCATGGCCGTCCAGCAGAACGAACCGGCTTTAAGATTCAGCGACGAAATTCTCGCCGACTCGGGAGCGACGATTTCCAGCAGACTCGCGCTCGCGATTGCCACGTGGCGCAGATCCGGCGCACCGTGGATTTGGACGGCGCGGATAAACATATCGCGGATGGAGATCGAGTGGAGGGAGCGCGCGTTGTGGAGGGTGCAGGACTCAGCGCGCAGGTACGCCAGCTCGACGTGCTCCACTGTAGCGGGCAGGCGAAGATTTATCCGCGGGCTGCCCGTTGCCATGAAGATCGAGAGGCGGCGGAGATTAGGCGCCGCGTCGAGGATGGCCTGAAGGCTCTCATTGGACGCGTGAATCCAGGAGAGCGACAGGTGCTCCAAGTGTCGCATGGGCGGCAGGCGACTGGTCGGCGACGAAAGGAGCGACGAGGAGAGGGAGAGGGACCCCAGAGAGAGCGATCGCAGGGACGTGCAGTAATTTGCCACGTGGCGCAGGTGCAAGCTCAGATCCTCGTTTTCCCACACGTTAACGGTCGTTGCAGCGTCTCCTGCGGCGTGGGACGCGGCGGGGCTCTGGAGAGCGCGCGAGAGGGCGAGGGATTTAAGATGCGATCCGACGTGGCGCATCCACGCTTCGAAGATGAACTCGCGCGGGTGCTGCTGCTGGGGAGCGTCGCAGCCGCAGCCGCAGCAGCAGTGGTGAGCACATTTCCCGCCGCAAGATGCGCCGCCGCAGGACGGGCACGCGGACTGAGGCGCCGCGAATGCCGATGCTACGTGCAGGTGCTCCAGCTCCTGCGATTTGAGGACCATCCGCGATACAAGCTCTTCGAGCTGGATGGCCGGCGAGTGACGGAACGACGACGACGAATGGGAGTGCGACACGTCAGCAGGGCCGAAGCATAGCGCGGGGAGGAAACGGGACAGGCTGTGGAACCGGCGACAGGTCAGCGACGTGGTTGCCACGTCAGACGCGCCGCTGCCAGTTCGCGAGAGTATGTCAATAACGAGTTCGTCTGGAAGCCTCGAGAAGGGATCCTGTGAACAACCCTTGGAATCAGCGCGTGAAAGGTCTGATGAATCGGGTATTCTAGGCGACATGGCGTCCGAGTTAACACAGCTAACCTCGGTTGATTGGCACGCGAAATTGAAGCTAGAAGACTCCATGGAGAGCAATTTACTAGGTTTGGTTGGCTTGCCTGATAGAATTGCGAAAGAGCGAACTGGCTAGAAACTAGATGGAGGAAAACTGGCAGCTTGTTTGATAACCTTGGGAGCTTGAACGAGAGAGAAGGCGTAGACAACCGACAAATGCCCACACAAGCTACGTCTGAGGGCGAACCAAATAATTAAGGTTGAATGCTGCGATCAAAAGGAAGGGACGAAATACCGTACTGCCGATAGGGACTCAAAAGGGACGGGAGTTATTTATCTATCAACAACGCAACCACGCGCTGGTTTGGTTGGTTGGTAGGAGGCAGGGGCAGACACAGGGAGGATGCACGGAGAGGCAAGGAGAAGCGCGGGAAAAGTGGTGAGGGCGGTGGGGTGGGGAGGGAGAAGGGAGAGGGACAGCCACACAACAAAACCGCAGGCAGCCACAACGGTGGCACGTGCTGCTGCGCTGGCGTGGAGGCCTCGTGGGCTTCGAGAAGCCAAGAGGATTATTACTGTAGCTGGGGGGGCAATGCGGGTGTTGGGGATGCGGATTTGGCTGGCCAACTGGGAGACATCCCCCTGCCCACCGTGGCAAACGAGGGCAAGAGGGAGCGTTATGATGGTGCGGTGCGGGTGATGCCCACCCCAGCGCAACCAAAGTGGCGCCAAAACGGGTCTGGATATGGTCTGGTCTGGCCTGATCTGGCCTGGTCGACCTGAAATTTTGAAGATCAGAGCTCGGGCGACGGGAATGTGCTGGCATTATTTCATCAACGTGATGAAGTGTGGGGATGTGTTGGTGGAGGGAGCAGATTCGCGAAGGAAAAAAACGACTATTACAGGATATTAATACGGTACAAACTGGTTCTCATGGAAAATGTACACCCAGGACTGATGGGTGAATCGTAAGGCGGGAATCATGGAACTGGAAGCTGGCTCGATTATATCAGGCCCTGTTTTTTGGCCTCGATGCTCCTGTTTGCTTGAGCGTGAAGCAGCCAGCATTGTCCACCACGCACGCCAGGATTGCAGCACGTGACATGTGATGCCCCATTGTTGCCAGCTGGTCATCCAGACTGCCGTCGCCGTTAGCAGCGACGAAATGCTGCACCCTTCAACTGATTGGAAACAGGGCCTATTTTTCAAGAGTTGTTGCCCTGAATTTGAGTCAAATAAAAGGCATTTCCCAGCTGGCCCCACAAATTAAGGACTGGATTTTTATAAACCTGGTGGATTACGAGTTGAGTCATATTGAGACCCTAGAGTTTAAGGGTATATGAATTTCCTACCCTGAGTGTACTACAAGTGCTGGTAGGGCTACAGAGGGGATCTCCTTAGGAGGAACAACTCCCTTCGAAAGTTTTCGTTGTTCTCCCCTCACATCAAGTACTCACACCAAGTGACAAACAGAGGGGTGATAACTAAAAAACAAAATCGTCCTTCTCCCCTCACAGCACGTTACTCGCACCTCATAGTCACAAACAGAGGGGAGGGAGACAACTCCCTTGGTAGTTTTTCTCCCCTCACAGCACGTTAATCACACCTCGTAGTCACAAACTAAGAGACAACTCCATTGGTAGACTTTCGTTCTTCTCCCTTCACAGCACATTACTCACACCTCGTAGTCACAAACAGAGGGGATTTTCGTCATTCTCCCCTCACAGCCCCGTGCACATTACTCACGCCCTTTTTGTCTTGCCCATACATCTCCTGGTAGATTCTAATTGTGGCAGTGGAAAAAGGTACTGTGCAAACGAACCCTGATGATTCAGGGTTGCCTTCTGATGGACCCTGAAAAATAAGGGTAACGTTTCAATAGAAATGACTTCTTAAGGGTGACTGAAAACCAAAAATAAGCCCTGATTGGAAACAGGAGCAAAAAGGGTGGCATGGGTTTCGTCAATCGTGAAGACAGGCAGCCACGCTGAGGTCAGTGATGTTACTTTCGCGCGTCCCTTCGCTTCCCAAAGCTGCCACGGGGCTGAGTGTGGGAGGGAATGTGGGGGGAAGGGAAGGGATTAATGGGGGGATGTACGACTGGCGGAGCTTTTCAGCACAGTTCAGGGAGCTTCTCAGATGAGTTGCGGAACTGGGGCTGGTAACTTAGATCGCCACTTTCGTTTAGAGTGCTGCAGAACTCGGCCATGGTACAATCACTCATCGTTAATTTGGTAACTCGCAGTTTTCGCAAGTTGCGAAACCCGAGTTGCGAAGCTTGGGTTGTTTGCAGATGTCCCACACCCTAAGCTGGGGTTGTGCCACACCCTCAGTCAGAATGCCAAAACATTCCGAGCTTGTAAAAGTGCGGTTTGTAGGTCGTTTGAGCCACTAAGTCCTCCACTGGATTACAGCGGGTTCAAAGAAGCCTTTTGAATATTTACGTCGTCAACGTCGTTTCACCTCAACTTGTCAAAACGCATAGAAACTCGCTAGGAAGCTACAAACCGATTGGCAACGCATGAGGAGGTCGTTGCATTGAACCGCGTTTAGCACTTTTAGCCAAGTACAGCTTCCTCGGGCTCTGTCGCCTTCTACGACCTCAGGAAAGGGAAAATTTCAGGTATGATTGGTCCAGGAAGTTGGGGCGTGACGAGCAGGGGGGCGCAAAGCTGTCACCGTCAGCAGGGTACATCGAGGTCGTGCTGCTGGTGGAATCATCCCGCCAAACCGCCATCTCGCCTCGCCAACATCACAGCCGAGCGACAGAAGCGACTTGACAACGACACTAGCGACTTGACAGCGACACTAGCGACATGAGCGATGCATCTCAATCTCGTTCCCCCGAGCGACGAACCTCGCCTCGCCACCACCGCGACAATGCTTCCACAGTGCACGTGGAGCCTGGAGATGATGTGGCGACAAGGCGATGATCTGGATGATGCCCAGCTGCGAAACCTGCCCCACCTCAATGAATTTCGTATGAATGGTCTGGCTCTGGTTACTGCTCACCACCACACCACGGGCCGTACACAAGGGTGCAACTACAGTCCCGAGGTAGTTTCAGTGTACTTAATTAACTGTTGTACAGAGCCTAGTTAGTAAAAAAAGTGTTTGAGAAAGGGGGTATATGTCTCGAATAGCTTCGCGATACTGGGCTGACCAGAATATAAACAATACCCGCTTGTAATCACACAACGTACAGGTCATGTGGCGGCTTGAAACGTACCGACAAGCCTGCAGCACGAATACCGGCGCCGTTGTGTTCTGTTCCGGTCACCACACGAATGGCCGGATGCGTTTTCATAACCAGCACACCCCGTGCAAACACACTAATTTAAAACACACAGCCGTCCCCTCCGCACCATTCGCAGTTGCTGAAACTTCCATTCACAGTTGTTGCTGTGGAGGCCTGGCCCCAAATCCCGTGAAAACGAGCAGGAAAGACGAACGGAAAACCGCTACGCCAAAGCAGCTGTAGAAGTGAATCAACCGAAGTGTACAGTACCTGAAATACCTGAATGTTCCCACCCAGCCCAATGCCTTTCCATGTAGACAGAAACTGTGGCGCTTTGAATGACCTTGATACAACTGCAGCGATCGCACGTGAAGACGTGTCTCCCAAAGCCATCCTAAGTTTGTGGTGAAATCACGCGCCGCATTCCCCAAATGCTGCACTCCTGCCGAACAGGCGAGCCCAGTCCAGAGTCGACAAGCAGTTTTTTTTGGGGTTGCGGAGCAACCTATTGCAATCGATCGGGCTGGTTTTTTTTTCAAGTTTGTGAAATAAAAATCAAATGTTTGTTGTGATGGAAATAAAACATTTTATGTATAATAATAAAGTCTCATCATGAAATGCTCCGCAACCCTAAGACGATCTCGTCGCCTCTTGTTTTTTTTTTTTTTTTGGGGTTGCGGAGCAACCTATTGCAATCGATCGGGCTGGTTTTTTTTTCAAGTTTGTGAAATAAAATTAAATGTTTTTTGTGATGGAAATAAAACATTTTATGTATAATAAAGTCTCATCATGAAATGCTCCGCAACCCTAAAACGATCTCGTCGCCTCTTGTTTTTTTTTTAATGCTGTAACCCCATCAACCTCTATGTCTTGGATCAAGTAGGAAGAAATGTTGTCGTAGGTGGAGCGAGTTTAGTACCACGCTATCGACCTTATGGTCACTTATCCGTCAATTTGAATATTATTCGCATGTTGACTTAAAGCGAGGATATCAAGAAGCAGAAAACCAAAACCAAAGGGTTTGGTTTTGGGGGGTAGCGAAAATCGCAAGGTGAGGTGGGGGGTGTTGGAGGTCTCAGTTACTGTTTCGCTGATTTCGTCACCCCTAAACCAAACCTTTTGGATTTGGTTTCGTGCATCTTGAGATCCTCGCTTTAAGTTTCTAAACACATGAGGTGGGCTGGCAACATTCCTTGTAACCGCCTGTGTGGGAGATCAGTTACTATTGGAGTTGTACTTGTAGAAGGAGGGTTTCTGTAAGGAATTTCCATTCCTTACTGAGTCGGCCGCTACCGCGTACACCCGAACACTTCGACTCGTCACGTTCGGCGTACATTTTTGGCCCAACCCTTTCTCGAGTCGCGCCCGACAGCGTCGCCACATTGCCGAACCTACTCACGTCCCGAGGTTATCGCCCTATTACGCCCACTCCTATATAACCTTGTGCTTTCATGGCAATAGTGACGTTGTATTCTCATTATAGTACATTGACATCTTCTAAATCATAACAGCTGGTATCAGAGCCCGACCTTTCTCGGAACCTTCCGTTTTTCCCCGTTAGTTAGTTAAGGGTAGTCAGAGGGGATTAACACGGCTGCATAGCAGTTGCCTTTGATCGTAAATATTTTTACGTCAACAACTACAGCGTGTGCGCTAGTTTCTGCCCCGTCCTGACCGCCATGGCCCCGGTAGACTCGACGGTTGAGGAACAGACAACCTCGACTGCTGCGAACTCTGCCCGGGAAACAGTAGACCTGCAAGCATTAATGGAGCAGTTGAATAATTTGACAAGCGTCGTCAACAACCTCCGTGACGAAAACCAACGACTTCGCCAGGCGCAGGAAAGGCGTTCAGAGGAGCCAGGCGACGATGCACGAAGCGAGGCGGGTGAGCAGCAACCGACACCAGTGGAGCTGGCACGGCTAGCGGCGACAGCCCCGCGCTCGACAAGTGGCGGCGTGAGATATCAGCAACCCGCTCCTTTCGACCCAGCTAATAAAGGCGTGACGGTGCGGCAGTGGATATTCGCCATGAATATCTACTTTAACGCGGCGGGCATCCGAGACGACCAGAAGCGGATCAGCCACGCGTTGACACTGCTGCAAGGGGCCGCCCTACAGTGGTGGAAGGTCATCGTCGACTCAGCGGCAACTCGCACAGAAGGACAGCATGAGTGGTCCGAAGAATTCGGCGACGAAGACGAACCATTTGCTGTTTGGTGCAACTCACATTCGCACGTGGGCAACGTGGTGCGCAGAGCTTCGCAAGCGGTTTGAGCATGCTCCTGACTCAGACAAGGCGCGCAAGACTTTACGCATGTGGAAGCAGCTGGGATCTGTGTCTGACTACACCGCGTCATTCCTGACGTTGGTGGATCGATGTGGCTACATGCACGAGTTGGAGAACGTCGACAGGTACATGGGCGGGCTGAAGCCTGAAATACAGTACCAAATAAAATTACAACGACCTGCGAAGCGGTTACAAGACTTCATCCAACTCGCCGAAGCCGCTGACTCGCTCACGAAGCCGAGAACGAACTTCTACGACGGAGGTCGCCCTCGAGAACAGTACCAGCGCGCCACGATAAAAGGGATGGACGCAGTGGATATTTACGCAGTTGCTCCGCAAAATACGGGGCTATGCTACCACTGTGGCCGACCGGGTCACATCAAACGCAACTGCCAAGAATTCATCGCCATCCAGAATTCTATGGGGAAGAAGCCGGAGGAGCGACGGGGAAATGGGTCGCGTCAGTAAGTACCGGGCCCCTTACTGACGGGCAGGCTTCTTCGCCCGAACCACACAGTCCCCACCGGGTCGTGATCCCGATTGCGGCAATCGACCGGACCCGGACGAATAAGGGTGACGAAACTGCTGATCACCCTGTGTTGGTGGAGGGTAAAGTCAACGGGGTGTTGCTGGAAATATTTGTGGATGGAGGCGCGAGTCACAGTCTCATGCAGCTCGACAGGGCTAAGAAAATGGGTATCCCCTTATTAAAGTGTCCACCCGAAATTGACGCAAGACTGGTGGATGGAACACCGCTGGCTATACGGGAGCGGGTGGAGCACGTCAGTTTCCACTGCGGCGAGCACGTAAAATTTCGGATGGGGCTGCTGGCGACTACACTCGACGGGTGCGACGTGCTGCTGGGACGGGATTGGCTGCGACAGTACAACCCGAGAATCGACTGGACGACGGGCAGCTGCAGCATCAAGATCGATGGGCACTATCACGAGTTACCGAAATGGACGGGACCCCGTATGCGAAGTACCCAAGTCCACGCGATCACCTTCAAGCGCGCGATAAAAGCGGGAGCAGCAGCATACGCCGTCGATCTTCGCGAAGTGACGTCGCCGATAACAGCGGGAGATATCACGAAGCTGTGTGAAGCCGTTCCTCCGGATTTAGCAGAACTCATCCGAAAATACCCCGAGATTTTCCCGGACGACCTACCCGCCGGACTGCCGCCAAGCCGACCCGAAGACCATCGCATCGAGCTGGAACCAGGGGCACAACCGACGGTACAGCGACAATTTCGGCTCAGCCAACCAGAACTCGAGGAATTGCAGCAGCAGCTGGATTACCTCCTGACGAAAGGTTTTATCCGCCCAAGCACATCCCCATACGCCGCCCCCATACTGTTCACACCGAAAAAAGATGGCGGATTCCGTATGTGCATCGACTACCGCGCACTCAACCGCATCACCATCAAGTCCCGTTACCCGATCCCGCGAGCCGACGACCTACTCGACCAACTTCGCGGAGCCCAGTTCTTCTCGAAAATCGATCCGCGAGGAGGTTACCACCAAATTCGCGTCGCCGCCGAGGATTGCCACAAGACCGCCTTCCGAACCCGCTACGGTAGTTACGAGTACCTGGTGATGCCTTTTGGACTCACGAACGCGCCCTCGACTTTCCAGATGACCATGAACGGTGTTTTTCGCGAACTCCTGGATAAATGCGTAATTATCTACCTCGACGACATCCTAATCTACAGCCGCAGCAGGGAGCAGCACTTAAAGGATCTTGATGCAGTCTTCACGCTGCTGCACAAGAATCGCCTCATCACGAAAGGGTCTAAGTGCGACTTTCTTTTGCAGGAGTTGGAATTTTTGGGACACGTCGTCCCTACCGAAGGCGTGAAAATCGACCCCAGGAAAATCAAGACCATACAGGAATGGAAGCCGCCGACCAACCTCAAGGAACTCCAAAGTTTTCTGGGTTTTGTCAACTACGTCCGCCGCTTTATCCCCAATATGGCTGGGTTATCTGCACCACTAACCGACCGATTGAAGGATCACGTTTGTTTTTGGTGGGGTGAGAAGCAGCAAGCTGCATTCGATCAACTCAAAATCGCCCTCACGTCGCCGCCCGTTCTTCACATCTCCGATCCCAACCGTCCATACGAAGTCGTCACCGACGCCAGCGACATCGCCATCGGGGCAGTTCTCCTACAGGATTTTGGCGACGGGTTACAACCAGTCGCATACGAATCACGAAAACTGCAAGGCGCGGAGAAGAACTATACAGTGCACGACAAGGAAATGCTGGCAATCGTCCACGCGTTCAAAACCTGGCGGTGCTACCTAACCGGAGCTGACGTCACGGTGCGGACGGACCACAAATCCTTACAGTACCTGCGCGCCCAACCGAACCTCAACCCACGACAGATCCGATGGCTCGATTTCCTCGATTCAAATTTCCATTACACCATCACCTACAAACGGGGGGCCAATAATATCGCCGATGCCTTGACCCGCCCTACTGTCCATACCGCCGCGATACTAGTCGCCCAGTCAAACCCATTACTTACAGGAATATTCACCCACGGATACAAGATCGATCCCTTTTTCCGCTCCGCCCACCATCAACAGCATACCACCGCTACTGGCCCGTACTTTCATAAACGCGGTACCTCTCGCATCTGGGTACCCGGCTACGATTTACTCCACACCCTGCTCATCCAGGAATCCCATGACAACCCTACCTCAGGACATTTCGGCGTCGATAAAACCACGAAGATGCTACAGCGGAATTATTACTGGCCGAACATGGCCGATGACGTGCGCAAGTACGTGTCCTCCTGCACCGCCTGCCAGATTATGAAATCGTCGCATCAGCGAGCAGCCGGACTACTACAGCCGTTGGATCCGCCCGAGCGACCCTGGCAACACATCACAATGGACTACGTGACAGGACTGCCGACCGGTCCCAGCGGAAACGACGCCATCCTCGTGGTCGTTGACCGACTCACGAAAATGGCACACTTCATCGCCTGCCAACAGACAATCACCGCCGAACAAACTGCGCAGCTGTTCATCGCGAACGTCATCCGCCTGCACGGACTGCCCTCCGCCATCATTTCGGACCGAGACCCAAAATTCACCTCGAATTTTTGGTGCCACCTGTGGGACCAATTCGACACCAAACTCCAATTTTCATCGGCCTACCACCCACAGACCGACGGGCAGACCGAACGCGTTAACCAAACCATGGAGCAGCTCATTCGCACCACCTGTACTGACCCCTCGACATGGGAGAAATCCCTTCCGCTACTCGAATTCGCGTATAATAACAACCAATCAATCACCATTCTTCCTCACCTATGGACAGGACCCGGTCATACCCTCTACACCGAACGTCGAGTCCCCAGTACCCCGGTCCCAGAAATTTGCTGAAGACATCCTCGCCATTCGCGACAAAGCAGCTGCGGCCATTCGGAAAGCTAACCTGGTCGCAAGCCGACAAGCCGATCGACATCGCCGCGACGTCACTTACAACGTGGGAGATCTTGTCCTCCTCGACACTCGCAATTTGCGGCTGCCGATCCCAAGCAAACTCCGACCCAGATTCTGCGGCCCCTTTCAAGTGACCAACCTCGTGACACCTGTCACTGTCCACCTTCGACTCCCGGCTGATTGGCGTCATCATCCGGCTTTCCACGTCAGTCTTCTACGACCCTACGTCCCGAGTTCGTCGGAATTGGCACGCAACCGTGGTGTACCGCAACTAACGCCTTTGCACGAACCGACGACTGAGCCCTTGAAAATTCTCGGCCATCGCATCACCACGCAGCTGAACCGTCGGATAGTTGATTTCCTCGTCCGCTGGCGCGATCGCACGTCTGAAGACGACAGCTGGGTGACCCTCGCTGATCTAGAATCACATCCGATTCTAACGGCATATTACCAGCGTCGGAATGTCTCCGATGCCCACGGTCTCGTTTAGGAGGGGGGGGGTAGTGTAAGGAATTTCCATTCCTTACTGAGTCGGCCGCTGCCGCGTACACCCGAACACTTCGACTCGTCACGTTCGGCCTACATTTTCGGCCCAACCCTTTCTCGAGTCGCGCCCGACAGCGTCGCCACATTGCCGAACCTACTCACGTCCCGAGGTTATCGCCCTATTACGTCCACTCCTATATAACCTTGTGCTTTCATGGCAATAGTGACGTTGTATTCTCATTATAGTACATTGACATCTTCTAAATCATAACAGTTTCTGTCTATGTACTACAGCAATGTAGACGTTTGAGCTTGTCCTAGTATAGTAAAAAGTGTCTCCACTCAAGCACGTCAGCACATTTTGGAAGCTCTCTTGTTGTGGCAACAACATATGCACGGGCCCTCCGTGTGAAAGGGGTCTGGTGGAGCCACTTACTCCTCATTCTACATCTCATCTTGTTACAAAAAAGAACAAGCACAGGATGTCATAAAACAATGTATGTATGCTTTCACTGTTAGAATACGATAAAAATAGAAACACGAGAGTACAGGGGAGATATAGGGTTGGAGTTGTACTCTCTAAGAACACAAACCAATCTAGCCTATAAATTCTACATGCAAATATATGTATAATTTAACACCCCCCTAGGCTAGATAAGGGGCAGTGCTAAGCAAGAAACATGCAGCTCAGGGTGGCACTACTAGTCCAACCTCTGAGGCAGGGGTCCAAAGACAAGTCAGCAAGAGTACAAACAAGACAAAAGCAAACCAGGGCGGCACTACTAGTCCGGCCAGAGGAGGAGAAGCAACAAAGCTTGTCTGGAAGGTATATAAAGAGTACACAATCAAGGTCCTACCAAGTGAGAATCTACAGGACCTAGACCAAGCTGCAAACAGTGTCGCTGATGATCTTTAGGCGCAAACGCCTTAGTAAAGATAGCTGTGTTGGCACCGGAGGCCAAGTGTACTACGCGGGCCTGACAACGCTACTATAGCTCGCGCTGGAGGAAGTACCGCAGCTGGATGTGCTTCGCTCTGCCCTCAACTCGAGGCTCCTGACACAGGACGATCATGGCCCTGTTGTCAGTGTACAGAACAGGGGCAGAGCTAGGCCGCTCACCTAAGTCGGTGAGCAAGAAGGTCAGCCAGCGTAGCTCCTGTGCCGCCATGGCACCGACGTAGATCTCAGCCTCACAGCTAGATTGGGCAACAGACGACGAGCGATTGGACCTCCAGGAGATGGCACCTGAACCAAGGCTAAAACAGTAGCCCTGGGAGGACCTGAGGGTCTCAGCGTCGTCGGCACAAAAAGCGTCTGTGTGCCCAGTAAGGACCACTGGCCTGCGTTCTCCCAGCACTAACCCCATGCCCGATGTACTTGTTAGATAACGCAAAACCCTCTTAGCGGCCGACCAGTGCTGTGGTCGGTGTCTGCCTGTGGCCACAAAGCGAGCCAAGATGCTGAGAGGGTATGAGAGATCTGGACGAGTGCAACTCATCAGGTATATAAGGCAACCCACCAGCTCTGCGTAAGGACCACTGGGCTCTACTGACTCCTCAGGAATTGGAGCAGAGAGCATGTAGTCTACTGGCAGAGGTGTGGGAGGAGAACTGAAGACCGAACCTCTGAAGGACCTGGCGCACCAAGTGTGACTGTATGAGAGCTATGGTATATGCTACTCTGTCCCTGGAGATCTGCAGGCCAAGGTTGCGGCGCAGCTCTCCTAGGTTAGTGCAGGTGTGTCTCCTCAGCAGCTCGGCTTTCACGGAGGCCAGTGCGTCTCTGTCAGCAGTAGCGAAGATCAGGTCGTCTACGTAGACAAGGATGTAGAACGGAGTCTGGCCACCACGAACAAAGAGCGAGGGCTCTGCAGAGGACAGAATGAATTGCAGGCCAGCTAGCGTAGAATGCAGCGTGTCATGCCACTCACGGTGCGCCTGTCGCAGGCTGTAGACCGGGCGCCGGAGGAGCCACTGGGTCCCGGTGAAGCCTTGTAGACGGCGCAGGTAGACCTGCTCGGGAAGGCTTCCCTGAAGAAAAGCAGTGGAGAAGTCGAGGGGGTGGAGCCCGTAGTCACTCTGTGCTGTTATATGTAGTAGCGCCCGAAATGTAGTCATCTTCGGGGTCGGGGCGAAGGTCTGAAAGAAGTCCACCCCCTCGCGTTGACTGAAGCCTCAAGTCACGTAGCGCGCCTTGAACACAGGCGGTTCTCCAGGGGGGCGCTTCACCTTGAAGAGCCACCGGTAATCGACTACGTTCACCCTAGGTGGGGGAACTGCGTCGACGTAGGTGCCGGTGGATCTCCAAGATGTCATCTCCTACTCCATGGCAGCTATCCACTGAAAGGCCTAGGGTCCCGAGGTCGCCTTAGCGTAAGTGCGAGGGTTCGGGATATCAAAGGCATCTGGGTCACCCTCGGGGACTAGCAGCATAGAGCAGAGATGGGAGATCAACCTTGTACTGCTTGTCCTCTAGGACGTCACTGCCAAGGGCAGGAGCACCCCCGACAGATAGAGGATATACATGGTCAGAGACCAGAGTGGTGGCGTAGTCAAGGCGACGGGTAGAGGCGAAGTCAGCGACAGCAGCGACAAGAGCGTCAAGACGCGAGAGAGGTACAGACATGTCGGTAACAAGGGAGGCAAGGACCCGAGGAAGAAGAGGACGAGCTGCACGAAGGTAGTCAGACAGACGGAGAGGCGAGACAGCGAGCAACGACGGAGGAGGCGAAGGCAAGAGGAGAGGACGAGACGCGTGGGAGCGAAGCAACATACATGGTGAGAACGCTAAACAGGAGAGACAGGACAAGCTTGAGAGGGATGGCGAGACCAGACATGAGACGAAGGCGTTGGGACAGGAGATAGAGGAGGAGTAACAGGAGGGGAACGAGGTGGGAAACGAGCTGGGGATGAGTCCGGCGGAGGAAACACATGACCGTGGACAGGAGGGGGAGGAGGCGGCGGGGGAGGCGCAGCCGAGCGGTCAGGGGAGGGAAGGCCGAGCAGGCGAAGGGCGGACACCGGCAGCGTCTGCTCCTGCTGCTGCTCGACGCCGACACCTGGATAGCCAGCTGCACCACGGCTACCTCCAGAACACTCCACTCCAGCACCCCCAAAACGAGAACCCCTAGAGCAAGAACCCTCTCCAGCACTAGTGCCACCCCCGAGCCCGCCGCGACAGGAACCCCAGGACTAGCACCCCTAGAGTCCACGAACGGCTGCTGCTGTGACGGCGGCAACGGTGGCTGCTGCGACTGCTGCGGCGGCGAAGGAGGAGACACCGGGGGAGAGATAGGCGGCGAGAACTGCGCCGCGGGGCCACTTGAGTCAGCCGACTCCTCGACCGGGACAACCGACAGGAGGGGAGTGACGTGAGACACACCAGACGGAGCAGGACGGGGAAGGAGGTGGGCAGGGGCTACCAGGGGAGTGGGAACCGGAAACAAGGGAGGGGGAACCGGGAGACCTCGGTGGGAAAAGCGGTGGTAAAAGGAGACAAACTCGTCGAAAGTGGCGTCACGGGAGTGAAAGAAGCGGTGAGACGGCGGGTGGTAAAAGTGCCAGTCAGACGATTCAAGGGGGAAACAGAGGAAGACACAGGGGACAGTGCGGGCAGTGAGCTTGTCCGTGCCAGAGGCACGAGCGTGAGCGAGGCAGCCCCAGACGTGGAACGCAGATGCGTCACCAGGAAACCCTTCCTAAAGAAGGGTCTGTGAAACATGCGGCCGCTGGGAGTGCGGCCAAAGGTTACGCTGGTGAGTGGCGTAGCGAACAGCGAACGGCCACAGAAAATGGGGTGCGCCGGCATGAATCATGGAGGTACAAGCCACCTCTATGATCAAACCGATTCGTCGCTCAGTGACCCCATTCTGCTGCAGGGATTCCGGCAAGGTGTACGACTGGGTGATGCCCTCCGCACGACAGAACTGTCCAAGCCGACCAGAGGCGAACTCGCCGCCACGGTCGGAGTGGAGACACGACACAAGGAGACCGCGGTGGAGGCACGTAGCTACGACCCACGGGATAAGAAAGTCAGGCACATCGGCCTTTCGCTCAGAGGAAACACCGTGGTGTAGCGCGTGTAGTCGTCAAAGTGCACGAGAAAGTAGCGTTCGCGACGAGGTCCAGGGATGGGGGCTGGGCCCCAGACGTCCAGGTGCAAGGTCTGGAGTAGTGCAATGGCAGGGCGAAGCGAGGAGGAGTGAGGAGCATGGTGCAGCTGGCCCTCGACGCAGGGCGTGCACGGCAGCGCTGGCAAGGGAGGGAGGGCAGGAAGCGACGCAGGAAGACCTAGGACGAGACCGTGCTGGGACATGTGATGCAGACGCGGGAGTGCGGGGTGACCTAGACGGTGGTGCCACAGAAGCGACGAGTGAGTGAGAGACGAACAGGACCAAGCAGCGGCGACCTGGGTAGACGCAGGACCCGGGAAGGACGCACCCACCGGGGGGGAAGAAGTGTCCAGCGTTAACAGGCTAGACACTAGGTCTCGGGGGAACGTCGCAAGGGGGGAACCTGAGGCGGCCTAGGTACAGACAGCGTACCGCTCGTGACCAGGGAACGTAGTGGTGACGCCGAGGTCCAGAAGGCAGCCGACACCAACTAAGTTCCTGGAAAACAAAGTGATGTGCAGGCCTCTAAGGGAACCTGAGGGAACCGCCGGACAGGGAAGGGTAGTGTAGCTGCGAGCAACGACAGGACCAGAAGAGGGGTCAGCAAGTGCGACAGCGGCAGGCGTGGCAAGCGGTGTCAATGTGGCGTGGTCGTGGAAGAAGCAGGCAGACTCAACGGAGTCAAGTGTGAAGAACAGTGAAGCAGTAGCGGCAGGCGAAGGAGGAGCGAGTGTACAACCTAGGCTAGACGAAGCAACCGGTCCTATGCCTGATGCAGTAGGGGAGTCTGTACTACACACAGGTGCTACGCCTTAGCTACAGAACACAGGGTAATAATATCCGGACACACAAGAAGCGTCAGCATACAGAGAATGCAGGGCATAACTAATCTGATCCATGTCTAAGTCAAAGACAGGCACACCGTGGCGCAGCAGACTGGGCCAGTCGGGGAGGTCCGGGGCCATGCCGAAGTGGCGACGGAAGAGGTCGTCGAGGCGGCGGAAGCAGCGGGCGGTCGGGTGCGGGGGGCGGCACACAGTGCCACGGAGGGGCCCGGTCTAGAGCTGGTACTGGCAGCTCACAGCACCGAAACCGCCGGTAGAGGCCGAGCTGCGAGGGCCACCACCGCGGCCACCACCTCCAGGGGCTCCTGGCCACCCCGGCGGGAGACGCGCTCACGGCTGCTGCTGCTGTGCTGCGGCGGCTGCGGCTGCTCCTGGACACCAGCCCCAACCCCCTCGTCAGAACCACTGTCCCCGCCACCACCACCACCACCAGCACCACCACTACGCCGTCCCTTGGGGCCACAACAACCCCTACTGTGTCGTTGCTGTGGGAAGGCCGCAGCTGCGGTCTCAGTGGTAGGAGCAGCCGTAGCGACCGCGGAGGAAACGTCAGCGTACGTGCACTGAGAGGGAGCACAACCCTGAAAGATAGGGGCTGCCGCAACACCGCTCGATTGAGATAGTCGGACAGGGCAGCGCACTATCTGAAAGATAGTGCGTTGGCGAGTCTCTATCTCAGACAGGGCAGTAACAAAGGCGGTCAGGGTGAGGTCACCAGGGTGCTGGCTAAGGAAGTGGTCGCGGGCAGTGGCTAAGCGGTCAGGCATGCACATTGCAATAAGGTACAAGGTAGCACAGAACGGTGGGGGGAAGGCAGTGAGCTGGGCGACAGTGCTAGCAGCTCGGTAGCTAGTCTCTAGTGCATGGAGGTGAGTGGCAAGGCCAGCATCAGTGGGGAAAGCATAAAGATCAGGGAAGAGCATAGGGAGGATCAAGCGGCCAGCGGAGACGGAGGCAGGTGTGGAGTAGCGCGCAACTACTGCATCTAGGAAATCCTTGGCGTCCGCGACAACAATGAAACGCGGACGCTCAGTCATGGGAAGCGCATGACTAATGGCGAGCTGCGCTACAGCATCGCGAGAATCCCAGACAACGCGAGCGAGCGCAGCAGCACAATAGGCCTCACTCTCAGCAGTGGTGGGGTTAGCAGGAAGGGGAGCAAGCGCGGGGGGGGGGGGGGGGGGGGGGGGGGGGGGGGAAGCAAGCCATCAACATGCATAGCCAGGGAGTGCCCATCCTGGCACTGACTTGTCAGGTGTCGGCAGAGATCGACGAGCTAGGCGGTGAATTACGGCGTCGAGGCGAAGTACGGCGTCCGCCATCTTGCAACCTCAGCGGCACAGCGACACGGCGGTACAGCGGCACGGCGACACAGTGGCACAGCAGCACAGGTACTCAGCGAAACGGCGGCACAGCGGCAGGACTCTCCGGCGAGAAGACTGGCCGGAAGGTCGAAGAGGGCCCGAGGTGCACAGGGCCTGGGGCGCGCAGAGCCGGTAGGGCGCAAAGGGCTGGCGGAGCACTTTGGCCAACAAGGCGCTAAGGGGCGTGGGGGGCGGCGAGATGCTAAGTGCCGGAAAGGCGCGAAGGGGCCGGTGAGGCGCGAGGGGCTGGCGGGCATGGGAGGGGCCGGCGGGCGCGTGAGCGGCCGGCGAGCGCGAAGGGCCGGCGAGGCGCGTGAGCGGCCGGCGAGCGCGAAGGGCCGGCGAGGCGCGGGGTGTGCTGGGCGGGTGCGCGAGGAGCCGGGCAGGTACGCGTGGGTCCAGGCGGGCGTGCGAGGGGCCGGCTAGGCGCGCGGGGCCGACGGGGTGCTAAGGGGCCGGCAAGGGTACACGAGGGGGGCCGGTGCGGCGGTTAAGGGGCGGCGGGCACGCGAGGGGCCGGCGAGGTGCGCGAGGGGCCGGCGGGCACGCTAGGGGCCGGCACGGCACTTAAGGGGCGAGGGGCACGCTAGGGGTCGGCTAGGCGCGAGGGGCCGGTGGGGTATGCTAGAGGCTGGCGCGGCGCTGAAGGGGCGGCGGGCACGCTAGGGGCCGACTAGGTGCACGAGGGGCCAGCGGGCGCGCTAGGGGCCGGTGGGCGCACTAGGGGCCGGCGGGGCGGTAGGCTAGGGCGAGGGGCGGAAGCGGGTGGGCGGACCTTACCTACTCATGATACCATGTTAGAATACGATAATAAATAGAAACAAGAGAGTACAGGGGAGATATAGGGTTGGAGTTGTACTCTAAAAAAACACCACCTATCTAGCCTATAACTTCTACATGCAACAAATATAGGTATGTATAAGTTGACATTCACATGCGCTGTTGCGGTTCCACATAGCCTTTCTGTACGTAGAAAAAGGGCATGTCCTAAGCATTTGTTTTTGGCCAATACCATACCGAACCGTTTTACGGAGAAAGGTGATCCTTCCGAAACGCAATTCACCTTACTCAACCACATTCAGACGCTTAGTAGGACACGCCCTAAGGAACATTTGAGAAGCACTCTTATATTTATATAACCTCAACAAACACACGGATAGCTGAAAGGAATTCCCGGGCAGCAGCAATCTTAGCAGTCTTCTTGGCAGCGCCAGACCCAATGAACTTTACGATCTGCCCATCAATACGAACGCGAAGAATCGAGCTGTGCTGTAAGGTGCTCCCATGATTATAGTTGTCCGTCCATGTAACTTGCGAGCACATGGCAACTGCCAACTCGTTTAGTGCTTGTAGCGGGACGCCCTTAGAGTGGACATCCGAAGCAAAGATCCTCGTCCAAGTGTAGATACTGACACCTGTAACGGGCGCAGGGAGGAAAGGGGGAGAGAGAGCAGAAAAGGGCAACAAGAGAATCTCAAGGTTCCTTTGCGGGCGTAGCTAGGGATAGAAATCATAAGACAGGAAAGGAGAATTCCATGGTTCCTTGATGTGCTAACAAAATCCGACGACGGCAAACACAGTTGGAGGACGAGAAACGCCAGTGGGAGGAGGAGCGAACAGTAGTGGGCTCCACAGGGGATGGGCCACTTGTGAGTCGCCGGCTCATTCTTCATCAGGCACGGCACGCGATGAGGCACGCCACGGTGCACATGATGCGACACGGCACGACGCACGGCATGAGGCACGGCATGAGGCATGGCATGAGGCACGGCATGAGGCACGGCATGAGGCACGGCATGCGGCACGGCATGAGGCACGGCATGAGGCACGGCACGAGGCACGGCATGCGGCACGGCATGAGGCACGGCGGCGAACTCTCAACCAGGTCCAAGCAACCAGCAGGAAGGGTTTAAGAACGCACCGTTTGCTGTGACGAGCTTCCTAAGGACTGCTTTTGTTGCGGCCCGCTGAATGGGAAGGGTTGATACTTGTGACGCTGCTGCTGCTGGTGCTGCTGGTGCTGGTGCTGGTGCTGCTGTTGCTGCTGCTGCTGCTGCTGGTGCTGTTCGAGTGCTGGCATGCTGAATGGAAAGGGTTGATACTCGTGATGCTGCTGATGCTGGTGCTGCTGGTGGTGCTGGTGCTGGTGCTGGTGCTGGTGTTGATGCTGCTGATGGTGCTGCTTGCTGTGTCACTACTGCTCGTTCTAGTGCTGCGGCTGCTAGTGCTCCTGTTGCTGCTGCTGATGTTGCTGATGCTGTGGCTGCTGGTACTGCTGGTACAGTTGCTGGCACTGTTGTTGCTGGAACTGCTGTTGTTGCTAATGCTGCTACCACTAACTCTTCTCCCATTCGCACAACCCGCCCTCCCCTCAGCCACACTACACTACCATCTCTGCTCCAACTCCCATCCCCACCCCCTCTGTAGTTAGCCCACTCTCCCCCCTTTATGCTGCTACTCCACGCCCCCCCTGTTATGCTTTGATCCCCCCACAAATCTTCCACTCTCTCACTCAGCCTCACCCTCTTCTCCCGAACCTGAGCGTTGCGAGCCACACCTCCACATGCCGAGCCTGGCTGCACCGAGCCTGCTGCCTTCAGCTCCGGAGATTCCGAGCCTGGGCTCACCAAACCTCCAGCAACTGCGGAAGCAGCAGTTTTGTTAAGGTGGTTCGGAGGGGCGTTTGATCTAGGTTGATTGGCGGAGAGCTGGAAAGATGTTGGATTGGTGAGAGGGGGAGTTTTTGGGTCCAAGTCAACACGGCTGCTGTGAGGCTTGGAGGGACAGTTTTCAGCATCGTCTTGCTGTTGCTGCGGCTGTTGCTGCGGCTGCTGCTGCGGCTGCTGCTTCGGCTGCTGCTGTTGTAGCGGTTCTGCTTCCAACTGTGGCGGAGGTGGTTGTGCTTGCCATGTTGCTGCCCGCAGCTGCGCTGCTGTGTGCGCATGAGGAGCTGCTTGCACTAGTGCTGGTGCCGTTGCTGGTGCCGGCGCTGGTGCCGGCCGCAGCTGCGCTGCTGTGTGCGCAAGAGCTGCTGCTTGCACTAGTGCTGGTGCTGCTGATGCCCGCAGCTGAGCTGCTGTGTGTGCACGAGGTGCTGCTTGTTGCCGCTGCGGTCCTGGCTGCACCGCTGGTGCCGGTGCTGGTGCCGGTGCTGGTGGTGGTGCTGATGCCGGCGCTGATGCCGGCGTTGGTGCTGTCCGCAGCTGTGGTGCTGTGCTGAAACGAGGTGCTGCTTGTGGCAACTGCTGTGCTGATCCTACCTGTGCCGGTGATGCTGATGCCCGCAGCTGCGCTGTTGTGTGTAAACGTGCTGCTACTAGCTGCTGTGATGCCGTCTGTACCACTGGTGCTGGTGCTGGTGCTGGTGCTGGTGCGGTCTGTACCGGTGCTGGTGCTTGTGCTGGTGCTGCTTGCACCTGTGCTGCTGTGAGTAAACGTGCCCCTGCTTGCAGCTGCTGTAATGCCGTCTGTACCGATGCTGCTGCTGCTGTCACAACCACAGGTGCTGCTGCTGCTGCTCCTGCTGCTGCTGTCACACCCACAGGTACTGCTACTGCTACTGCTGCTGCTGTCACAGCCACAGGCGTTGGTGCTACTGCTGCTGCTGTCACAGCCACAGGCGTTGGTGCTACTGCTGCTGCTGTCACAGCCACAGGCGTTGGTGCTACTGCTGCTGCTGTCACAGCCACAGGCATTGGTGCTACTGCTGCTGCTGTCACAGCCACAGGCGTTGGTGGTGCTGCTGCTGCTGTCACAGCCACAGGCGTTGGTGGTGCTGCTGCTGCTATCACAGCCACAGGCGTTGGTGCTACTGCTGCTGCTGTCACAGCCACAGGCGTTGGTGCTGCTGCTGCTGCTGTCACAGCCACAGGCGTGGGTGCTGCTGCTGCTGTCACAGCCACAGGCGTTGGTGCTGCTGCTGCTGCTGTCGCAGCCACAGGCGTGGGTGCTGCTGCTGCTGCTGTCACAGCCACAGGCGTGGGTGCTGCTGCTGCTGCTGTCACAGCCACAGGCGTGGGTGCTGCTGCTGCTTGCGGCTGCTGTGACTTTGTCTGAACCACTGCGGCTGCTCCCTTTTCCCTCTCCACACCTCTCCCTTGCTCCTCCTCTGCTCTCTCCACACCTCTCCCTTGCTCCTCCTCCGCTCTCTCCACACCTCTCCCTTGCTCCTCCTCCGCTCTCTCCTCACCCGTAGCTTTCTGCTCCTCGCCCCCCTGGCCCTTCCCTTTATGCCCCCCTCCCTCCCGGGCTTTCCATGTTGATTTCACAGTCTTTTCCGTCTTCTTGGGTTTCGGTTTCCTCCGCTGCCTAGTCTTCTGAGGAGTCAGCGAGCCGTTCGCCTGCAAGGTACAGCGCAGGGTGGTACAAATAAGCATTGGTAATTTTTAAGGATTCTCAAATATCACCTCCTCCCATCGGCACCAGAGGCCCAGTCAACGCTGCTTTGCGCTTCCTCCTGGGCCTACAGCGTGTGCGATGCCACGCACAACCTTCTCTTGCTTTCGGCTTCCTCCTCTGCCTTGTCTTCTGTGGAGTCAACGTGCCATTTGCCAGCAAGCAATGCATTATGCCACAGGATCATTCATGTTACAGTCGACATTAGTCTCTTATGTTGTTAGTGGCTTAGTACCTTACCCCCCCATAAGCGTCTCAATCTCCTGTAGCACCACTCAGCTTGAAATCTTGATCCCATTACCACTTCAACAGCAGCCTACTTTGAGGCACCTAAAAAATACACCCCATTGGCAACTAGATTCCCTCTAGTACCACTTGACCAGCAGCTGCTTTCCTCGCCGCCGTTATGCAGTCTCACAATCACTTACTCCCGTCCATTTTCTTAGTACCACTCACCATGAGTCTCATAATCTCCTTTAGTGCCACTCCAACAGCAACAGCTTTCCTCGCCATGCTCTTGTGCGCCCTCACAACACAATCGACCAGTCTCTCACTTCTATGAAATCAGCAGGAGAACTCACCATGAGTCTCTTGATCTCTTCTAGTGCCAATTCAGCAGCAGCTTTCCTCGCCATGCTCTTGTGCGGTCTCACAGCTACTGCCACCTCCCTCTCTCCCACCATAGCCTTACATTGCCACCACTCGCTTTCCCTCTCCCTCCTCCACCCCTCCTCCTCATCCCATTCCTCCTCACCTGTCCCCTCCGCTCCCCCCTCCGGCCCCTCCTCACCTTCTTCCCCTGCCACTCCCTCGCCCTCCTCCCTCCCCTTCCCTCCCTCTCTCAGGCTTCTCTCCTTCTTTTCTCCTGCCCCTGGCTTCCGGCATTTCTCGTCCACCAGCTTCCCCTCCTGCCCGAGTTTCCCGGTCAGCTCAAAAAACAGTGAGGTGGGCGGGCGGGTAACCACAGAGGCAGCGGTTACACGTGTGGGGAAGAATCGGGAGAAGAGCGCCCACACTTTCTCTGCATCAAACCCACAGTCCACCAGTGTAGCCCCCACCAGGGACTCCAGGACATCCCCTATTGCCTGTGTGGTATAAGGGGGAGTATATCAGGAGAGGAGAAGGAGAGAAGGGGAGAGCAGCGGTTACACGAGTGGGGAAGTACAGGGAGAAAACCGCCCACAACATCTCGGCATCAAACCCACAATCCACCCACTAGTGTTGCCCCCACTAGGGACTCCAGGACACCCCCTATCGCCTGGTTGGTCCAAGGAGAGGATGAGGGAAAGGGGGGGGGGGGGGGGGAGGGTGAGAGGGGGAGAGCAGCGGTAACAGGCGTGGGGACGAACTGGGAGAAGCGCACCCACACCCTCTCAGCATCGGATTCACAGTCCACTAGTGTAGCCCCACTAGAGACTCCAAACCAAAACATCGCCTGCTGCCTGTGTGGTCAAAGGGAGAGGAGAGACGAGAATGAGAGAGCAGCAGTTACATACACGTGGGAAGAGCCCGGTAAAGAGCACCTTGTAAAGAGCACCCCCAGCCAGACACCCTTGATAAGAGTCTAGTTTTGAGGCGCCTCAAAACTAGGCTCTCATTACGAAGAACCCAGTAGAGAGCACCTTGTAACGAGCACCTTGTAAAGAGCACCTTGTAAAGAGCACCTTGTAAAGAGCACCTTGTAAAGAGCACCTTGTAAAGAGCACCTTGTAAAGAGCACCTTGTAAAGAGCACCTTGTAAAGAGCACCTTATAACGAGCACCTTATAACGAGCACCCCAATGCACCCTCGATGTATTTCCTTAAATCAGATGGGTTGCACGTTTCCCCTTGAAAACACCTACCCTCAAAAGCACCTTCCTTTAAAAGCGCATCCCCATAAATGCACATCCGCCCCTCACTTTACAAGTTCCTCACCTTAGGAGCTTGCACTCCGCCCTCCCCAAAGTAACCATCCAACTTCTCCTTCCCCCCCTCCTCCCCCTCCTCTTGCTCCTTCTCCTTCCCCTCCTTTTCCTGTCTCCCCTTCCTTCGCCCCTCCCCCATCTCCGCCTCTACCACTACAGTCTCAGCAAACCCCTTGTGAGCCACCTCCACGCTTGTAGCTCCACCCACTACGCTTGCAGGAACATCCACACCCACACGCCCCTCTACGCTTGTCACTCCACTCCTGCTAGTTTCCACAGTACCTTCTTTGCTACCTCCCCAAACCCCCCCACTCTTTGGTAGTGTACCCTCCATATCTACTGCCTCTGCTGCCTCTGCTTCCTCTGCTCCCTTCCCCCTCCGCTCCTCCCCATCCCGCACCTCCCTCTCCCACTTCCTCCTCTCCCTCTCCCTCCGCTCTCGCTCCCTCCTCTCCTCCCTGTCCCGCACAAAAGCTGCAATCTCCCCGCCTAGGTGGACCGAGAAGTGTCTGATGTGGCGGTGCAGGGCCAATCCCGAGGCCCCTGCTGACGTGACCGCACAAGAAGCTGACGTGGCGGCTGAGACTGCTGACGTGGCGATGCGGGAGAGGTTCTCGTTGTTGACGAGCGCGGCGCGGCGGAAGGTGAGCTGACGTGGCGTCTGGTGCGGGTGCTGCAGGTGCAGCTGACGTGTCACATAGTAGTCAATGAATGCATCGCCCAAGAATTCCAGCCTCTGTAGTGTGGGATAAGGCGCAAGGCGTTCAGGGTGCCTTATCAGGGCACGCTGTGTGCAACACGTGGTTCAATGTGCAACACGTGGGTCAATGTGCAACACGTGGGTCAATGTGCAACACGTGGGTCAATGTGCAACACGTGGGTCAATGTGCAACACAGGGGATTTGGGCGCCCAGCTCTAATGAGCACATTGACTACCAACGTGTCACGTAGTGGTCAGGTCAATGAACGCATCGCCTAAGAAAAACTCATATCTGTAGTGAGGAAAGACCAACACAGAGGGTTGGAAAAAGGAGCTCAGAACACCAACTCAGCTTTACTATCATGTAACATCAGCACAGCACTGTAACCGTACCATGCAGAGCAGAATAACTCACCTGGTAACACATAGTCGTGATCTTACCACGCAGAACAGAGTTACTTACCTGGTAACCAAAGAGGTAGCGCCTCACCATGCAGAGAAAGTCACCTGGTAACATGCAACGACGTCATCAGAGGCCCAGTTGACGTAGCTGGGGTGAGTCAATGCCTCCAGCACGAGCCTCTTGTCCTTGAACTCATAGCCCAACGCTGCTTCTATCTCCCTCACTCCTGATAACCCCTTCTCCCCTGTCTTCTCGCCTCTCCTCTCGCCTCCCTCCTCTCCTCCCTCCTCTCCTTCCTCCCCCCCACTCCCCTCGACCATCACCTCATCTATACTCATCCCCCTCGTACTGAACCCCACTCCTTCTCCTCTGTTCTCCCCTAAGCCCCTTCCCACCCCTTCACTCTCTCCCCCACTTCCTCCCCCACCTCCTCTCTCGTCCCCCCCACCCTCCCCACCCTCCCTTACACCCACTCCTGCTCCCGCTACTCCACCTTCTCCTCCACCACTCCCCCCACCCTTCTCTCCACCCACGTCTGCCCCCTCAAAGCCAGACAGCCCCACAGGGAGGCCCAACCACGCCATGACACGTGTAGCAGCAGCAGGGCCACACGTGTCCCACACACAGCCCACTAGCGCCTCCACCAGATCCGCCAGCGCCTTCCCAGACACGCGCACAGGAGGGGGAGATCGAGGGGGAGGGGGAAAACAGGGAGCAGAGCCGCTGCCATCAGTCTGGTGCTGCTTGCCAGCACTCCTGCGGTTGCTGCTTCTTCCTCTTCTTCTTCTGCCAAAATCGCTGCTGCTTCGGCCGCAATCCGAGCCTTCTGTTCCGACGATACAGACCTCCGCGCTTTCTTTCTCCTGGTTGCGGTTGAAACTCCCGACGCTACCCCTTTTGCCCCCCTCGATCGCTTCCTCTACCATTCCGCCCCCATCCTCGAGATTCGCTTCGTTAATGTCAACAAACTCGCCCCCCTCACATTCCTGCACCCCTTCTCCTCCCTCTTCCTCTTCTCCTCCCTCTTCCTCTTCTCCTTCCCCCTCTTCTTCCTCCTCATCCTCCTCTGCTTCCTCTTCCTCCTCCCCTCCCTCTAACTCCACTTCCTCGTCCTCACTCCCCTCCTCTGTATCCTCGTCGTTCTTATAACACCCTCCATCTTCTCCCTCCTCTGCCTCCTCTCCCTCCTCCTCCTTTCCCTCTTCCTCCTCTCCCTCCTCCTCCTCTACCTCCTCCTCCTCCTCTTCCTCAGAATCACTTCCCAGCTCTTCTCCCACCTCCTCCGTCTCGCCTGCTCCGCTTTCCCTCTCAACCCTCACCCTCTCGCCTTCCCTTGACTCGCCCTTCTGCTGCTGGATCCCTTGTGCGCCCTTCTGCTGCTTCACTTGCCGCTCGTTCATCTGCTGCTTCAGCTGCACGTGCCCACAGGGGTAGTCGCGGGGGGCAACGCCCGGCACGTGCCACTTCCCCGCTGTGAATATCCCTGCACGCAAGTACTCCTGGAGATTGGGAAAAAGAGCAGAGAAGGGGCAATGCTACTTCATTCGCTGCTAGTTCAACTGCCCTTCACCTGCACATGCCCACAGGGGTAGTTGCGGGGGGCAACGCCAAGCACGTGCCATTTCCCCGTCGTGTGTATTCCCATGCGCAGATACTCCTAAAGAGGGGTGGAGAGAGGAACAGTCAAGAACCACCTACAGCTCGGTATTGGGCCACTGCACCTGCGTGGATCCCGCCCTTCACTGTCCAGCACTCCACATTCCCCAACTCAAATGCAGCTTCAAGTCCTTCGCGGTTGAAAGCAGAGCCTCATTGCTGATGGCGTTGGTGCGCCGCTGAGTCAGCACGCCCTTGTGTGCGTGTGGGTGCACCTGCACACACATCTCGTCACTGTGGTGTGGTGTGGTGTGGACCCCCCCCCGGTCTCTCTACTCAGATGCAGCGTCATGTCCTTAGCGGTTAGAAGCAGAGCCTCATTGCTGATGGCGTCGGTGCGCCGTTGAGTCAGCACACCCTCATCTGTATGTATGTGTGTGCGTGCACGTGCAGTTCCACAGTCTAGTACTGCTGCTGACTATAGCACACACGACACGACTCACATGCAGCTTCATATCTCGCGCAGTAGAGAGCAGAGCCTCATTGCTGATGGCGTCCGTGCGCCGCTGAGTCAGCACGCCCTCGTGTGCGCCGGGCAGCTCCTGAAAAAGATGGGAGCTGACCGCCGCCTTGAGGAAGCAATCCCCCAGCAGCTCGTCCCGCTCGTAGGAGAAGCCCTCCCCAGTCGAGTTGGCTGTTATGGCGTGCAGCAGCTGGGGAGAGGGAGGAGAGAGGAGAGGGAGAGGAAAAGGTGCAGGGAGCAGAGGCGGTGAATCAGCAATGACTTCAGCCAGAAGCTTGTCCCTCCTGTAGGAGAAGCCCTCCTCTGTGGAGTTGGCTGTTATGGCGTGCAGGAGCTAAAAGGAGGGAGAGACGGATGCAGGAAAGGGCGAAAGTGCATGGGACGGGGGGTAGGGAGAGCAATCCCCCAGTGGCTCGTCCCTCTTGTAGGAGCAGCCCTTCCCCGTGGAGTTGGCTGTTATGGCGTGCAGCAGCTGACGGGAGCTAGAGAGGGTAAGGGTAAGGGGGGAAGAGAGGTGGGGTCGGGGGGAAGCCAAGCAATGGCTTTCCCCCAGAAGCACGTTCCCCCGTGGAGTTGGCTGTTATGGCGTGCAGCAGCTGAGAGAGCGGAAAGGGAGGTGGCGGAAAAAGGGGGGAGGAGTGAACATAGTAAATCGCTCATGCCTACACCTGCAGTGCAGCTCGCCCCTGCCTCTCGTAGGAGCAGCCCTCCCATTTTGGGTTGGCTGCTATGGCATGCAGCGGCTGAAAGGAGGGAGGAGAAAGGAAGTCCGCCAACTACCGAAGTCCGCCGAATACCGAAGTCTTCCGAAGTCTGCCAAGCACCCAAGTCCGCCAACCAACCAAGTCCGTCAACCAACCAAGTCCGCGAACCACGCAAGTCCGCCAACCACGCAAGTCCGCCAGGGAGGGCAGCAGGGAGGGCAGCAGGGAGGGAAGCACCCCAACTCACCCCAGCATAGGCCACCCATGTTGCAATCATGCTCACCCTAGCCACAGGAAGGTTGGAGAGAAGCTCCCCCATTTGTGCTTCACGCCCCATTCTGTCCCTCAGCTCCCCGGCCAGCAGCAGCCCATGCAGGCGGTGCAGCAGGGAGGGTAGCAGAGAGGCGGCCTGGTAGAGAGGGAAGGACATGACTGGATGCAGCAGCTCGGGGGGGAGGAGGAAAGAGAAGGGGCGAGAGGAGGAGGCGGAAGAAGGGCTCGTTTTGGTGCCTGCAACGGGGAAAACGGAAAGGGGCACAGGGGAAAGGGAAGAGAGACGAGATGTGCAAAGTCAGGCATGGGGAGCAGTGGAGCACTGAGGGCAGCAGCCTGTGCAAACAGTGCAGCAGGGAGGGCAGCAGAGAGGCGGCCTGGTAGAGAGGGAAGGACGTGACTGGATGCAGCAGCTCGGGGGGGAGGAGGACGGAGAAGGGGCGAGAGGAGGATGGAGAAGGGGCGAGAGGAGGACGGAGAAGGGGCGAGAGGAGGGCGGAGAAGGGGCGGAAGGAGGAGGAGGGGGCGGAGGTGGGTGGAGAATCCTTGGAGGATGCAGGGGAAAATGGGAGAACGAACGACGACATTCGCGGTTGATAAATAAATAAATTAATTAAAAAAAAACACGAAATACTCGCCTCACCGCAGCCTCACCACTGCTTACCCTTGGGCATGTCATTTTGGGACGATGGCTTGAGACACGCCTTGGCAGAGGGAAGCGAGCGCATGAGCAGCAGAGGAAGGTGGGGACAAACCAATTGCACACCGTGCCTGGCAGGAACAGGGTTCGGAAACGGTAAACGCCGGGATTTGAAGGTTGAAGTGCTTGCATGCGGAGCAGGGGCAGCTGCGGGCGGGCACACCAACTGTATACCAATTCCACATGCGCGCGCATGCACACACACCGACACACAACAAATGCGCGTGCTCACGTCACGCACGCAAGCAGGCACACACACGCCCCCCCCCCCCACACACACAGAGTGTGCGTACCTCTCTCGAAAGTACTCCTCAAACGTGGCATAGTCTTCACTAGGGAAGGGACTCAGAGCCGTCAACACTCCCTCTCCACCTTCCTCCTCCTGTGCATCCCTGCCCCCCTCCCCCACCACACCCTCTATCTTCTCCTCCCTGCCCCCCTCCCCCACCTCGCCCTCTATCTTCTCCTCCCTGCCCCCCTCCCCCGCCTCATCTTCTACCTTCTCGCCCTTCCCCTCTAACTCAGCTTCCCCCTCCCTTCCCCTCTCCTCCCGCCCTGCCTCCCCCAATCCTGCCTCCCCCCGGGAAACCCGGTACATCCACCCAGTGTGCCTGGCGACCACCACACAGCCTCTCATGCGCTCCACTGCTGCCATTTGCTCTTCTGGTCGCAGCCGCTGCAGGTGCCTCCCCAACACCCTCAACCCTTGCTGCTGGGAGCATGACCCGTGCCGCCGCTGCTCCCCTTCATCATCCCCTTGCTGTCCCTGCCCCCCTCGCTTGGCTTCCTTCCCTTGCTCCCCTCCTCCTTCTTCTTGCCTATCCCTTTGCTGTTGATTCCCACCTTGCTGTTGCTGCTGCCTTCCCTCCGCCCTCACACTTCCCTCCGTCACCTCCTCTCCTCTCATCTCCTCTCCCACCCTCCTCTCACACTCCTCAGTTTCACGAGCCAGCCAAAACGAGGCACTGGCAACAGACAGCACCACGGCCCAGTCTATTTCCGCACACGAGACCCCCCTCATCCCTCCCTCCTCCTCCTCCCCACAAGGCACATCCATACCTGTCCTGACCCCCCTCCCCTCCACGTCAATCCCCCCCATCAGCACTCTCCTCTTCCTACTCTCCTCAGCTCCTGCTCCTCCTGCCTCGTTCTCGTGATCGCTCCTAGAAGCCTCCTCAACCCACCGCTTCCTCCTCCTTCTACCCTCCCTATTCCTCTCACCCTCCATGCCAGCACAGTTGGCCTCCCTGGAACCCTCCCTAAGCTGCAAGCCATCCTTCCCTGTTGCAGCAGCAGCAGCAGCAGCAGCAGCAGCAGTGGCAGCCGCTGCAGCAACCCCGGCAGCAGCAGCAGCGCTATGACAGTGGCTGTGCATCGCATTAGGCTGGGCAGCAGGAGCAACTATATAGTGCAGCGGGCCATTCCAAAACGAGGATGGCTGGTACTGGCCAGCATTGCCAGGGGGGGCAGCACTCCTAGGGGCAGCCCTGCTAGGGGCAGCAGCACTGCTAGGAGAGGAGCCTGCTAGGGCATTAGGATTGGGCGTGGCTTGGCAGCAGCGTCGGCAGCGGCGCAGGAGAGTGGCAAAGAGATGCGAGTGGAAGGACATGAGGAGGCGCGCCTGACTGGCAGTCAGCAGCACGCGCCCCATGGGAGCCAGCTGCACTGTAGCATGTCCTAGACCCTTGGGGAAGAGACCAAACAATGCCGCTCCACAGTCGGCACCAAGACTCCCCGTGCACAAGAGGAGGAACTGAAAGGTCTCTCGTGCCGAGGCAAGGTCTAGAAGAGGCTTCTCCGATCCCCCTCGAGTCCCGTCACGCTCCTTACACTCACACTCGTTGCAGTCCGTATGATCCCCCCCAGAACATGCTGCTTCTTTTGTATCACCCCCTCTCGCACCACTCTTTCGCTCTCTTCTATCTCCTGCTGCCCTCCTGCCCATGCCGATTTCCACACGATACACGAAGTAAGCTCGCCCTGCCTCCTCCTCGCCCTCTCCTTCCTCTTCCCCTTCCCCCCCTTCCACTGCACCCGTGTTTGGATGGCGAAGGGCAGAGGGTATTCGCTGATGGACGTGAAGGGCCACCCGACGAGCTGAAGGACAGGAAGGGGACAGGAAGGGGACAGGAAGGGGACAGCGGGACAGGAAGGGGACAGGGCACGGAAGGAGAGAGAGGGCAGAGGGAGCAAAAGGGGGCAAGAGGGGGCAAGGGGAGGCAGGGGGAAAGGCAGCGGGGATTTGCTGGTGGACGTGAAGGGCCGCTCGACGAGCTGAAGGACAGAAAGGCGACAGGGCACGGGGGGACAGAGACTTTTCCTGGCACGGATGTCCTCATCTTGACTAAAAGAAAAACTGCTCTGTTTTTTCTTCACTACAGACCCAGTCAGATTCCTCAAATCCCATGCACCACATCTCTAACCACACACTCACCTCTCTCAGGCACCACCATCACAAACTCACAGCAACCTTTCTTCTTCCCCTAACCCAATCACCTCCCTCGGATGCCATGTCCCCAACTCTCTATATGCCATGCCCCCACTGTCCCACCTCTTTCGGGCACGACTGTTGCAGCAAACTTGCTCCACCTGGTCTTCCCCTCAAATCCACCCACTCCTCGCTCGCACATGCCACACACCCACCTCTCTCAGGTGCCACTGTCGCAGCAAACTTGCTCCGCCGCTTCTTCCCCCACCGAATCGGCAGCAGCCGCTCGCTCAGCCGCCCAGAATCCAGCAGAATCCGCACCGCCTGCAGGCACACGGCGCGCCGGGCGGCGATTTTCGACCAGCATGGCGGGCCGTGGATGGCGGGGACGCCAGCAGTGGCTGGCAGCCGGAGTGTGACTGTAAAGAGCAGCCCTGCTGGGCTGCTGGTGGAGGTAGCAGTAGCAGCAGCTGCAGCAGTATTGGTGGTGCTTAAAACGGGGGGAGTGATGGAGATAGAAAAGAAAGGCTGCAGGACGCCACTCCTGGTTGGATCAGACAAGTAGGAGGGAGGGAAGAGATTGGTGAAATACGAGGGACGGAAAGAGTAGGGTTCAACCGCACTACAATCACTATCATCCTCCTGCGCTAAATACGTGTCTCTCGTACCACCCCATGACTACCACACACTCACCCATCGTTGGTTCCAAGGATGTTGCAGAACTGATACACCAGAGCCACGCTGCCCTGCCTCGTCACCATTGCCCCTGTCCGTGGCACCAGCAGCACCCGGGTGCCGCCCCTCACCTCCCACCGACTCTCCACCTTGTTTTCCCCCCTTGCAGCTTCCCTTTCACCCTCTCCCCTCCCGATCCTCCCATCAGCCCCACCCTCTTCCTCCTCCACTCCCTCTCTCAAATTCGGCCTCCCATCCCAATCCACGTCCATCCCGTCCTCCCCCTCCCCTATTTCCTCCTCCCCCCATTCCTCTCCCCCCGTTCCCCCCTCCATCTCGTTCCCTCCACCCACCCCCAATCCGTCAGCAAGACTGTGCACCCCTTGGCTGTGGCTGTTGGAGTTGCGCTGCTGCACCGTGGCCTGCATGGTGCCCTCATTGCGCATGAACTTGGCTAGATCCTCCTCGTACTTGCCATCCCCACTGGTCGGATAAAAGAGAACAGGCAGGAAGAGGTCAGGGTGAATCAGGGCAACGAGAGATGTCAACAATACATTGTCTCTTTGGGTGTTGCGATGGTGCGCTGTGGCTTGCATGGTGGTCGTAAGCAATGACAAAGCTTGATGCATTCCCAGTGTGAAATCCATGCTGCAGTCCCGAGGCCAAGTGGAAACGGATTCTACCAAGAACTGTAGGTATCTTTTTCCCGCTTTGCCTCTGAACTGCAGCATTGATTGCACGCTGGGAATGCGATCAAGCTTTGTCATCGCTCAACAAGACCAACTTCGACCCACACAGTATAGCACACAGAACCCACCGTTGCACGAGCACACGGAAATGTGCCCCTGGTTTCCTTGCTCGGCCTCTTGATTGCAGCATCGACCGCACATTGAGAATGCGGTCGAATCGAATCACCGTATGGCACGCTGGTATGTCCATGCCCTCCTCTGCTGCGCTTGTGGCGACCAGTACGTTGACCTGCAGACAACGAGGAAGGGGAAACAGAGGCAGGGCAGATAGACAGGGAGGGGAAGTTGTGTGGCATGCTGGTATGTCTGCCTTCCTCTGCTGCACTTGTGGCGCCTAGTACGTTGACCTGCGAAGCAAGAGCAAGCAATAAGAGCGGGAGGGACAGGAAGATGGGAGGACAGACACAGAGATAAGAGGACAGAGACAGGGATAAGAGGACGCCATGCCGCATGTCAGTTTGTTATGCCTTCCTCGGCTGCACTAGTCGCCACTAGCACGTTCACCTGCATGGAGAGAAGAGAGCAGTAAGAGGGAGGGAAAGGGAAGACTTTTAAGGCGCCTAAAAATTTGACTCGGCTGCACTCGTTGCCACTAGCACGTTCACCTGCACGGCGAGACGACAGCTGTAAGAGAGGGAGGGCAAGGGTGGCGGGACAGACAGAGATAGAGAAAGAGACCACTTGAGGAATTCGTGCCCCGTCCTGATACGTCAGTTCGATGCTCTCCCCCCCTGCACTTGTTGCAACTAGCACCTTGACTCTAGCACGTTCACCTACAGGTAGACCGTAGAGGGCACGTGACAAGGAATGCAGCAGTCACGTGAGAAGGAATGCAGCAGGCAAGTGATTACGCACGAAAGCACTCTGACTGATGCTCCATTGACTCCCTTGACTGCCCAACACGAACACCTGCAGAAAGAAAAGACCTTCATCGCTCTCAACTCTTCCACACTCCCCTTACCTCATCTCACCCTCCCACTCCCCCCTTACTGACCTTCCCTGCGCGAAAACGCGAAATGGCCGAATCGGGCCGAGAGTGCTTAGCTGTCCCCCCCTGATTGGCCAAGATCCCGTTCTTCGACGCCCCGGCGCCGACCACAAAATCCGCCCTCAGAGAAGCAGCAACGGAGGGCAGCAGGTGGAGGAGACGAGACAGAACATGTGCGGTTACGATGCGCTCGACGAAAATGACTATGGTGGGGGAGGATTGGGAGGTGTAGAGGCGGAGGAGGGAGAGGAGGTGGGCGAGCTTGGGAGTGAGGAGGGCAGATGAATCTGAGGCAAGGGACTTGGCGGATTCTAGTCCGATTGGGCCTGACGCCTTGGCCTCTGGATTTGAATGGAGGGAGGAAGGAACGGGGAAATAAGAAGGGGAAATGGGGACGGGGAAGGGGGAGAGGGAGAGGAGGTGGGCGAGCTTGGGGGTGAGGAGAGCAGCAGGGTGTGAGGCAAGGGACAAGGCGGATTCTCGCTTGGGCCTGACGCCTGGCCTCTAAATTGGCAGGAAAAGAAGGGAACAGGCAGAAATAGAAGGGGAAGGGAAGGGGATTGGGGAAATAAGTGAGGGGAATGAAGAGGGACGGGGAAAGGGGATGGGGAAATCGGAATGGGAAAGGGGGAAGGGGGGAGGATGAGGGCGAGTTTGGGTGTGAGGAGAGCAGAGCAGGAGGGTACAAATGCATCAAGGAGACAGACAGCCAGATAGACGGACAGACGGACAGACGGACAGACATTCATCCAGCCCCACGACCTCACCTGGAGGCAGGGTGCATCTCAGAAACGCCTCGCAGCGGTTGATGAACTCCAATCTGACAGCTGCGAACGCATCTCGCAGGCGGGCGTTCTCCTCGTGCTGGTCCATCGCCCCACAGGCTGCCTGGGAGCGCAGTGACTGCAGAGCCTGGTAAGGGAGAGGAGGAAGAAGGGAGGGAGGGTTGGGGTTGGGGAAGTGCTGGTCCATGGCCCCACTGGCTGCCTGGGAGAGCAGCGACTGCAGAGCCAGGTGTGGGGTGACAAAGGATGACAGAGCCAGGTGTGGGGTGACAACGAATGACAGAGCCAGATGTGGGGTGACAAAGGATGACAGAGCCAGGTGTGGGGTGACAACGGATGACAGAGCCAGGTGTGGGGTGACAACGGATGACAGAGCCAGATGTGGGGTGACAAAGGATGACAGAGCCAGGTGTGGGGTGACAACGGATGACAGAGCCAGGAGTGGGGTGACAAAGGATGACAGAGCCAGGAGTGGGGTGACAACGGATGTCAAGAATGGAAGGGAGGGGAGGAGGGGGGAAAAGGTGCCAAAAATGAAGGTGCTCTGGAGTCTGCCCACTTGCGTCTGGCCTCTGGCATCTGGCGTCTGCCCTCTGGCGTCTGGCCCCTGGCGTCTGGCATCTAGCCTCTGGCGTCTAGCCTCTGGCTTCTGGCCTATGGCCTCTGCCCTCTGGCCTCTGGCATCTGGCGTCTGGCCTCTGGCGTCTGGCCTCTGGCGTCTGGCCTCTGGCCTCTGGCATCTAGCGTCTGGCCTCTGGCATCAGGTGTCTGGCGTCTGGCGTCTGGGCTCTGGCGTCTGGCGTCTGGCCTCTGGCCTCTGGCCTCTGGCGTCTGGCGTCTGGCTTCTGGCCCCTGACCTCTGGCCTCTGTTCTCTGGCCTCTGGACTCTGGCGTCCGGCCTCTGGCGTCTGGCGTCAGCCCTCTGGCCACTGGCGTCTGGCCTCTGGCGTCTGCCCTCTGGCGTCTGGCCTCTTGCCTTCGGCGTCTGACCCCTGGCCTCTGGCCTATGGCGTCTGCCCTCTGGCCTCTGGCCTTTGGCGTCTGGCGTCTGGCGCCTGGCCTCTGGCCTCTGGCCTCTGCTCTCTTGACTCTGACGTCTGGACTCTGGCCTCTGACCTCTGGCCTCTGGCATCTAACCTCTGGTGTCTGGCGTCTGGCGTCTGGTATTTGGCCTCTAGCCTCTGGCCTCTGGCATCTGGCCTCTGGCCTCTGGCCTCTAGCCTCTGGCCTCTGGCGTCTGGCCTCAGGCATCTGGCCTCTGGCCTCTGGAGTCTGGCGTCTGGCCTCTGGCATCTGGCCCCTGGCGTCTGGCCTCTGGCCTCTGGCCTTTGGCGTCTGGCGTCTGGCGTGTGGCGTCTGGCTCTGGCGTCTGGCGTCTGACGTCTGGCCTCAAGCCTCTGGCCTCTGGTCTCTGGCCTCTGGCCTCTGGCCTCTGGCCTCTGGCGTCTGCCCTCTGGCCTCTGCCCTCTGGCCTCTGGCCTCTAGCCTCTGGCCTCTGGCCTCTGGCCTCTGGCCTCTGGACTGACCTCTGGCCTCTGGCCTCTGGCCTCTGAGCACTGGCCTCTGGCATTGGGCCTCTGGCATCTGGCCTCTGGCAACTGGCCTCTGGCGTCTGGCCTATGGCGTCTGGAGTCTGGCCTCTGGTGTCTGGCCTCTGGCGTCTGGCGTCTGGCGTCTGGCCTCTGGCATCTGGCCTCTGGCCTCTGGCCTCTGGCCTCTGGCCTCTGGCCTCTGGCCTCTGGCCTCTGGCCTCTGGCCTCTGGCCTCTGGCCTCTGGCCCCTGGCAATTGCCCTCTGGCCACTGGCATCTGGCCTCTGGCATCTGGCCTCTGGCCTCTGGCCTCTGGCCTCTGGCGTCTGGCCTCTGGCCTCTGGCGTCTGGCGTCTGGCCTCTGGCCTCTGGCATTTGGCCTCTGGCGGCTGGCCTCTGGCCTCTGGCGTCTGGCCTCTGGCCGCTGGCGTCTACCCTCTGGCGTCTGGCCTCTTGCCTCTGGCATCTGGCCTCTGGCGTCTGGCCTCTGGCCTCTGGGGTCTGGCCTCTGGCCTCTGGCGTCTGGAGTCTGGCCTCTGGCGTCAGCCGTCTGGCGTCTGGCCTCTTCCGTCAGCCGTCTTGCCTCTGGCATCTAGCGTCTGGCCTCTGGCCTCTGGCCTCGCCTCTGGACTCAGGCCTCTGGCCTCTGGCGTCTGTCCTCTGGCATCTGGCCTCTGGCCTCTGGCCCCTGGCGTCTGGCCTCTGGCCTCTGGACTCTGGCCTCTGACCTCTGGCCTCTGGCCTCTGGCCTCTGGAGTCTGGCCTATGGCGTCTGGAGTCTGGCCTCTGGCGTCTGGCCTCTGGCGTCTGGCGTCTCGCCTCTGGCCTCTGGCGTCTGGCCTCTGACCTCTGGCCTCTGGCGACAGCCCTCTGGCCTCTCTGGCATCTGGCCTCTGGCATCTGGCATCTGGCCTCTGGCCTCTGGCCTCTGGCGTCTGGCGTCTGGCCTCTGGCCTCTGGCCTCTGGCCTCTGGCCTCTGGCCTCTGGCCTCTGGCCTCTGGCCTCTGGCCTCTGGCCTCTGGCCTCTGGCCTCTGGCCTCTGGCCTCTGGCCTATGGCCTCTGGCCTCTGGCGTCTGGCGTCTGGCGTCTGGCGTCTGGCGTCTGGCCTCTGACCTCTGCCCTCTCGTCTCTGGCGTCTGGCCTCTGGCCTCTGCCCTCTGGCCTCTGCCCTCTGGCCTCTGCCCTCTGGTCTCTGGCCTCTGGAGTCTGGCCTCTGACCTCTGGCCTCTGGCATCTGGCCACTGGCGTCGGGCCTCTGGCGTCTGGAGTCTGGCCTCTGGCGTCTGGCGTCTGGTGTCTGGCCTCTAGCCTCTGGCCTCTGGCATCTGGCCTCTGGCCTGTGGCCTCTAGCCTCTGGCCTCTGGCGGTTTCCCTCTGACCTCTGGCCTCTGGTCTCTGGCCTTTGGACTCTGGCGTCCAGCCTCTGGCGTCTGGCGTCTGCCCTCTGGCCACTGGCGTCTGGCCTCTGGCCTCTGGCGTCTGCCCTCTGGCGTCTGCCCTCTGGCCTCTGGCCTCTTGCCTCTGGCGTCTGACCCCTGGCCTCTGGCCTCTGGCGTCTGCCCTCTGGCCTCAGGCCTCTGGCCTCTGGCGTCTGGCGTCTGGCGTCTGGCCTCTGACCTCTGCCCTCTCGCCTCTGGCGTTTGGCCTCTGGCCTCTGGCCTCTGCCCTCTGGTCTCTGACGTCTGGAGTCTGGCCTCTGGCCTCTGGCCTCTGGCCTCTGGCCTCTGGCCTCTAACCTCTGGCGTCTGGCGTCTGGCGTCTGCTGTCTGGCCTCAAGCCTCTGGCCTCTAGCATCTGGCCTCTGGCCTGTGGCCTCTAGCCTCTGGCCTCTGGCGTCTGGCCTCTGGCGTCTGGCCTCAGGCATCTGGCCTCTGGCCTCTGGAGTCTGGCGTCTGGCCTCTGGCATCTGGCCCCTGGCGTCTGGCCTCTGGCCTCTGGCGTTTGGCGTCTGGCGTCTGGCGTCTGGCCTCTAGACTCTGGCCTCTAGCCTCTGGCCTCTGGCATCTGGCCTCTGGCCTGTGGCCTCTGGCCTGTGGCCTCTAGCCTCTGGCCTCTGGCGTCTGGCCTCAGGCATATGGCCTCTGGCCTCTGGCCTCTGGAGTCTGGCGTCTGGCCTCTGGCATCTGGCCCCTGGCGTCTGGCCTCTGGCCTCTGGCCTTTGGCGTCTGGCGTCTAGCGTCTGGCCTCTAGCCTCTGGCCTCTAATCTCCGGCCTCTGGCTTCTGGCCTCTGGCCTCTGGCGTCTGGCCTCTGGCATCTGGCCTCTGGCCTCTGGCGTCTGCCCTCTGGCCTCTGCCGTCTGGCCTCTGGCCTCTGGCGTCTGGCGTCTGGAGTCTAACCTCTGGCGTCTGGCCTCTGGCCTCTGGCCCCTGGCCTCTGGCCTCTGTCCTCTGGCCTCTGGCCTCTGGCCTCTGCCCTCTGGCCTCTGGCGTCTGCCCTCTGGCCTCTGCCCTCTGGCCTCTGCCGTCTGGCCTTAGGCCTCTGGCCTCTGGCCACTGGCAGCTGGCCTCTGGCGGCTGGCCTCTGGCCTCTGGCCTCTGGCATCTGGCCTCTGGCCTTTGGCCTTTGGCGTCTGGCCTCTGGCCTCTGGCGTCTGCCCTCTTGCTTCTGGCATCTGGCCTCTGACATCTGGCCTCTGGCCTCTGGCCTCTGGCCTCTGGCCTCTGGCCTCTGGCGTCTGGCATCTGGACTCTGGCGTCTGGCCTCTGGCCTCTGGACTCTGGCCTCTGCCCTCTGGTCTCTGGCCTCTGGCCTCTGGCGTCTGGCGTCTGGCGTCTGGCGTCTGACCTCTGGCCTCTGAGCACTGGCCTCTGGCGTTGGGCCTCTGGCATCTGGCCTCTGCCATCTGGCCTCTGGCATCTGGCCTCTGGCGTCTGGCCTATGGCGTCTAGAGTCTGGCCTCTGGCGTCTGGCGTCTGGCCTCTGGCCTCTGGCGATTGCCCTATGTCCGCTGGCATCTGGCCTCTGTCCTCTGGCGTCTGGCGTCTGGCCTCTGGCCTCTGGCATCTGGCCTCTAGCGCCTGGCCTCTGGCCTCTGGCCTCTGGCGTCTGGCCTCTGGCCTCTGGCGTCTAGCCTCTGGCCTCTGGCGTCTGCCCTCTCGCCTCTGGCGTCTGGCCTCTGGCCTCTGGCGTCTGCCCTCTGGCGTCTGGCCTTTGGCCTCTGGCATGTGGCCTCTGGTGTCTGGCCTCTGGCCTTTGGCTTCTGGCCTCTGGCCTCTGGCGTCTGGCGTCTGGCCTCTGGCGTCTGCCTTCTGGCCTCTGGCATCTAGCCTCTGGCCTCTGGCCTCTGGCCTCGCCTCTGGACTCTGGCCTCTGGCCTCTGGCCTCTAGCATCTGGTATCTGGCATCTGGCCCCTGGCCCCTGGCCCCTGGCCCCTGGCCCCTGGCCCCTGGCCCCTGGCCTCTGGCCCCTGGCCTCTGGCCCCTGGCCTCTGGCCCCTGGCCTCTGGCCCCTGGCCCCTGGCCTCTGGCCTCTGGCCTCTGTCCTCTGGCCTCTGGCCTCTGGCCTCTGGCCTCTGGCAACTGGCCTCTGGCCTCTGGAGTCTGGCCTATGGCGTCTGGAGTCTGGCCTATTGCGTCTGGCCTCTGGCGTCTGGCGTCTCGCCTCTGGCCTCTGGCGTCTGGCCTCTGGCCTCTGGCCTCTGGCCTCTGGCGTCTGCCCTCTTGCTTCTGGCATCTGGCATCTGGCGTCTGGCCTCTGTCCTCTGGGGTCTGGCCTCTGGCCTCTGGCGTCTGGCCTCTGGCCTCTGGCCTCTGGCCTCTGGCCTCTGGCCTCTGCCCCCCTGGCCTCTGGCATCTGGCCTCTGCCTCTCGCGTCTGGCCTCTGGCGTGTGGCGTCTGGCGTCTGGCCTCTGGCCACTGGCGTCTGCCCTCTGGCCTCTGGCATCTGGCCTTTGGCGTCGGCCCTCTGGCCTCTGGCCTCTGGTGTCTGGCCTCTGGCATCTAGCCTCTGGCGTATGGCATCTGGCCTCTGGCATCTGCCCTCTGGCGTTCGGCATCTGGTCTGGCCTCAGGCATCTGGCCTCTGGCCCAGGGCTTATTTTTGACGGGAAATTACCTGGATTTTGACCAAATAACGGGTGAGTTTTTTACCAAAATCGGATTGCGACGTCTTCGATTTTCATGAACCCAGATTTGAAGGGTAAATTTTGACCAGAACATGTGAAGTGACGTGTTCGATTGTGAGAAACACGGATACTAAAACTTCTCACACCACCTCACAGATGCCCCTGCCATTCCCTCCCCCCAAGGCACATCAGACCGAGCAAGGAAGTTCCAGAAGTAGAAGGATAAGAGCTGAGCGCAGTACTCTTACGTGGTTCCCTTTGCAGAATCCAGGAACTTTTTGTAAGAGCGGTTGTCATCACGGAGAAAATCCCGGGACTGAACCTGGACATTGACGGGTAACGTTCCAGATAAACCCGTTTTATCCGGGTCCCACGAGAGAGATACGCGGATCTGCTGTGTGGAGGAAAACCGTATGGTAAGCCCTGCTCTGGCCTCTGCCGTCTGCCCTCCGGCCTCTGGCGTCTGGCCTCTGGCCTCTGACGTTTGGCCTTTGGCCTCTGGCCTCTGGCCTCTGGCCTCTGGCCTCTGGCCTCTGGCATCTGGCCTCTGGCCTCTGGCATCTGGCCGGTGGCTCTCTACTTCGAATTCCTGTTTGTTCTGCGCACCTCCCTGCCTGAACCACGTCGTCTCGGCCCCTGTGCACATTAAGTTCGACTACATAGTATGGATTCCCAAACTTCTAAGCCACCCTAACTCCCTTCCACGCACCCCGCTCTCCCTTGCCCCCCCCACCTCCTCCCTTTCCCCATGCTCGACCACAGGCAGCAGATTTCCTGTCACGCGCGTCGTGTGACACGGGGAACCCAGGGGTGGACGCACACGGGGAACCCAGGGGTGGACGCACACGGGGAACCCAGGGGTGGACGCACACACAGCAGCGCTGGTTCTGAGGAGCGAGCAGCTCAGGGCTGCGCTTGCCGCATCACCCCACCTCCCCCCTCTTTCCCCATCCTTCATCTGTTCTCAGGATGCAGGTCTCACTTTCCAAGGTCTCACCTCCCTGGGTCTCACTTGCCGAGGTCCCACTTCCCGGGGTCTCACTTCCCAAGGTCCCACTTCCCGGGGTCTCACTTCCCAAGGTCTCACTTCCCTAGGTCTCACCTCCCTAAGTCTCACTTCCCTAGGTCTCACTTGCCGAGGTCTCACTTCCCAAGGTCTCACTTCCCAAGGTCCCACTTCCCGAGGTCCCACTTCCCTAGGTCTTACTTTTTGAGGTCTCACCTCCCAAGGTCTCACCTCCCTAGGTCTCACTTCCCTAGGCCTCATCTCCCTAGGTCTCACCTCCCTAAGTCTCACCTCCCTAGGTCTCACTTCCCTAGGTCTCACTTCCCAAGGTCTCACTTCTCTAGGTCTCACTTCCCTAGGTCTCACCTCCCTAGGTCTCACCTCCCTAGGTCTCACTTCCCTAGGTCTCACTTCCCGAGGTCTCACTTCCCAAGGTCTCACCTCCCTAGGTCTCGCTTTTCAAGGTCTCACTTCCCTCAGTTTCACTACCCGTGGTATCACTTCCCAAGATCTCACTTGCCAAGGTCTCACTTGCCAAGGTTTCACTTGCCAAGGTCTCGTGACTGAGACTTCACCAGCAATGCAGGACAAGCTGGCTGCCCTTCACCAACGTACCATTAGTGCTGGACACGCAGGCTACCAGTTGTACCCAGGTGTTAGTAATTTCGTTTTGAGACGTCTCAAAACGAAATTACTAAGACAAGTCAGCTGGCCTTCAACACGCAGAGTACCATGAGTGCTGAACACGCAGGCTATCAGTTGTAGCCATACCAGGAATGCGTGTCATGCCAGCAAGAGGGTCATACCAGGAATGCGTGTCATGCCAGCAAGAGGGTCATACCAGGAATGCAGGGTAGCGGCCAAGATCAGTGAGACACCAGTCGATGGCCCCTGCAAAGTACTTCACTCGCTTCACCATCCGCCGCCGCACCTCCCCGTATGCTGACGTCCAGCGCTGCATTGGAAGCAGGTTGGAAGCAGGTTGAAAGCAGGGGGAAGAGAGGGGGGGGAAGGGGGGGGGGATGGAGGGAACACGGGCTAGCACGAAAGAACGCACTTCACGTGATTCGATATCCCCCGCCCCACCTCCCCATACACTTATGTCCAGCGCTGCATTTGAATTGGGGTGAAAGAGAAGGGGAGAAAAACGAGGAGATGAAGGGGGGGGGTGGGAGATGAGGAAAGATATGGTAGCATGAGAAGGAAGAGGAAAGAGAAAAACGAGGAATGAATGGCAACCTCATCATCCACCTGATCACCACCCTGATCACCAACTGATCACCTACCCTAAGTACCCACCTGATTACCAACCTGATCACCTACCTGATTAACCACTTGATCCCCAACTTGATCACCCCACCTAATCAACCACCTGACCACCAACCTAACCACCAACCTGAAACACCCACCTGAACACCAACCTGTTTCACCAACCTGCACATCCCTTAGCCTGTCCCCCTCCTGCTCTTGCCCCTCCTCCCTTTTCTCCTCCACCGTCCCCCCACTCTCATCCACCACCCTCCTCCCCTCCTCCTCTATCCACTTCACCATTCCCTCCCTCTCCTCCTCCACCGTCTCTCGCAGCCGCGTCAACACCCCCATCTGCTCCCCATCGGGGGGCTCGTAGTGAGACAGGATGGTCTGGGCACTGGGTAGCACCTCCACCAGGCACGACCTGTCAAGTACCGTGTAGAGCTGGGGGAAGGGGGGGGACAGGGCAGACGGTCGGAGGGAAAGAGGCAAGGAGGTGAAGAACAGGCTATTGAGTCGGAAATTGAGGTGTGAGCACTGGGTGGCACATTCACTGCACCATAACCTCCCTCTCCTCCTCCACCCTCTCTCTCAGCCGCATTAACACCCCCATCTGCTCCCCATTGGGCGGTTCGAAGTGAGACAGAATGGTCTGGGCACTGGGTAGCACCTCCACAAGGCACGACCTGTCCAGAACTGTGTAGAGCTGGAAAGAGGGTTGCAGAGAGTGGGAGGGGATAGTGCAACAAAAAGGCTGGGTGTCAAGTGAGATCAGGCGGTCTGGGCACTGGGTAGCACCTACACCAGGTAACACCTCCACCAGGCACGACCTGTCAAGGACTATGTAGAGCTGGGAAGGAGGGTTGCAGAAAATGGCAGAACACAAGGGTGTCAAGTGAGACAGAATGGCCTGCCCATTAGGTAACACCTCCACCAGGCACGACCTGTCAAGGACTTCGTAGAGAAGGGAAATGGGACGCTATTAGTAGGATAGATGTGGGCTAACCTCAGTCGAAACAAAGCTACTCAAAGATCACCTGGCAAGCCAGATTATACAACAAAAAAAGTGAGCTACTCAAAGCGACACTCCTTCTCATTACACCACATACCTTGGAATCAAGTGCCTTCTCAAACTCCTGCAGCTGGCGCACGCAAGCATCCTCCGACCCACTGCCCTTGGTGTTGATGGGCGATGCTGTCATGCCGAATATCAGAGGCCGCTCCTCCCGCTTTAGGGAAGAGTACCAGGCCTGCTCGAAAGTGAATTGGGGGGTTGGGGGGGGGGGAAGAGGAGGCGTGGTGAGTGCTGCACACAGCGCCAGCGTCCTCCGACCCACTGCCCTTAGTGTTGTTAGGCAATGCTGTCATGCCGAATATGAGGGGCCGCTCCTCCCACTGCAACGAGCAGTACCACGTCTGCTCGGGAGTGAGTGGGGGGGTGGAAGGAGGGTGGTGAGTGCCGCACACAACACAAGCATCCTCGGACCCACTGCCCTTGGTTTTGATGGGCGATGCAGTCATGCCAAATATGAGTGGCCGCTCCTCCTCCTGCAAGGAGCCGTACCATGTCTGCTCGGGAGTGAGTGGGGGGGTTGTGATAGTGGCGTCGCAGTGGTATGGTCCTTCATGGTCCACCTTCATTATTGTGGCGTCCGGATGGTGGTCCTTCGTGGTCCACCTTCGTTATAGTGGAGTAGGGATGGCGCATGGTATGTAGACTAGCCTAAGGGAAGCAGCAACTTCAGGTCTCATCACAAGCACTCACCTTCATCATAGTGGCACAGGGGAGGTCCTTGGTGGTGTGGTGGCCCTCATCGAAGATCAAGAGGTCCACTGAAGATATCGACAGGAAGGGTCTGGCACACTGCCGCTCACTTCACAACAACACGGGTTCACCTTCATAATAGTCGCGTAGGGAAGGTCCTTGGTGGGTTGACTGACTAGCTAGCACTGCAGGTGTCAGTCACCCGCCACCACCTGAGCTCACCTTCATTATAGTGGCGTAGGGATGGTCTTTGGTGGTGTGGTGGCACTCGTCGAAGATCAAGAGGTCCACTGAAGACAAGGACAGGAAGGCGTGTTGCAGGAGATTGACCAGCACTTGAGGCGTCATCACCAGCACCTGACGGGGGGGGCAGAAAAAGCAGGACAAGAGAAAAGACACGGAGGGGTAGATAGGAAGGCAGGCTCTCAAGAGCTCCATTGGCACTTGAGAGGGGGTCATCACCAGCACCTGAGGGCAGCAGACAGACCAAAGGACCACAAGTGAGGCAGAAGTACAGGCAAGGCACTTGGAGTGAAGCCTGTAGCTGGTGGCATTCACGAATCAACTCATGCATACCTCATGTTGAGCTGAGCGGCCTGTCGCTACATTCACCCATGCGTCTTCATAATTGATGCCCCTGCCGGTGCTGTTCCTGCCCACCCGCATGTCCGTCTGCTGCTCCTGACGTGCCTCAGAATTCTTCCACCAATATAAGCATGCCTAGCGCCACAATGTGCTCACCTCGTGCTGAGAGGCCTGTCGCTGCACCCAGGTGGCTTCATACTTGATGTCTGTGTCCGTGCTGTATCTACCCACCCGCATGTCCGTCTGCTGCTCTACCACTGCCGCTTGCTGCAGGCACATGAGTTGAAGCCACAACAGGAACAAGGGAGAAAGAGTACCAGCACACATAACCAGCACACACAACCATGTGTGGCATTAGCACGTAACCAAACACCATAGGGGTAAGAATGGAAACGGCAAAAGAGATTGCATCAGAAATGGAAACAGGATCGCCACTCCTCTCCCACAACTCTTGAGGCGCCTAAAATATCACTCTACCGTGTTGGCCCATCTTATCCCCAACTCGCTGACTCCGTCTCCCTTCACCCACCGAATCATCAGAGCAACCGCCGGAACCTGGAAGATACAAATCTTGCAACTCCTCTCCCCCATTTGTTAAGTTGAGGCGCAAGACAACAGTCTGGCTTTCCCGGCCCCATCTCAAGCCCCATTCTGACCCCTACTCTTCACCCACCTGAATCACCAGAGCAACCGCTGGAACCAGGAAGATACAGATCTTGCCACTCCTCTCCCGCATCTGGCGACGAGCCTGCATGGGAGCACGGAAAGAGAGAGAAAGAGAGTTGCCCAGCTTTGATCATGTGTAAAGCTACCACAGGCGAGGCAGATACACCACGAATACATGAGCGCCTCTCAGAATATCATCCTGATTCACTCAGTAGCAGTCTTATTCACCCTCAGTCACCCTGATTCTGATTCTGTCAATGTCACTCTCAGTCTGATTCAGTCAACGTTACCTGATTCACACAACGTCCTTCATATTCATTTCATGTCAATTTGATTCAGTCAATGCCATCCTAATACAGTCAAGTTGGTCTGATTCAGTCAAAGTCCGTCTCATTCAGCAGTAAGTATCGGCTTGATTCAGTCCCTGTCAATCAGGTTCAGGCAAATTCAGTCTGATTCCGTCAATGTCAATCTGAAACGATCAATGTCAGTCTGATTCAGTCAATGTCGGTCTGATTCATTAGATGCCATTCGTATTCAGTCCATGTCACTCTGATTCAGTCACTGCCATCCTGATTTAGTCAATGTCGGTGTGACTCAGTCAATGTCAGTCTGATTCAGTCAAAGTTAGTCTGAATTAGTTTTTGTTAGCCTCATTCAGATCAGACAATGTCAGTCTGATTCAACCAAAGTCCGTCTGATTCGGTCAACGTCAGTGCGGTTCAGTCAATGTCAGTCTGATTCAGTCGATGTCGGCTTTATTCAGTCAAAGTCAGTATATGATTTAGTCAATGTCAGTTTAATTAGTCACTGTTGGCATCCCATCCATCAGGACATTGTCTGCACCTAAAACATGCTTCACCTGCATAAGCATGACGTCAATTAGAGACTTGCCCGTGCCTATCCCCATCAAAAGTAGAAATGCGTTATAAGAAGACATCGAGAAACGCTTTTATAATCACCTGCATGAGCATGACGGCGATCAGAGTCTTCCCCATGCCTGTCTCCAGGTAGACAATGGTGTTGCGCTCCAGAGCCACCTGAAGAACCTCCTGCTGGTACCTGGAGGGCGAGGAGGCGAACGTAGAGAGGAGAGGAGAGAGGAGAGAAGAGAGGGCAGGGAAGCAGTGAATGCCACGACAACGGATACTGAAACGACTCGTGGGTCGCCTCAAGAGCCATCTCGTGTTGAGCTCCAGAGCCACCTGAAGAACCTCCTGCTGGTACCTGGAGGGAGAAGAGAGAGGAAAGTTAAGGGTTAAGAAAGAAGAGAGAAGCAGAGAAGCAGAGACGCCGAGAGATACCACGACAAAGGGTACAGAACCGTTAGGGGGGGGGGGGGGGGGAGGGGAGAATTAAAGAGGGAAGAGATTAAAGGGAGAGAGTTAAGGGGATAGAGTGGTCCCGTAAGCATACGGTCACCCACTGTCGCAGCTGCAGAACGGCCTTCTTCTTCTTCTTGCTCGTCTTCTCTCTCCCCTTGATCCCCGTGGTCCTCCTCCCGGTCCCCTTCATCCTCCTTGCTGACTCGTTTCCCCAAACCAAATTCCTCCTCCTCTTCTCCTCCTCTCTTTTGCGTCGCCTCCCTGTGTTCTCCTCCTCTCGACTCTCCGCCTTCGCTTCCCCCTGAACCGCGTCCGCCGACCCACGAGCCTCCGTAGATTCGTCAGCCAAGGTTACATACAACTAGGCGCTCCGAAACTCCCTGCAATATATCGCTACTGCGAGTCCTGCGAGTCCTGCGAGTCCTGCGAATCCTGCGAATCCTGCAAATCCTGCGAGTCCTTCCCGAACGATTCACCGATGGAATTCAGACTCCCGCAGTTCGATTTTACCACAGGGTCGGACGCAATCACGAGCCAAAGGGTCCGGACGCTATGAACCGTTATTTTGGGTCAGCTGGTAGTACTCTCCGCATATAACCGCCTCGGACGGAAGTGACCAGTCCAGACCCTGAAACTGATTCGATGTCTGTGAGTCAGTCAGGTTCTGCGTTGATGTCTCAAGTTCAGATAGTGATGTCTCTTCCCTTTTCCTTGCCAGGCTCTGTCACTCGGTCACTACCAAACACCCTTCATGCATGCTGGCTGTGTGTTTTCTCTCGGCAAACCTCGATATCATGCCCGTCATCGACGGCGGTTGACAGCTTCGCAGGGAATTGAACGGCGTCGATGTAGTTCTGAATTGGCTTCACCGATAAGCCAAGTTGTGAGGAAAGATAAGTACACTTACGTGAATCAAAAGAGCACATAGTCAACCTGTAAAAGCAGTTTTAATGATGGAAAAAACGCATGCGTATTGAGATATGCCCAACAGGAGAAAATTCTATTTGATCATGCAAGTCAGACTGCCCTAGCAAATCTGTAGCTCTAGCACACAATCATGGCTAATGTATCTAAATCACTGTCAACCTCTTTCGAAGCAAACCCCACCAACCAAAACCCCACTTTGATGGCACTTTACTTGCAGTTTCCTCCTCCCCCCTCGCAACCTCCCTTATCCCTGCAGAGCTCAAGTTTCCGGAAACATCAAGCTGCACTCCTGCCTCCGAGCCTCCTCCTCCCCCGACCTCCACATCCCCACCTGCACGAGTTGGAGCTGCATTAGCTGCAAGACCAACTGGTGCAATCTCCTCGGTGGGCACCTCCTTGGTTAACACCTCCTTCATATCCAAACTGCGCCTCCTCTTGGTGACTTCGGCTCTGCTACTTTCTCCCAAGGTCATGGAATGCCGAGACAAGCTGCTGCCACTGGAGCCTTTCCTGCCGCCCTTTCTATGCCTGGAAAAGGGAGCCGATAACCAACCATCCCCACTACTATTTCTACTGGAAGAATTGGCCTTCGATTCTGACTTGGAGACTCCTCTACCGGCATTGGCTTCGCCGCTGCTGCTGCTGCTGCTGCTGCTGCTGTTGCTGCTGCTGCTGTTACTGCTGTGTTGGCAGGGTTCGCAGGTGGTGGATGCTGAGGGTAGGAAGGGAGATTCATCTGGGCATTTGGTCTCGGGATTGAGATTGGATTTGGTGCGTGTGCTGACTGGGTGTGAGCTGGGGGGATTCTCGTCTGACGCCTCTTGAACACCTTCGGGACTACTATCAGTGGTCTGACTGATGCTGGCGTTTTCAACCTCGTGGCTCTGGCCCTTCAGATCTGGTGACAGGGCACAGCACAGGAATCAAGAGACGTTTTGCAAGGGGAGAAAGGCAGTCTGAGAAGAACAGATCCAGGGAGCAGGCAAAACAGACTCAGGTGTTGGAGAAAGTGTGTGTGTCCTCTCCTCTCCTCACACACATTTATTGGCAAGGTTGTTTCAAAATGCCGAGTACGCTTCCCACTAAGTGCAACTATAAAACGCAACGATGAAGGCAACAATGCAGTGCACACAAGGCGGTGGGAGAGGGACATTACAAGGCCCAGGATCCGTTACTGGCTCGGGGGGGGCTGCTCCTGACCTTGCCTCGTGTTCGAAGGCTTCGCGAATTTGGACCCTCCGGACAAGAGCCAGCCAAAGTACTCGGTATCTGTTGCAGGAACAGGGTTACCATTCAAGCAGGGCAACATGTAGTGGAGTGGCGGGACGTCAGCAGCCAGTGGGGGGAAACATAGAGGAAAAAAGGTGCAGGAAAAGAGAGTCCCCAGTGGGATCTTAAATCATTGATGAACTCATAGTGTTATTTAACTTCACCTGTAAATACTGTCAACCATCTTCGTTCCTGTAAGTGTAAAAGCTTACCTGCATATTCCGAATCCTCCTGTCCAATTCCGAGCTTATCCATAGCCGCGTCCTTCGATTTCTCCCCTGACCGCATTCCCCCAAGCGCCTTAATTTTCGGCACTGTTGCCGCTTTGTCGAGTTCTGCCAACTCAGGGTAACTTTTCGAGCGCGACCTTTCCAGTTTCGCCAACTCTTCGCGAGCACGAGCCTCCCGCGCAACACTCGGCGAAGTTCTGTGGTCATCCACGTAACTGCTGTAACTGCTACCTTGGTATGGCTGCAAAAACGCCGAGTCCGCATTCCTTGCCGCGTTTGCCGCTCCTGTGTTCGCGCCCCAAAGGCGAATCGCGGCAAGAACTTCCGAGGTCTCAACATTCACCGAAGCTGCTGCCGAACCTCGAGGCTGAGGCGTGGTATCCGCTACTGCCGAAGCAGAAGGCTGTGCATCTTCCGAACCGACATTGCTTTCCCTTGTCTCTCCTTCGTCGTTTTTCCCCGAGGTCGATGCGTCTTTTATCTTCAACTCCGCGACATTTGCAACAGTCTCGGTAACTGCATTGGCTTTCGCGTGGCCAGAGTACGACGGAAACATCTCCTCTAACCCCGACACACTCGCAACCCCGCTGCCTTCGTTCGCGTTAGCCGAAACGGACCCGTCGCCAGCAGTCTGGTTACCACTCTGCGAGTTGTCGCCTGGTGTCGTCAAAAAGCTGTCCAGCGAAGCGTTCGCGTTTGCACTCGCAGCGATTCGATTGCGAATTCTTTGCTTCGGGGGAGACGAGCCCGTCGCAGAACCTGAGGCATCTTCTTCGATTATCTGGTGCTGTCGCGCGGCCTTGAGGTGCTCGGCCGCCACCTTGATGTGCATTGGGTCGACGACGGTCGTGGGCGTCGCATGGTGACGCGAATGGTGGTGCGACGACGACGACGACGGCTTGTGCGACGCAACGGGAATGTCGGCGATGGAGAGGAGCTCCGAGAGGATTTCTTTCTGCGATGAATGCTTGTGCGACGAATGCTTGTGCAACGAGGGGTCGGCAGCAGCTGCGACTGGTTCGTTCGTGGCGTCCGCCGATGGAGCTTGTTCTGCCATTGGAGAATAGCCTTGCTATCGCTTCAGGAGCTTGGATAAAGATACGAGAATGGCCGGAAAGAGCAACTCCGGCGCGTGCTATGCGCGAAAGGTGAGGCAACTTTGGCCGCGAGGGTCGCCCACTGGGGGATGAAGGGGTGTTGGTCGTCTGTGGAAGGGAGGCTGGGAGACTGGGAGGGACAGTGCTGGTTGATGAAGGGATGAAGGGATGAACGTTGAACAGGTGGAGTTATGGAGTGGAGGGTGTCTGCTCGAATCGGAAGGCGGATTGATGGAATCGGACGGTGGAGTGTTGTTGGTCTGGTCTGAAGGAGAAAGTACGGTTGGTTGGCTGGTGGGAGGAGAAAGAAAAGTACAACAGCAATTCTTCTCGTCACCGTGCGTTACGGTGTGGTTTATTCAGATTTTAAAACGGTTTAACGACCTTACGCTTCGGATTCGTTCGGAAGTCAGGTTTGGATTCACACGCACGCCTTGGTTTCCTGCCATCTGGCAGTGCTTCGTGTGGTCGGAGCGACCGTGATAGATTTTCCACCTCACGGCACATTATCTTAGGGGTCACTGCAACGAGCTGGTGGCATTTGTAACGAGGGACACTTGTGGCAGGGATTGACTGATTGATTCGATTACCCCAACAGGCGCCCTTCAAATATCGGGCCCGAGAAGACCCAACTGTCACCGACGCCACGTAAGCTTTCCGTTGCAGACGACTGCGTTTGCAAGCAAACTCTTGAAAACCTTTCGATTAGCAACGGCTATGTAAGAGGATTCGTTGTATTCGAAATTAGGTCCAACACGCATTTTGCTCTCAACTTCAGCACAACAAATATGGTACATATAGTACAAAAATATACACTAAAATCATGTACACCAATACCACACGACTCGTTATCTATGCGTTCGCATCAAACTTCATGATGTTAGCGGTAATTGTCGATGCAACACCGCCTTCACAAGACGACGCCAGGTCTTTTTAGGGGATCCCCTTGTAGCCCCCTCCACTAACTCCCCGATTCCCGCTACCTCTACTTGCGTGGTGGTGTCCGTCTTATTGCTCGTCACCTCACCATGTTTCTCCCTGCCTGAGATCACCTCCTGCGTTGTTGGACTCAACTTGAGATCTCCCCTCCCTGCCACCACCCGTCCTACCGAAGCAGCAGGCCCAACCTTTATGGTAGACAGCGAATCAGCAGTGGGGAACTCGGAATCCGCTCGCCTTTGTCCTTCTCTAAACCTAGATGGCGCCAGCATGGACCCTCCGCTTCCCAATCCACTCCCACTGGCACTTAGTCGCAGTTTGGAAGGTGAAGATGCTTGCGGCGACCCACCATTAAACACAGAGGCAGCCAATAACGGGGATGGAGGGCCTCCTAGTGTAGGTGTTGCTGAAGCCACAGCAGCAAAAGCAGGAGAGGGGAGTTCCGAGGCTGCTGCGGCACACGCTCCACCTTCAAGATTCCCCCTCTCACTTCTCTGGAAAGCTCTCAAGCTCTTTCCAGGGGTTGCAGGGGACAACCCAGGGTAATCCAGACCAGGGTATTCCCTAGGATCACAGCATTCCCTAGCGTCTTGGGATTCCTGAGGGTCTTGACATTCCTCGGGGTCTTGGGATTCCCTAGGGGAGTTGCCAGGGGAGGAGGAGGACCAGCAGGAGGAGAGAGGCGAGCAGGGGGAGTTGGAGAAGAGCGCAGACTGGAAGCGCAGCAAGGCTGCAGTAGGGGAGGAGATGGAGGAGGGGGAGGAGGAGTAGCAAGGTGATGGGGATGATGACGATGATGATGATGGTGTGGTGGAGGTGTGGTGACTGCCACTGCGGTATTTGGATGGAGAGGCTGTGGTAGATGTAGGAGTGTGTGATGGTGGTGGCCTTCGGTTCGGCGAATGGAATCTGGAAGGGGAATCAAATCTGGAAGGCGAGTCAAACTTGGAAGGAGAATCAAATCTCGTAAGGGAATCGAATTTTGAAGGCGAGTCGAAGCGAGTGCAGTTGGGGGATCTGAACTGAGAGGGGGAGGAGAAGCCAGGGGATTGCAGGGTCGGGACGTCAATGTGCGGGTGCCGGTTTCGCAAATGGGCGATCTTTATTGGGAGCGGTGCTCTGGGAAGGGCGGTGCTGGGAAGTGTGGTTCTGCGTACGGAAGTGGAAGCAGGGGAGGCAGCAGGAGCACCAGTGGCGGCAGTGAGATCAGTAGCACCGGCGGCAATTGTTGGGATGGTGTTCCAGGCAGGCTTGTTGGTTGCAGCAGCAGGGGGAGTATTTACATCGCTGGTAACAATCCTGCCACTGTTGCCGCTGTTACTATTACAAACAGCACCTGAGCTTGAGTCAGTTGCGTCAGTTGCTGACTCAGCAAGGGAAGATGAGGCCTCTGCTGGGTCCTTGGAAGGGGCAGGAGGAGGAGGAGATGTGGACAAGGAGGGATGGTCAGAGAAAGTCATATGGTACATAACTCGCGCTCTCCCTTGCTGTTGCTGCTGCTTCGGATCCTCCTCTTGCATGTCGTCAGCATCAGCTCGAGTGACGTCAGCATCTCGGATCTCCACAAGCAGCAGTTGGACGCCCATGGCGTCCTTGGCTTGACAGATGTCAGAAATGTTGTCCCAGTTGGCGCATTCCACGTCAGCAAACTCCTCAAGATCGCCCCACCAGTCGCCGTCCACTGTACTACCAACCCCAATATCCGTTTCCCACTCCTCCCCATTCCCCTCCCCTTCCCCCTCCGCCACACTTTCTGCCCCATGCTCCTCCGCACACTCTTCCGCGCACTTCCCCTCCTCCTCCCCCTCCCCCTCCGCGTCTTTCGCCCAACGTTCACATACACTCCCCCTGTCATGCCTATTCCGGACAAGGCGTCCTGAGTCACATCCGCCAATGCTGCGCGCGTTAGTTGGGACGTGGGCACTTGGGGTTCTAGCGATATTAGTGGTTAGCGAATGGGATCTCGGGCACTTGGACTGACCGCGAGCATTCGCCGAGCCTCCGTTCGAGCAGCCCAGGTTCGACGGGAGAACGCCGGAGCTAACTCTCCGCATCGGCTGCTGCCGACCCACGTCCCTGAGGCTCAGGCCCTGCCGAGCCGGGCTCGCTCCCGTTTGTGTCACACGCGGTTTCGCCGCGTCTGTTTGCGTCATGAGGCTTCCGCCGCTGAAGCTGCCGCCGCCCCTCTTAAACTTCGAAATCCCACCTGCCATGCTGCTACTGACGTTACTGTAGCTCCCGGCGTTACTGTAGCTCGCCGCGTTAGTACTGGAGCTCGCGACGCTGACGCTGGTCGTTAGGCTGCTGTTGCTGCTGCTGCGACTGATGGCGACGCTGCGACTGAAATCGCCGCTCCCAGCGTCGCCAAAAGTGCTTCGACTGGTCGAGCTGAAGTCGCTGCTGCCACCTAGGCTCGCGAGGCTTGCGATGCTTGAGACGCTAACGACGCTCGCGACGTTTCTAGCGACGCCAGCGACTCTGGGGAAGCTCCCGCTGCTCCCACCGCTAGCCCCCCCGCTAGCCCCCCCGCTAGTAGCACCCCCGCTCGCGACGCTCATCGTCATCTGCATCCGTCGCCCGCTTCTCACCCTGTCGAACCGCGAGTCTGCCACCGAGAATGCCGCCGCCTGGTCCGCCGAGAGTGCGTCGCCGCTCAGGCTGCGAATCACGCCGCCGGAAGATGTCGCCGATGTCGCAGAGCCGCTCGCGATCCTCGCGGATGAACTACGCGCCGCACCCGGCGACTCGCTTTTCCCCCGCAGCCGTTGGAGAAGCGAGCGGCCCGTGGGGGAGGGCGCCGCGAGGGCGGAGCCCGTCGGGGATGGCGAGGGGCACGGGGAGCCGTTGGATGAGTGGGACGGCGAGAATCCGACGGCTCGCGGCGGCGTCCGGATGAACGCCGCCGAGTTATGGCGGAAAAGGTGGCGCCGATGGAGCAAGGAGCCGCCGCCGCCGCCGCCGGCTCCAGCATCATCTCCGCCGCTACATTCCGCCCCCGCCGCTGAGGCCACGCCGCGGCTTTTTCCGTACATTCCGCCGCGTATGCGGGAGCCGGAGCCCGCGCCGCATTCTCCGCTGGTGTTGGGCCGGGACCGGGCTTGCTCTCGCGACTCGGCGAAGAGGTCATGCGCCGAATCGAGCGGGCCCGACCTGGGCCTATCGAGCGGATGCGGCTCGGCATTCTCCGCAGCGCTGGTGTAGCGACTGTAGCGGGCGCTTGTGCCGATGGCGTTCCGGCCCGTGCTGATGCTCCGCGAATTGCGGCTGCTGCTGTAGCTGCTTGTGTGCAATGTCGATAGGGCAGGGGTTTTGTCGTTTGCTGAGGGAAATCGCGCGCTAATGGATCCTCTGTCACGTTCCTTTACTAACGCCATTGTTTGTCGGGACTAAGGAGATCGGGAAATCTACGGCGCGGGTGTTAGAGGCTCTGTGAGAAAAGGCGGGAGGCGAAACGTGAGTAACGTTACACTGAGGAGAAAGGGGATCTGAGCAGCGTGAGTGGGATTTCTTACTGAACACCGAACACGGAGTGCGTTGACGAGGGATCAGCCGCGTGCTATGGCGCATTTCTTGGGGCACGGCAGACGGAGGCTGGCGCTACCGTCTCGAATCTTGAATCACAGAGAGCTGCTGCTCTCTGCTTATGACATTCTCCTGATACGCGAAACCAAAATGTACGTCATCCGTACACCTGAGACAATCACGGAAGGTAAGATGTCCCTCTTGCAGCAACTTCCCCCCCAGCTCTGGTTTCTCTCCTTGCCTCAGCTCAGCAGCAGCTTGCTCAGCTTTTGCAAAAATCCCCGCTGGTTTTCCACCACAATTTCTGACGCACCAACAATCTCCTCGGCGGAATTGCGCGGCTCTGCGAGACCGCGTCCTCAATTAACATTTTCTATCCGTTTTGCTCACGGCCCGGGCAACCCCGATCTCGGATAAACATTTTCTACGCGCGAGTCGGGAAATGCGTTTTTGATTACGTGAGGTCTTTTGGGCAGCTTCGACCGTTTTTCGCCTTCCGCGTTTCTAACAGTTGAGAGTTGTAAAGGACCTGGCGGGGAGGTTGTCGCCTGTCTGTATCGATTCCGCTGAAACAAGACGTACATTTCTGCACATGGATTCAAAGGCCATTTGGCAGGATGCAGTGTTCGTCACTTGGTTCAAATTCTAGACGGTACATGATGACGTAGCTGTACATTTATGGTAGTGGCGCGAATTGAGGTTACGGTGCATGTGTTCTCGTGAGTTCTCATGGTGGTGCACAAACTCTCATGTTTCCCTTGCCCGAAATGATGGCCCGAAATTATGACAGGGCTGTCAAAGTTCGCGTGGAGTTTAGCTAGTGGCGGAAGTTGAGCTTTGGGGCATGAGTCTTCAGGAGAATCCATGAACTATCGTGTTTTCTCGCGTAAATCTCGTTTGCATCTGCCCAGATTCCACAGTGCCACGCCAGCGCCCTTCTGAGTAGGAATCGTATCTCCCCCTTGCAACACTGTTGAAGTGTGGCGGTACTGTTACGGATGACTGTCCAGTTGGCTGGTAATTCACGGGCAATCACTAAATCCCAAATACAGTTCACACAATTTCAAATTCCGTAACTTTCGCATTTCCCGACTCGCGTGCAGAAAATATTTATCCGAGATCGGGGTTGCCCGGGCCGTGAGCAAAACGGGTAGAAAATGTTAATTGAGGACGCGGTTTCGCGGAGCCGCGCAATTCCGCCAATCTCCTCTGCGCCAACCCAATTTCTGTGGCCAACATGAGCGACTAGGAACGGGGAATGTTGCGCACGCCGCGGTCAAATGCTGACCACTTTGGTAGAAAATTCTGGCCGTGGATTTCGAGACGAAATCGGGCACCAACGGGATGGATTTATCTCTTGAAATTCACCTGACGCCTACCAAAGTGCAATCAACCAATCAGCGGGACGAATAAAACCAAAAGGGGCGGCCGGCTTCGGTCTGCTTTGGCAACCAAGCCAGCTGGCTGAGTGTCCCAACCTTGGACTGACGCAACAACCTCAGTCGCGAGCGTTACGAAAACGATGATGGGCAGGATGTGTGACGTGTGAACCACACCAGAATTGCTGCCCACGTGGCAACAAAACTGGATTTCTAAGCATGATTGTTGCCCACGAGCACGACACTGACGTGAACCTTCAAACGACTTCGAACGGGGGTTCAGAAGCATGCGGAGAAAAGGTGGTAAAAAGCCACAGCAGAGAACCCCGAAACTCTTTGAAGGCACGGGATATCCAACCAGTTCGTTTTGAAGACACGGTACGTTTCGTTGTGTCGGAGGTTTCGTTCTGCCCGTTCACTGAAACAGTCCGTCAAACTCATTAATCACGCCCGTTTGAATAGCAATCGCCTCCAATCAATGATTTGTAACGCCTCTCGTGTCTGAGGTGGCGCGAAGCTGCGACTCCACGAGAAGCTGACCAGCACCACCCCTTCACCTTGCTGACGAAAGTTGACTCGCCTTTTACTTCTTAACAGCAATCCCGTTTCCATACAGCACAGAAGTTCTGAATGCGAAGCAATATCCATGTTTAACTCCTGTTACACCAATAGGCGCTGGTGAATCCTCGATACAGTATTCTTGCATCAGCTGGGGCATTCGATTGGCTAAATTTCCTGGTGCGCTGGCCGTGATGTGGCGTTCCTTCAAGGCCACGTCAACAATTTACTCCTATCCAGGAAGTTCCCGCCTAAACAATCCCAAGGGGCACGCGGAAATTGGAATTTCAAGCTAGCAAATTCCGATTTAGCATTTTCGCCATTCGCCGAAGTCACAACAACCAACCATCGAGCATTTCTGCTGCTGTGAATCAACAACCGCTACCAACTCTTACTTCAGCCTCGCCTCGCCATAGCTCATTGAGTTGGATAGACGCTTAGAGGCCCTTCAGCCGCGCATCATCATCCTGCAGTAGCCGTGCTTTGCTTGGGCCGAAGCTGGCAGTTGAATAACAGGGGTCTATGGTCAAGCAATCGCGGCTTCTGATGAGGTGAACTGCTTCGTTAAAGGCGGGAATTCTCAGCCTCCAATTGCGGCACGTCGTACGAACACCGCATTCGTCGCAATATTCCGCCTAGTGAGCAACCCGGTGAGCTATGGCGGCGGCAGTGGCGGCATCTGCGGCGGCATCCACGGCGGCATCCACGCCGGTCTTCGTGTACGGCACGCTAATGGCCGACGAGGTGCTGCACGCGCTGCTGGACAGAGTTCCCGCTTCGGCCCCCGCCCGCCTACCAAACTTGTGAGTAGTTTTCCTTCCCAGCCTTGCTGCCCCCTGTTTGCTCCACGCGCCTGTTTGCTCCACGCACCTGTTTGCTGCCCCTCCGCCCTCCATACGTCCAGCGCCACGCTGATGGCGGACGGCTGATGGCGGACGGCTGCACTCTTCAGCCATTCCTCTCCTCACTTCCCCCCCTCTCCCCTCCCCTCGCTCCCCCCCTCCCTCCCACCTCCCCCTTTTCCAGCACTCGCCACAGCATCAAGGGGCGGCAGTACCCTGCAATCATTCCGAAAGCAGACGACTCCGTGTTGGGGAAGGTGAGGAGGAAGAGGGGGGGGGGGGGACGGGGGGGAGAGAGGGGGGGTTGGCGATGGTTGAGGAGAGAACAGTGGGGTTCAGGGAGGTGCAGGACAGTATTAAGGGGTGGCAGTCATGTCAAAAGCAGACGACTCCATGTCAGGGAAGGCGAGGTGGAAGAGGGAGGGGAGGGGGAGGTGGGGGAGGAGGGGTGGTGGGGGGTTGGCAAGGGTTGACGGTGGTTGGGAGAAAACATTGGATGGTACCCTATCATTTCAATTTGAAGGGGTGGCAGTCATTTCAAAGTGGTGCCCTGTCTTGTTGTTCGTTGATTCACTTCGTCTCGCCTCATTTGAGGATGCGGGGTATGTGGAGTGCTCCAGCTCCTTTCCATTGCTCCCCATGCTCCCACGCCCCACCTCTCCACCCCTACCCCCCCACCCCCCAGCTCCTCTTCAACCTCTAACCAACCGAGATGGAGCTCTTGGACGCGTTTGAGGACATCGAGGACCATTCAATCTGCGTACCATCATCACTCGTATGCTTACCTTTCTCCCCCCCCACACCACCACCACTCCCCCCCTTTCTCCAGCTCCTCTTCAACCTCTCCCCCCCTGAGACGGACCTCTTCTACGCCTTTGAGGAGGCCGAGTACGTGCGTCCTCCTCATCCTCTCAACCTCCGTACCTCCGCATTTACTGCTCTCCTCAACCCCCTCTTCTTCTCTCCCCCCCCTTCTCAGCTCCTCTTCAACCTCTCCCCCCCCGAGATGGACCCCCTCTTCGACGCCTTAGAGGATGTTGAGCACGTGCACTGCTCAACCGTATAATCTTGATTACCCACCAACTCCTCTTCCCAAAACACTCCACCCCTCCCCTCAGCTCCTCTTCAACCTCTCCCCCCCCGAGATGGACCTCTTCGACGCCTTTGAGGACGTTGAGTACGTGCGTCATCTGGTCTCCGTGCAAGGGTTGGCAGCAGGGAGGGAGGCGCAACGGGAGGAAGAGACCAAGGCGTTTGTGTATGTGTGGGGGAATGTGGAGGACCCTGATCTCCATGGATCGTGGGATTATGAGGTAAGGGGATTGTGAGGTAAGGGATTGTGAGGTGAGGGATTGTGAGGTAAGGGATTGTGAGGTAAGGGATTGTGAGGTAAGGGATTGTGAGGTAAGGGATTGTGAGGTAAGGGATTGTGAGGTAAGGGGATTGTGAGGTAAGGGGATTGTGAGGTAAGGGATTGTGAGGTAAGGGGATGGTGAGGTAAGGGGATGAATCCCTCTCTCCCCTGTCCCCCCCCTCTCTCTCACACACTCACACACGCCCTTTCTCTCCCCTTCTCGCTCTCTCGCTCCTCAGCCACTCTGTATGTATGGATGTTACGGGGGCGCACACCAGCATGTGCTTATGTGTGAGCATCATGCAACGTGCCGTCATGTGCTTATGCATGCACATCATGCAATGAACGTCTGGTCTGGATGTGCCATGCTTGATGTCTTGTACCTTGTACCGGCACACACAAGACTGTATGTAACGACCATCATGCACGTTGTGCAACTAATCACAACTATTTCTCATCTTTCAATGCTGGTGCATGCAGGCATGGAGAAGAACATGTTTGGACCAATTTGTGACTCAGTGCTGTATTCTTTTAAAGGAATGGAGGGAGAGGAGGAGAAGAAGGCTGGCAACTGCTGGCCTCTTTTGATGCCTGATATTGGTTATTACATTCTCCTGCCACACCCTTCCCATTCCAACTTTGCTTCCAAGTTTTGCTTACGTCCAATTTGTTATTGCCATTTCCCCCCATTCCTTGCTTATTGATTTGAACACACTGTTCTTTATAGGTGTGGCGCTGCAAATGGCTGGCCTCATATGTTACAATGTGTCAAGAATTTGCGCAAGAATGGAGCGAAGGGGGATCGTGGAGCGGCATTGAGCACAGAGAAACACTACAAGCCAAAGGCCCAAGCTCGTAGTCATTGGTATTTTGTACAGCGGTTTACAATGGTTGCGTTCTGCAGGCAATTTTGGAAGGTTCCAAGCCGCGTACAGAAGGTTCTGAAGGTAGCATTTTTTTGGTCCGGTACAGGGCCTCAGATTCGTTTAGAGGTACCCTGATCAATCAGCCATCCCCCCCTACTTTCCCCTGATATGTCAGTGTTGATTGTAAAAAAAAAACACTGTTTCTTCAGTGTTTGAAGGGAAAAAAACTCTGATCATTCAGTGTTTACTCAGAGATTTACGCTGAGGTGAAAAAAACACATTTAATAAACCACAATTACACATCGTTGACAGGGCTCTCCATGGCTGCTGATGCTGTCTCTTCCTGCTCTCCCTCAGCATTCACATCCTCGTCCATGTTCTCTTTTCCTTTCTTGCTCGCCGTGCTCACTTTAACTGTGCCGAAGGGGCGTCTCTTCTTATACGCCCGCCAAATCTGTACTACAGCGTCCCAGTCCGGCGAGTAGTCTAACAGGGACAAGCACATGAGATCACCTAGCCTAGTGTCCTTCAGGCTATTCCTCAGCCAGCTCTTAATCACGTTCTGGCGGGAGAATCCGCGTTCACACTCAACGGTGCTCAGAGGCAGCACCGCCACAGCCACCCACAGACCCACAAGGTTGGGATACTGGTCCTGTAAGGCAGCGGTTTTCAGCACAAATGACAGCGCAGCATGAAACTTCTTGTCACTCTTCGGGAGACGAGCAAGCATGGGGGCGAAGTGTCGCAGCTCTTTTATCGCCTGGCGTTTGTCAATGCCTGAAACACATTTAGACACGGACGATTAGGGATAGTTAGTTCGTTACAAGGCTTGAAAAATGAGAAAACAAGCCACGAACGAAAGCATAAGGCAATAGGTTAAAACAAGCATTGCACCTGGCAGAATTTCGTTGGCATCCTCCGCGCGAAACAGAGTGACGAGTGATTGGAACCACTCGACACACTGAGCCAGCCTCGCTTCCCGCTCCCATTTCTCTGGCCACTGGTCGGCACAGAAAAGGCGAACGCCGCTCAAGGAATCCAGATCTCCAAGACGCTCCTGCAGGTTCCTGGCCATGTCTTCGGCAACCTTGGTGCACACGTCGACGCAGCCATTGTGTGTACCCCGTCCTGGGTAGTCGTCCAGTTCGTTGAAATGAAGAGTTACAGTGAAGCGAGCAGGGCGGCCATCAGAATCCGCGCCCTCAACGATGATGTTGGGCGAACCGCCCGGGCCGTGACGGGTGATGAACTGCACAAGTCGGGTCTTCTCGCCGCCTCCGAAGTCGTCGCCGCAGTCGATGTACCGGCTCTCGATGAGGCCGGTTGTGCGCGCGATCTGCTGCTGGACGCTCGTGTAGTCCAGCTGTATGAATAGAGATGGGGAGACGGGTGAGTAGAGGAGGGAAGAGCACATGGTAGGCTGAATCACAAGTACTAACCTCACGCTGCTGAAAGGTCTTGTTCAAGATGTTCAACTGCTCAAGAACATCAGCCAGAAAGTTCAGGAAGAACCAGAAGCGGTAACTAGTGGCGATGGCGTATAACTCGGGGTTGCCGAAACGGAACTCACACAGCATGACGACCACGGCAGGGAGAACAGCAAGAAGACGAAGGATAGCCTCACCGCTTGAAAGCCACCTGATGGCGTGAATACCCTGGAGCTCTAGGTTGGTTGAGGTGAAGAGCTCCTAAAGGTCGAGGAAGCGCTGATGCCAAGGCCCTGATCGCCCAAGAAGCTCGGCAAGCTGGCGGATGAGATCATCTACCATGGAGAGTGCGGGAATGTTCTCCGCTGCCGCCTTGACAGCTAGTGCCTCCCTACATACATAAAATAACAAAGAGTGTAAGTATCGGTACATATGTACAGTGCGAACAAACATGCATGTAGAAAACCATACTAATTACCGATGTGCGATGCAGTGGCACGACACCAGGTGGGGGATGTGGACGCGCAAGCGCGCTACAAGCCCCCCCTTAGCACCCATCATCACAGCAGCTCCGTCGGTGCTGATGCCTGAAATCCGACGGAGGTCAACCCCAATGGCACGGATGTGGGAGAGGAGGAGGGCAAGAAGCGATGTGGCATCAGCCTTCTAGACTGTCAGCAATGTGAGGAACTCAGTCACAAGTCTCCCTTGGCGGATGAACGTGGCAAACACAATCATGTGTTTGCCACGACAGCGGTCGGTGCTCTCGTCAAGGCTCAGGCCGATGAAGGGGCTTGTAAGAAGATGCTCAAGCTGAGTGGTTTGGAGCCAGGTTGCCATAGCTTGAGTAAACTGTCCAAAGCCATACCTGCAAAACAAGAGGCAAATGGATAAAATGAAATGACATGTATAACAAGAGAGCGATACGGTGCAGCGAAACACGAAAGGTAAATGGATGCTTACGAGTTGTAATACGTCCCATATCCCTTCTCAGGGAAGCCCCTCGTCTTGCGTTCCGCCAAGTAGCGGACGCGATTGATCCAGGTTTCCATCGGCTCATTGCAGCGGCTGCTGAAGTGGAGCACATCGCAAAGTGCAGTGACGTGCAGTTTCTCCAAGTCCTCTGCAAGAGGGTGCAGGTCGATCCTCTGCTGTTTCGTCGCCATCTGTAGCAGATCGTGTTGCTTCTTCTCGGCAAGTTGATGGCGACTCGTAGCAGCATGTCGCTTGAAGGCCTGGACTTGCACATCGGTTGCCCCTTTGCCACGCCTGCCTGTTTTTCCCTTCAAGCCTGCATGCTCGGTACAAAGACTGCACCTGAAGGCGGGCATGCCACAGTCAGTCTTTGTAAAAAGGAGCCAAGGGTATGAGCTCGACCAGCGTGAATTATACTTGTCTAGGGCCTCGCCGTATTGCTCGTCAATAGTCAAGTGCCTCTTACCGCCAGCCTTTCCTGGGAGGTCATCTTCTGCACCTTCGTCCTCGGACTCGGAAGACGAGGGCGGGTCGGGCAGATTGACAGGTGGCGCGAAGGGGAGTCGTGATTGTCGGTACTTTCCTAAGCGCTTCGATGGGGTAGGCTCGGGTAGTCGATTGTCAACAGCAGAAGCATCGCGTTGTGCAGCAGTCGATCTCGACGGCCCAGCGATAGGCGGGACAGCAGCGTGCTTTCTGGCTCCCTGAGTTCCCTCAGGCAGCGATGTTGGCTCGTGCTCGGCAGGTCTGGGAGATGGGCCTTGAATACTACCTAAAGAAGCAAGGAGTAAGTCTAGGCCTGTGCGCATGTCGCCTTCTAGGATGTGGCAATCATCGTCCTCTGTGGCGAGCTCGTTATCACCACCTGATTCTGCCATCACGAGCCACAGCAGAATCAGGCGTAATAAAATCAGTGGTGTAGCGGTTCTCTGACAACGCAGTAACAATTCTGGAAGAGGAACAAATGAGGCTGGTGAGGGGTGGGACGGTGGTGGTAACGAGCCTGGGAGAGAACTTGTGACGGGCTGCTTTCATAAAACAGGCGCGGCAGAACCTTCGTTCAAGGGGTCCCACGAACGCGCCGCGCGCACCTTGCCCAACATGCATGGCAAGGTGGGTGATGCGCGGTTCAGGACAGGCAGGTGGGTGGTCGTTGCCATCCAGTCCCTGCCGCGCTGTTACATTGTGACGCGCCGTGCTGCGTCCTCCGAATAGCTGGGATTGGACCGCATGTCAAGATTTTGGTCAATTGCCAATCGGAGCATTCAGTCACCCATGTGCTGGCGCCTGCGGGAGTGGAAAAATCGTCAAGTGCCAATTAGAACAGTCTGACACCGAACAGAACAGAACAGACTCTTTCTGCAGGGCCGCCGTCGGGCGGCGCGGTGGGCAAAATAACGTGATTAACGGGAGCCTCCCAAGTCAGGTACCGGTAATTCCGGGGGAGAGGGAAACGCACTATACTCGGTTTCAGCGTTCCCCCCTAGAGTCACGCTGTTTCGTCAGGCTACAGGTACAAAGAAACGCTGAAAAATCAGTATACGTTACGAAAGAAAGGCTGATTTTTCAGTGTTACTTATCCAAAAAAGGCTGAGTGATCAGTGTGTACCCTAAAAAAAAGTCTGAAAAAACCCTGAATCAGCGTAAAAAGGCTGATATCTAGGGCCCTGGTCCGGTACCTGGGTCAGCCCGCAAAAACGTTTCTGAAGTGTAACACCACACTCGAGGAAGATCGTGACGGGTACGCGAGTCAACGGAGGTTACACGAGGGGGTGGACAAAGAACACGAAAGGACTCAAAGGGTCGCAACCGGAGGTTGCGACTGACCGTTACAACTGCAAAGATGGTAATCGAAGCGACAATCGAGTCGCTGTGCGACTCGATAACCGCTCTTCAACTGTATTCTACAACTGCTTTAGTTTCCTGAGTTCTATATAATGCTGTATGCGTGTTCTCTTAATCAATCACTTGTTCTCATATACTAGTGCAAGGGTTCAACTACTCAACTTTCGCTGCATTACTCAAGCATCTCTTACAACTGGGACTTAGTCTGTGGAAAGATCCTAAGGGTTTTTTCTCAGCCCAACACAAACCAACCTCGAGCTGTCCGAACCTAGAAGAGTAGTGTTGCTTGCAGAACGCACACACCTGTACGCAGAGGTCGAGTTCACGAAGGTCAGGGGGCAGATTAGCCCCCAGGCAACTGTGGACTCTGCCGCACCCCCATGTGGACTCCGCTAAAACGCAGGGGGACGCGGTGGAGTCGGGGTACTAGTGTGAACCACAACCCCACCCCGCAAAATACCTACAGCTGGACAACGCCTCCTACAAAGCCAAGAAGCACATGCCCAGAAAGAAACCCTAGTGGTTGGTGTTCGATGCTTTTTACCCTTGTCGTTTTTGAATGGCCCGGGGCAGTTGTTCATCTAGCGTTTTTGTTTCTGTTGTTGCCCTTGTCCAAATCACTTGCACACTTTCCCCAATTTACCTGCGCAGCTTCACCGTGTGGTTTGGGAAGGTCCCAAGTGGACTGGATGGTTACCACCAGGCCTCTGGATAGGATTAGAGGTACTCTCTCTCGTAAGGGTACTCGCTTGCTGCCACTTTTTCTGTAAAGGTGTATTCTTTGTTAGAAACCCAGTCGCTAACCACTGGGTTCAAAGGGCTTGTTAATAGCGGGTCAGTGCGCACATGCCCCCCTAGGCTCTGCACCTGTGGCCCTTCCCCGAGGATCTTCTCAAGGGTAACCCCGGCGGGTCACTCGACACCCCCCTTCGCTGGGAATGGTGGAAGACACGAGCGCCTTTGCAGTGTGAG